TGTCCCTTGATGTTGTCCCTTGATGTAGTCCCTTGGTGTAGTCCCTTGATGGTGTCCATTAGTGTTGTCCTTTCTTGCTGTTAACTATTGGTGGTTGTCGTGTTGTCCCCTGATCTTGTCCCTTGATCTTGTCCCTTGATGTAGTCCCTTGGTGTAGTCCCTTGATGGTGTCCATTAGCGTTGTCCTTTCTTGCTGTTAACTATTGGTGGTTGTCGTGTTGTCCCCTGATCTTGTCCCTTGATCTTGTCCCTTGATGTAGTCCCTTGGTGTAGTCCCTTGATGGTGTCCATTAGCGTTGTCCTTTCTTGCTGTTAACTATTGGTGGTTGTCGTGTTGTCCCTTGATCCTTTCGGCGTTGTCCCTTAACCTTCTCAACCCTTGCCTTTCCCGTTACCTTTTCAACTCGTTGCTTTTGCAATCCCTTAATGTGGTCCTTTGGTGTTGTCTCTTGATATTGCACCCTGTCCTTTTAACCTCCCTCATCATTTCAGTGTGCTGTCGGACTTATTCATTTCTGACCCAAGCGGAAGTATCCTCTTGATCTCTTTCCCTCCCTATGCACAAATGACAATGGTTCGATTTGTTTGTGTTTTATTGCGACCCCACTTTACGTATATATAGAAGTCGCATCTGCTCATTGTCCTGGCCTAACACACATCTGACCCCACCTCAAGACTCTGAACTCGCAACAGCAATCACACTACGTTCTCAACGGAAACAACCAACACCACTCTCAAACAACCAATCTAAACCATGCTTGTCAAGAACTGCATCATCATCGCCTGCCTCGCCTCCGCCGCGATGGCCCAGGTCAACAGCATCTTCTGTCAGGCTCGCTACATCACTAACGTCGCCACCTGTGTCATCGGAGTCAAGGAGTGCAATTCTGTTGAGCGCTTCAACATGTGTGTCTGCGCCAACACCGGTAAGAAGCCCCAACTGCGCATGTGCCTCGTCGCCTTGCTCCGCGATCCCAACTTCGAAGGCACTTTGCAGGCTTCGGATTTCAAGGCCTTGTTCGATGCTGACAAGCCTGCTGAAGCTGTTGCTGACGCTTGAACTGCCGTGGCGAGCATTAAAGGATACCATTTCTGAGATTCGTAGACGACTTAGATCTATACAGTAGAAATGTCGTGCATGAATCGGCCCATTGCAACACTGTGTAATAAATAAGAAAACACAAAAAAATATACTTCCAGTAGGGACGTGTCGTTTGCTTAGGTGATATTTAGTCACTGCCTTCTGGATGCACCCTTGTGCGATGAAGGACTCGAACGAACGTGTAATGTTTTTGTTATGGTTTTATTATGTGGAAAAGAGAAGGAATGGAATGGTGTGCAGAGAATTAATGGACAAGGGACAGGTGGGAAGTGAGTTGATGTAGACTGAGGAACAAGAACAGAGAAGAGGCCTATCTACACTAAGTAACTGAATGTTTCTCTGATGTAAATGAAATCAAAAATGCAAGACGGGTAAATGGAGAGAATGAATAGCGAAGGCAAATAGGCAATGGGGTAATGGAGAAAAATGGCAATAGACTGTTGCCGGAAGGGTTATAGGCAAGTTGTTCTTTTCGAGTACCGGCCTGGAACAGGATACAGTAGAGAGGTGCCACTAAGGGATACACCAAGAAACCAACCCGCGTCCGACTGGTGGCAATTATTTTTCCTTGCCAAGGACTCTATCTGTGCACCTTTCTTTTATTATTAACCGCGGCTTCCGAAAAAAAAATTGGAAATACAGTAAACAAAAGGGAACTCTGGGCGATCTCTTGATCTCTATCTTTCGTTTTTACGGCCGTAAATCCTCCCCCATGTCCTATCCCCCCAATCCTACGGCCCACGATGTTGATACCGACATTTACACAAGCTTTTGCCTCATCCTCGAGAAGAACTCAATGTGGTCGCTCTCAGTTTTGGAACGTCGATGGCAACAAGCAGTAGAGAAGGGAGCACCCGGATGTTTGAGCATTACCGCCGCGCTAAAGAAGGGGATCCCATCGGATGACGTTGACACACACGACAGTCGGTCATCCCCAGCTATTGTTGAAGCGTGCTACAGGATCTCGCAGTCCTGGCGAATAACTTCACCACAGCCATTCTTTCCTACCTTTGGATTCACAGATAGCGTCCCTGGTAAGGAAGAATATTTATTAGAGTTGCCGAATATAATAACGGCTAAAGCCTATTATTCGACAACGCCAAGGACTCTAGTTGTCCCACCCGACCCGCCCTTTCAAGTAGATTGAGATCAAGAGATCGCCTAGAGTCCCCTTTTGTTTATCTCATATTTTTTCTTTTTTGAAGCCATGGTTAATAGTAAAAGAAAGATGCACACAGACAGAGTCCCTGGCGCTGTCGAATAATAGGCATCAGCCACAGTCTAATAGCAATAAAAAACACGAATGAGATCAGTAAACGGCATCTAGTCACAAAAAAAATACCGGAGACGTCGAACACAGGGGTGAGGATCTCCAGAATGGAAGTCATACGTGATTCCTGGGCGTTGAAACAGGCGTCGAGGGTTCGGAAGATCCAAGAACAGTAAGCTGGGTCTTGCGTCAGGTGGAGGGCCGAAAAAAGCGATGCCACGCTTTTGGCAGGCCCAAATATTGTTTATGAATGAATGTCCTTATTATGATAATAACGTATTCTACATCACGCCTTCTTCTTTTCTCATTTTCTTATAAGGAAGTGGGCTTTGCTGATGTCAATCTCTGATAATCCGACGAAGAAAGTCGAGCCTCATGCCACAGCCTAAGGTAAAAAATCGACCTGGCCCGCCATTCCCAAGCAGTACGACGCCATATTATCCGCAAGACCCCCCCCCTACCATTGCAAACTGCAACCGATCGAAAAAAGTAAGTCGAATGTAATACGAGCCAAGGTGACAACAGCAACAACAGCTACGACGCCATGCGAGGGAAGGTTAAGGGAGCCAGCTCCAAGAACTTCCTGAGGATATCATTGTTGACAGAAATATCCAACGACCGGATGTTGCCGCCGTAAACTCGAAGGGCTCTAGACCCTGCGCTCTCCAAGAACGACCGAACCGAAAACAGCCGGCCTTTGACACGTTTTCTCAGATCGAGACCTGATCCACAGGATCCTTGGTAGTTGTCAATCTTGATATACCACCACAGAGAATGGGAGAAGAGATCTCGCCAGCCGAGCAGACAAGGAGAAAGTTGAGGAGGTCATGTTGTTCCAGGGATAAAGCCACCATGCTTCGGATTTCGGGCGGAACAGAAGCGAACGACATCGGTTCCGACATCTTGGCCAGGACAAGTCCAGCGAATGAGGATCGAGTTCTAGTAGTGGTGGTAGTACTAGGTGTCAGAGTAAAAAGAGAAAGAAGTACATAGTTAGATGCAAGAGCAGGATGAACGAGGAGGAAAGATGTGATGGTGTGAACGATGACAGGGTTGACGTTGGAGGAAGAAAGGGTCGAGAAGAGTAAAATACAACCTGAATACAATTTGGCGGCAGTGGCCATCATTTAGCTTTTTGTCCCTCACGACTCTCGTCACAACGCTGTGTGCCTCTCATCTTTCCCCCTACCCTTTCAAAAAGGAGATCGTTGAATGTATCGAGGACGCAGTCGCCGCAATAGCCATGGACATTGCGAGACAATCGCTATACGATGCCTATAGTTGCCTTGTAAAAGTGCTAGTGCCAGCACACATGGTCAGATGAGCTCTCTACCTGTCCTTGAGTTGAGTTTACACGTTCGCGAGTGTCAGGCGGGAAGGCATTGGTTGTTTTCTCGTACTCCTTCACAAATGCGTGCAAGAGTGATGATCTACACTGATCGACGAAATTCTTCACTCTCTTTTGTTGTACCCCATCAGCGCACATTGCTTTATTTCTTTTTTTTGTTGTTGTTGAATGTCGTCGGTCCGAGGATCCCATTGCCCTTCTCCTGCGCTTGCGCTTGCCTTTGTTAGGACACTTTCGAACTCCATTCCTCGGCGACTCGGTGCACCCAGGTCTTGTTGCGAGGCGCCTAGTCATGCATTATCCAGCACTGAAAAGTTTACAGTTCAATCTTGGATGATGGCGTCTCAAAGATTCGTTGGCATCTGCAGTCGTCTCTGTCATGGCCCAAAGTCAGCTCAAAGGAATTTGTCTTTGACCATGCTTTATCTTTCATGGAGACGGAGATAACGATTCGCAAGCATGCCGCGAACCTCCAAACAGTCGACTTGAGCAGGGCTTACAAGTTCGAGAGCAAATCGGTCCAGACGGATTGTGAAGCGTTGGGGAACTGGCAATGAGCAACCATAGATACAAAAATCAAAAAGAACCCTCCCTCTAATTCAATCAGAGACAAAAAGTAGAATGGCAAGAGACACCATCATATCTTTTGCCAACCTCCCTTCATCTCATACCTCTCGAGCACACTGGTTTACAGCGACCTTAAAAAGTCAGCTCAGTGTCTTGAGAATAGAAAGAATCAAGAATACCCACTCTAGTCGCTGCAGCAACAATGCCTTCCCTCGCAGCTAGGGATGCAGTACTAAAAACTCAAGCATCCTAGGCCTAGTTTTCGTATGCACATCGCGTTCCAGGAGCGGCCATCCTATTTGGCCAAACCCATCTCGTCCTACTCCACTTCCACTTCAAGGATCTGCCCCTCCTTCCTTTTCCATCCCTCTCGTTGAATTTATGCGCACGGTCAGTAGCATAATGATCCGTCGCCTTGCCCAGGAATCATACTGTGTATCAAAGCAAGGGGTGAGTCGGTTTGGAGAGCAGACAAAGCCCTCCTTGGATGCATTCATAAAAGGGATCTCTCCCCTTCCCTCCATTTAGTCTTGATAGTCATCCGTTTAATCCTGTCTGGTCTCGGCACCTCCGTGCACAACTCCTAGAATTAGTGTTTTCTATCCGTCTTTGTTTGTCCTCCTCAACAAAAAAAAAATCCTTCAATGAACACTCTTTCTTTCTGCTCTCTCACCTCTCCACTCTTCTTTTCGCACATCCCTTTACAATTCACCATGAAATTCACTTCGTTCGCTCTTTGTCTGGTCGCCGCAGCACTTGTTGTCGTTGTTGAAGGTAATGCCATTTCCAAGCAAAGCGATCCTCAAACTTACAACACTCTGATAGAAAAAAACCGCCCACTGTGTCTCTCTTACTTACACCTCGCCTCCATTGATACCATTTTCCTTTTACCTCAAAAAAAAACACAATTCTGCAGCCGCTCCTGGATCAGTCGGCTCCCACTTTCGCGCAAGAATGATCCGCGACAAGGCCCTGCTCCAAAGACGAGGCGACCCCAACAGCACAGCCTGCGAGGTTGCAAAGCAGGCTGGGTATGATAAAATGACTGCTCTCAACAACTCCATTCAGAACTACCCCGACGACATTTCCCTAGACAAGGTGCGGGATTTTCAGCATGCAATCATCGCCGCCTATCTTCTGAAAACCGAAGACAGCTATAAGGAGATCAGGGTAACCTATATGCTTGCCACAGAGGCTCTTGCGAGCGCTGGAGAAGAAGGGAAGCCCGTGAGTGATGCGATGGATGATATGATGGCAGCTGTGGATAAGGCTGCCTCCGAGTGTAAGGCTTGATGTGGGAGGATATTCTTTTTCCCTGGCCTCGTCAAATGAAACGGGCAACCTCTCTTCGCATGGCTAGAAATAAACAAACAATTTGCTCTTCAGACTTGAGCTGCAAAGGTGGAACGAACGATGACCGTTCTCTTTTCTTGTTCTCATACCACAAACAGTAACCAACCCCGTTTGAAAAAAAGCACACATTCCAAACATTATCCTTTGTCCTCCTTCTTGTTTTATTCCAAGTGCCTATCCACAACCTCAACAACAGCCAACACCTCCAACAACAACAACACCCAAACCCCACAAATCCAACAATACCACCACTAATTCTTTGTATCCTCAGGGATCTGCCACCCATCCAACCGCTGCAAAAGGTACTCCACTTCAACCTCCTTGGTCAAAGGGATCACAAAGCGCTCATAAAGATCCGCAACCACATCCGCCTGAATCTTTCGCGACGTTGTTGTCGCTCCTGGTGCTGCTGCTGTCGCTGTTGATCCTTCTTCCACTTCCTTCTCCTTGGTCACAACCTCACCCGTCTCGGTAATGTCACTTCCATAGATCAAAGCCTTGCGCCTCAATCTTCTCAACAGTGCAGCCTCAACCGTCCTGTTGGTTAACAGCTCCATGATCCCATCCCGGTCCTTATTCTGGATCAGTTTGATGTATGTCTTTTGTTGAGTTGGGTCCATGAACTTGGATTCTGCAATAAACTTGCCTAATTATCATTGTTCAATTGAACCAAAAAAAAAACAAAACAAAGAAGGAAGGGGGGGTAAGCCTACGCAATGAAGAGAATGAAAGGAGAAAAAGTGACTCCTTGATGCGCAAAAGACAAAGAAGCATACCATAGTGGATGCGCTTGCTGAGGGCCTGTAAGCATTCGGTGTCGCGGGTAGCGGAGGATCCATAGTTCAAATCATCGCCAGGGGCACAGATCTTGGGTACGATATCCTGCAAATAACGTTCCATAATGTCCTTGTTGACGTTGATGTTGTTGGGGTGCAGAGTTGGGGGAAAGTCCAGGGTGGGGAGCATGGGCTCGGGCAGGGGCGACGTGAACGGATATTCGTCAGGGGAGGTATAACGACGCACCCGGGCTAATCAATTGATCATCCAGGGGTAGAGACGAAGGAAATGTGAGTTAAGCACGGCGGTCAAAGGTCGCGAGATAAGATAAAAAAGTAAAGAACGACAATTATGAGAGACTTACCGTGGACTTTCTCCATCTCGTGCAAAAAGTACTCGAGGAAGGATCCCTGGGATCCATTGTCGTACTTGTAGACGCCAGGCTGGTAGGTGCAGTCGTTCAACGCAAACTGAGCTCTCTCAATCAACGCTACAATAAAAAAAAGGGGTTGTTACTTTACCGTCTTGAGTTCTACGTTACTCTTTGAATAACAGCGATGACCAGAGCCGATGAAGGACAGATCTGGTCCCCACTTACCAAAGATGATGGTGTCCTCGAGACGAATCAGAACATCGCGCAACTATAGAAGTTTGTTGAATGAATGAAAAGGTGAGCGGTCAGCATGTAAGAAAGCCAACTCTTTCTACTTTTCTCCCTCACTCTCACTCTCTCTCCTCTCCCTTTTTTGCCCTCGGTAAGATCACTCTTGTTCGCCTTTTTGCATATGACAGCAAGCAAATCTCCGGCAAAGAACGAGAGCCTCCTCCTTCTCTTCCTCGATAGGCAATTGATCCGCCTTGGACATAATAACAAGACAAACGTACTCTGGCGAGACTGAGGGCATCGTTCTTGTTGAGCAGGTTCATAGTATAGGTTCTATTGCTATCAGCGGTGTAGTGGCGTCCAGGACAGTCGTTGGTGTTGTCAAGTGGTTGTAGACAAGTCGAGTCGTATGAGGGTTGTCGATATGAATGCTCCTGAGGGTGATGGCGACAAGAGGGGTACTGCTGTTGGGAGTGGTGGTGCGAGTGTGCGTAGGTCGTGTGTTGATGCAGAGGTGAAAATGCGAGGAAGAGAAAGAAAAGAAGGAAGAAAGAGAAAGACGAAAGGGCGGAGGGGGATGCCGAGTAGATATGAAAACGACGACGACAACTCAAAAGATGATGACTACAACTTGTTTTGCTTCGATCTAGTCCAACCCAGACGCCTTGACTCATCCTCCAGTTCGTGCGTGCTCTCATTTCTAGTAGACGAAAAAGAAAAATTGTACTCCCCTTTGCCCAACTCAAACTAGCAATAGAAACGTAAGAACAAAGTGGTCAACAGTGTTCCTTTTTGCTCAGGAAATAAAGAATTGTGAAGTGACGGAGGTGAAGGTTCGGGTGGAGTGTACGAGGGAAGATAACGAAAGTGAAAAAAGAAAACGAGAAAGAAATAGAAAAAGGAAAACGAGAAAGAAAGTGAAATAGAGAGGTGTGTTTATTTGCATTAGGTCTAAGGGGGTGGGCAGTAAGGGATAGATGCGAGAATGGGATGATGCAAGCAGGCTCGGTGTTCTTGGTCATATTATTCCCTGAGGAGAGACGCAACAACATGACTGACTTTCATGTTCTTGAGATCCGTGTACGTCTGTCCTGTTCCGACAAATAGGATGGGTTGTCCTGTCGTGTAGGTCATCGACAGGGCTGCTCCGACCTTGTCGTCAATCGTGTCAAACTTGGTCAGAATCATGCCGTCAATGTGGCGAGGGTTCGCGAGTCCCGAGTAATCCTTCAGTGCCGCATTGAACTTTGTCAACTGATCCACAGCCTCGTTACCAACCAACGCCTCTCCCACAAAGATGATCTTGTCCGGGTTGTTCACCGTTACCAACTATTTACAAAGAGAATAAAACAATGTAGTGTGCGTTGTCAGCAAAACAAAATGGTGGTCAATGGTACCAAAACACACAAATGAATAGACCTCTAACCACAAAGTAGAGGACTAACCTTGGCGAGGGCACGCATCAAGGGGTCGTTGTCCTGCATACGTCCAGCAGTGTCAATGAGGACAACATCGTGACCAGTCAACCTGGCGGAGGAGATGGCTTCCTTGGCGATTGATGCAGAATCCTTGCCATATCCCTTCTCGTAGAGGTCAATCACCGCATTCTGCTCCAGAGCCTTCAAGTTCCTGACGTGGACACGAAGTTGCTCAACGGCTCCCGAACGGAAAGTATCACAGGCTGCAATTAGGACTTTGAGATTGTTCTGCAAAAGCCAGAAGGCTGTCTTGGAGAGGTTGGTCGACTTGCCAACGCCGTTGACACCGATAAAGACAATTGTGTAAGGTCGGTTCTCCGCCTGGGCCTGTGCAATGTCGCGCAACAGATCAACCGACGTCTTGGGCGTCAAAATGCGCTTCAATGCCGTCTCCATGCTCTGCTTCACGTGTGCCTGTACGCCTGTCAAAAGATTGAATAGAGAACAGTGTCCATAATCAATTAGTACACTTGATCCTTGATCCCCCATCACAAACAAAAACTACCTCCGGCCTTCAAGGGAAACAAACAAAGTGTCTTACTCTTGAAGTTGCCAAGGGTTTGGCCAACGAGTCCCTTGGCGACAGAGTCACAGAGATGCTGTGCAATGTCGGCGGCGACGTTCTTGTTGATCAAGTGCTCCTTCATCTTGGTCATGATCGGCTCCAAAGTCTCAGCAGTCATCTCCTTCTGTCCCGTCATGTTTTTAAAGAACGACAATAGTCCATTTGAAGCAGCAGCGGGTTTCTTTGCCTGCAGTGACCGAGCAGAGATCTTGGTGTATTCCTCCTCTGACTCGTCATCGCTGTAGCTCTCGTCCTCGTCGCTTGCCTCCAGATCTGCAACATTGTATGTGCCATCCTTGCCATGCTGTCCCAATTTGCTTTGATCGACCTAAGGACCATAGGGTATTTGTATTAGTATTGTCGTGCGTGTGAAGGCATCAACCTGTAACCATTCAACTTTCGAGTACAACAAAGTCAAGCAAGCACGTACCAAATGGTCAGCGTTGACAACATCGATGGCATCAGAGTTGCTATAGTCCAGACTCTTGGCATCCTTGGCCGAGATTTTACCGTCCCACTTTCGCCCCTCCTTGGCCTTCTTCTTGCTGTCGTCCGATCCGATGATTGGAGATGCAGCGGGCGACTTGGCGCCACGCCCTTTCCGCACGCCAATCCTGGGTGAAGCCGACTTTTTCTTGAGCATTTCGATATTCCTGAGAAACTCGTCCTCGTCCACCAGTGGCTTGCTCGTGTCCTTGATGTCGTCTATTAAGACATTATGGTTTCAATTTTGGTTGCGTCAGATCGAGCCCTTTGATGGCGTGAGAATATCATGATGAAGTGTAAAAGCTGTAGTACCTGGCTTGGCCTTGGCATAAGCTAATGAGTTTGAGTATCCAACCGTCTGTTCAAACTTGCGAGGCTGCTTTGTTTTCTTGGACTATCAGGTGCCATGCGGAGGGCGGTCAAGAAACGTACAATGTTGAGCGTTAGTATTGACCATCGTCTACGATGACGACCTTTTCGCAGGGCAAGAACAACTCAGCGAACAAGGATATCTATATGTCCTTGTAAATTACCAAAGCATCCTGATCCTCGACGGTCTGCAAGAGCGCCTCGAACTGAACACCCCAGTCCTTCAACTGGGGAATCCCGCCTGATTTCCGCAATATCCTGTCACCATAGCGATCGCTGAACTGAGTGCTGGCAGCCTGAAGAAGCGTGTCGATATATGTCAATCCCAATGACTTTGGGTACACGGCCTATTTCGGGTTAGATTGATGTTTTTTTTTGCAACATGAAAAGAGGAACTGTTAGCGACATGACCAGGATTGAGCTTGGGACAACGGAGACAAGAAAGAGTGAAAGAAGAAGGCGTACGATGAAGATGAGGTCGAGGTCGTTGACAAAGGTCCACTTGATGGCGTAGTTGTCCTTGAGGTAGATTTGGGTTGATGAGCGTTCTTCGATGAGGATATCCTGGATGAGGTTGTTGATGGGAGAGGATTGGGCGGGGCCGTATGCCTTTGACCAGAGGACGAGGCCGCCCTTTGTTGCGATCGAGAAGAAGTCGAGCATATTGTGATGTTGTGTGTATGGATGTATGTCCTATGTGGCGAGTTGAGGAGTTCTTGTTTCTTTGTTGTCAGGGAGGGGATGAAGAAAAGAAGGGAAGAAAGAACGAGAGGAAGGAAGAACGGAAGGAAGGAAGGAAGGAAGGTTGATGGGAAGAGAAAAGAGAACTACGAAAATGAAAAGGGATGGAACTTCTTTTCTTTCTTTCCTTCTCCACTCTTCTTTTCTTTTCTTTGCTGTGTGCTGCGAGAGTGCAAAGGAGGAAGGTGTATGTCAGACCCCTAGTTGCACCAATGACAGCTCGCCATCCACCACACTCCACTCAACGTTAAATACTCAATACTGTGCCCAGGTGCCCAAGTGGCTTGGCATGCCGATCTCGTTCAGTATTTCACGGTGAACCCCTTGTTACCGACCACGGCAAAGCTTTCTTTCCCTTTGTACTTGTACTACTAACTACTGACTCTACGCTGTGTCTAAACTCTAACGTCGGGCATTAGGGCAGGGGCATTAGGCTAAGGCCTGTTCTGGGTCAGGACGGGCCGGCCAGTTTCACTATCCAGCTTGGCCGTGATGCGAGCCTCCTCCAGGGCTGGGTGGTCAACCGCCTCAATCGGCTGCAGCTCCTCAATCAATGCCTGGTTCTCTGCATTGCCCGTCAAGATATTCTTCATCGCCAAGATAGCGTACTCCCGAAGATCTAATTCGATGCATTATTGTTTTTCGACGGGTTGGGCAATTGGGTAGAGCATTAGTCAACGCTGTATCCATCGCATGCCTGACGCAACTCAGCACAGCCAGCTCCAAAGAGAAAACATCCAGAAAGATGACTTACAGGGGTTGGCGTCGTCAATGTTGCACTGACTCAACATGACAATAAGTCCGTTGCAGTTTCGAATCCTATCCTGGACATGGCGCGACCGATACGCCAAGTTGCCGATGAGCCGAACAATATCCCGCTTGAGCCCCACAAAGAACGAATCCTGTCCCTTCGCGGTCGAGGTGTTTGACAAAACTGTCGACTCGACATTGGCCGCCATGGCCGGTGTTCCTGAAGTTCCACTTGAAACGGGCTTGGACACTCTCGCCAAACTCACATCCGCTTGTCGAAGCAGCTCTATTCCATTGGAAACCGTTAGAGTTAGTCCTTGGTATAGTAAACCCTACAGTTACTAAACGCGACAAGACCTGAACATACAATCATTCTTACCGATAGAGCTCTCAACCAGTTTGCCGCTGACCATGGCCATATGCTGGGCCTTGAACCAATCCGGCACAGGGACAATCTCTGCTCGCTGTTCAATCTCTTCCTCCACACCATCATCGGCATCATCCGCATTGTTGTTGCCAGAGGCGGCCTTGGGGCGAAGACTAACTTGCCCGTCCTCGTGAAGACTTAGATGTGCAAAACAGGCAAGTAACAACATCAATCCCGACGACAGGTTGGCGAGATCCTCAACGTCATGTTTTCCAACGCCGCCCTTATCCAGACCTTGGAAGACTTCGATCGTTAGAGCCGACACCTTGGAAAAGGTCTCTGTCAAAAATACAACGGTATGAAGGCTAACCGGAGGATCTGTCTCGTCAACTGCAAATGGATCGTAGACGCTGGGGACAGTATATGTGGCGTGCTGTTGTTGCTGCTGCTGAAATGACTCTTGCTGGTTTTCATGGTGGGTGTAAATCCTGGAGTCGATCATCTTAAGCAATGTGACCTGCTCTTGGGTCAAGTACGAAACAGCCTTCTTTTCCTGCTTTGTCGATCTCTTTGCTTTGCTTGGCGTTTCCTCATCCTCGATCTCCTCGATCTTCAGTTCCTGAATCTTGGTAGCTGCCTCCTCTTCCTTGACGTCGTCATGAAAGCCTTCCCCATGATAGCGGATCTTGTACTCTTCCTCGCCATCTACGTCCTGGTCCCTGAGCGCTTCGTACAGTTGCTCTACAAAATCCTGCTCGATCAAGTGGTTGACGAGGGTGTAGATCATCTCAAAGCTCTTTCTGTCCTCCTTGCCGCTTGTCGCATGTGACTCGATCATCAACTGTTTGAGCAGCTTCTGTCCCGCTTTTGTTGAAAACAGGAGTGCGCTAGTAAGAAGATGACGAATTTTGAACACTAGGGTCAGTTCATGTACATTATTTGTTCTTACAAGACACTTTGCTGTTTCTAGGCTTCGAAATGCGAAAGTGCGCATTTTTACCTGCGTTCCTGGGATTCAAATACGCAGTTGTAGCAAAGCATTACGGTGCTCAGTACAATCGTTTCGTCCTCGATGGCGGCCAAAGTGCTAAACATCCGGGGTTAAGAGTGTCGATAGTGTTACTAACTGGCCTCCTGAGCTGAATTGCATGCAGAAAATGTACAAGTCAATTAGTCTGTTCGTTGGTGTACCTGAGCAGGTTTTGATCGCAGCTGGGGCTGGGCACCTGGACCAAGAATGACTTCCAAATATGGTTCTTTGATTCCTCGTTTCCTGTCAACAGGTTGGACAATGCCTGGACGCCTGCCCTCAGCATCATGATATCTAAAAATGGTAGAGGTAATTAACAAAGAAAGGTCATTAGTCCGAGTCCTGTGGTAGTTGTATGCATCAATGTGTCTAAACGAGGTTCGGATGTGTTATTCCTGAGAGACATACATCCAGTGTTCCCGTAGTGAGTGTGAGCAGCCTGGGAGACCACCTCCTGAATCAGCTTGGGCAAATCAGCCAGCCTATTTTGTCAATGAGTGGTGTTAGTTGCTGGTCACTTGCTTTATAATTGAATACTACCTCCCTTTCTTCAGCCCAAGTTGTTTCATACCTTGCTTGATCTTGGTTGTTGGTGACTCCAGCGGTACTGTTGCGGATGATCCTAAAGATGAACATGACCTGCTCCACCTGCTCAAGGTCCAGTCCATTCTTGACAACCTTGTTCAGCACCGAGGCCAAGTTCTTCCATACGGAGGGGACAGCGCCAAACTCTACTCTGAAGATAAAAGCACCCAACACCCATGGCATTAGTAACACACATATGTATGGGTTCTACGGTGCCAGATACAACTATTCTTTCTCAATCAACCAAGTCTCCTTCTTCCCCCCGAGAGGCGAGAGAGATTTTTTAATCTTGAGAGGGCCTGAAGGTTCATTCGAACATACCGAAAGTCGGCATCGACCTGGAGTCGTTTGGCAATGTCGTCAAGATCCTTGTTTCGTGAGTTGTCGGGAGTTGTGCAAAGATGCAGCAGGGTGTCTGTGGTTGACCGGGCGGACATGAATGAGAATGGGTGGAATCAGGTAAGGAGAAAGTGTGTGTGCATGTGGGCATTCAGTCCTCCTTTTTGTTTCCTTTTTTTTTTTTTTTTTTTTTTTGTGACTTTGAAAGTCAAAGTCAAGGAAGAACAAAGAAAAAAAAAGACGTCGCCTTCTTTTATTCATCAAAACAAATCACCGCCAGACGCGTCCGACGCGTCGAAAGACCAAACTCTCGCTCTCAGAGTCTCTGCCACTCTTTTGAACGTCCAGCGAGACATACAGCTTGTATCCAAGCGAACTAACATTGGCCAGCAGCTGCGCCATGCAGATCTTGGCCGCCGCCTCCTCGGCTTTGTTTGGTGCCCAGGGGTTTCCTTCCAATTGAAATTCGTGGCATAACTCTTGAATCACATCCTTCTTGATCCTACTCTCACATTTCATGACATGGAAACAAAAAAAAGGGGGGGGAAGGGAGAGAGGGAAGGGAGGATGGAAAACAACGCTTGTCAATACATATTTGAGCGCACATGTCACAGAATGCACATTAATAACACACCGGAGGAAATAGCAAAAGTATTTCGTACGGGCGTTTCCAATGCGTAAGGACAGCCTGCTTGATGGTACCAACGACAGCGGCTGTCGAGTGCCCAGCTCCAATGACGCGTATCTTGTCCTTGCCTATCAGCGCCACCACAAACATATCAACATCGGCCATCTCGACAGCACCCAGTCCAGGGTCGATAGACTCAAACATCAAAAAGTCCCTGTCATTATCCATCTTGGAGATCCTGGCCGCCTGAACAACATTCCAGCGACAATGGGCCATCGCCTTTAGGACAGCCAACAGGAGCAGTCGGGAGGGTATCGAGTGCTTTTCCTTTGTATGCCAGGGTCGAGTAGACAAGCGGAACTCGTGGCCGTCGCTCTTGGTCGGGGTGTCTTCCTCGAGACCGGCCCCGCTGTTTGCAATGGCATGGCGGAGCGGGGGAACCGTTTCTGGGTTGGCGCCGATCAAACGAATTTTGTTGTATTCGTTAAAGGTGATACAGCATACTCGGGCAAGTGGGGGAGGATGAAAGGAGGGTGGGGCCGCGGCTGGTTTTTGTTGGACGGGGTAGAACATGGGCTGAGCGGCTGCTGGCTGTTGGGCTGAATGTTGTTGGTGGTGTTGAGCCGGAATGGCTGATGCTGCGTGGGTTGCTGCACCGTATGGTGTAATAGGGGCATAGGTTGGGTGGAGAAGGGGAGCAGGTTGTTGATGATTTTGGGGTATTGAGGGAGACGATGGGTGTTGGTTGAAGATAATAGATTGTCTAGCTGGCGGAGCAAATGCTGTGCCTGTATTTAATTTTGTGGGTTGTTGTTGGACATGCTGCTGGACCGGCACATGTTGGGTGTGTTGTTGTTGCTGAGCTGGAAGTTGTTGTTGTTGTTGTTGAACTGGGGTGTGTTGTTGAACTGGAGTTTGATGATGCACTTGAGGTGTATTGTGTGCAGAAGTGGTTGTATCTGAGGCACCAAGAGACGGATGTGACGACGATTGTGCTGCGTATCCAATGTGGTGAGTGGGAGGGCTGACAGGGGTGTTGACGCCTGAAAAGTTGTAAATCGTAGGTATGTGCTGTTGATGTTGCTGTTGATATTGCAGTTGCAGTTGTTGTTGTTGTTGTTGTTGTTGTTGTTGTTGTTGTTGTTGTTGTTGTTGTTGTTGTTGTTGTTGTTGTTGTTGTTGTTGTTGTTGTTGTTGTTGTTGTTGTTGCTGCTGTTGTTTTTGCTGTTGCTGTTGATGTTGTTGCAGTTGTTGGTTGCTGTTAGAGGAATAGGAAAACGAAGAAGGAAGCGAGGTTTTCTTTGGAGGTGGGGGAGGAGGGAGTGCCTTGTAGACATCAGAAATGGCAATTGGTGGCGAAGTGTAGTCCTGTAGGGGGCTTGAAGAGAAGGGAACAGTGGAAAGGAGCGAATGAGGAGCGCCGGTCCCTACTGCACAGCTGATGCCAGAGGGATGATACTCTTGCGGCGAGGCACCGGTGTTTGCTTGGGTGTCAGAGAAAGAAGGCGTAGGGTAGAGTTGCGGTGCCCTGGCAACAGGGTAGTATGCCTGGGGTGCTCCAGCGGTAGGGTGTCCAGGGGGTGGATATGATTGAGGGGCGCCAAGGGTGGAGTGGTCGAGAGAAGCGCCCTTGACGTGAGTTTGAGGAGCGCGAGCGGGCCCCTGGTGGTTTTGACTGTTCATGGCAGCTGGTTTACTTTTTTTTGTTGTCGTGAGTCGAATGAGGAGAGGAAAGAGAGAGTTGGATCAGGGATGTATGAATGGGATTGGAGAAGGTCAGATGGACGCAAAGGGACAAAAAAGGGAAGGAAGGGAGGAGGAGAAGAAGAAGGAGGAGGAGGACGATTGCCTTTCACTCGTTACGCTGTCGAACGTGTGTGTAGAGAACGAGGAAGGGAGGGCTGTTGGGAGGAGAAAGCAGGGGGGTGGCGAGGAAGGAAGGAAGGAAGGAAGGAAGGAAGGCACGAAGGAAAGAATGTAGGAAGGAAGGTAGAAGGCGAGGGATAGAGTAAGAGGGTGGAGAATGGAAAAGGAAATATACGGCGGCGATCGAGCATGGACGCATCGCTTCTTCTGCACAATAAGACACAAGGCCTAGAGTCGATCGATGTCAATATTGCAATTGAAATAGATAACATGCATGGGTGGTGCTGGGCTATGCTGCATGCTCCGCCTTACTCACTCTTCCTTCCTTCTTTCTTTCTTTTTTTCTTTCTTACTTTCATTCATTCATGCATTCATTCTTCTTTCTTACTTTCTTGCTTTCTTATTTCATTCCATTCAACTCATTCCGCACACTCACACGCACAACACAGAACACAAATGGCAACGCTACTCCTCCCGGTGCCGCACCTCAACCGCCCCTCCTCACAGTCAGGCCAAGTTTGCTGTATATCCCTCAAAGACAACGACCTCGTCCGCCTCTTCGCCATGCCCCACAACATCGTCCCCGCAGTCAAATCTTCCATCGAACAGACCATGGGTTACGGCGCCGTCCACTTCTCTAACGAGAACAACAAAACCTTCTACGAGCTCAAGATCAACGGCGACCCATGGAACAACAACTCTCTCCCCGAGGCCGACCGTGGCCGATTGGCTCTCGTCTCCATTATCCGTACCATGGCCGTCAATGGCTGGAATATCCTTCAAGCTATTGAAATGTCCAAGCGAGGATCCGAAACTGCAACAGAGACCATGTTTTTCCAACGGATCGACACAGGACTAGGCGTTGTCTATGCCAATGAGGTTGATATGTTTGGCATGGGCTTCCAGGCCTCGGATTCTCTTCGCGTCATTACCTCTGCTGCTGTTGCTCATATCCCTGCTCTCCGCCAAGCCATCCTTGCCGGGTGGAAGCTCGGGTACATGTTTGACCAACTCATTTGCTTTAATTGTTTCTCGAATGGCAGAAAAAAAAATGTCGTTGTTTCCTTCCTAGTTCTCACTGTACCCTTTTTCTATTGCACAACGAACAGATTGAAGAAGGAACAGATAGTAGGGGTGTCACACGAGTTTGTGCTGAAGGGCAACCCATGGATGCCATCTGAACGAGACTCTGTTGCAGTGGCGTTGTTGCTCTCACACATCTTGGCCTATATCCGGAGTCAGGGCTTCAAGCTGTACGCGTCGATTAATATGCACAAGGAAGGCCAGCCTTCAGACTTTTGGGTCTTTCGCCGTGTCGGCCGTTGCTGGTCATAGTACGCGCGCCTCTTCTTCTTCTTCGCTTCTACGCGCTTGCTTGCTGCTCTTCTATGAATAAAGTCACGTGCAATCTAATCCTTCGAAGGAGGGCTTCTAGCCTTTGATAAATCTCCATTCCAACAATTGATTTGAGACCCCCTTTCATTTCTATCTCCAATCCAAGATGGCAAGTCACAGCGGGGACTCGGATTGCATCCATTCGCCTTACCTTGGGGATATATACATCCATCCATACTGAACCATGGGGCGAAACCATCCATCGACAGCCAGTGCCCGGACACAGCGCACACATCATTAATCATTATCGCCATATCACCAACTCAACAATCACGACTCTGCTTTTAAAAATCGCACTTCGGGAGGACGATGGAAGGGGCGGTGGAGAGATCTCTCTCTTACTTCTTCGTAGGATGTACCTGCGGAAGGAGCAAGGGGGAACCGTCCAGGGGAACAAGGAGGAAGGCAGGCAGCGATGGGTTGGAGCTGAACGGTGTTGGTTTACTTTGCCCGTTGCACTGGCAATAGGAAAAAACGGGACGCTGAAAAGAGAGGCGCCTCAGCACGAGCCCAGCACAAAGGCTCCTTAGCCAAAGGCAGCAACCCACCTTTTGCATCGCACTCAACAACAACAACTACACCCAGTATCACGAACAGCACTCTCCACTATTACCTCCCTTCACACCTATCCCACGCCGGCCAGCCTCCATCAACACCTTTTATACAACCCCTGCGCCAACAAACACCAGAAAGGATCCAGCAGCAACAAAGGCGATCAGGCGAACCCAACATCCACTCTTGAACTCAACATCACTGCCAGAACTATTGTCAAAAAAGACGTGGGGCAACTCGTCAGTCAAGAGGAATCTACGCTTTTTTGTTTGGGAAAGCAAACGAAAGCGTTCGTCCGACTTTTTCGGAGTAGAAAGCTGGAGCATTTTTGCGTTTCTGGACCCAGCCAAAATACTCCGCTGTTGTATGGACAGCTCATTACCCCAGGATATCAACAAAGAGGTGTTGTTGCGATTAGGAGCAATGCTCGAACAAAAGAGTAGAGACAAGGGATAGAAGAGGAAGAAGCACAATAGGGATTTGTGCACAGCAGGACTACATCAAAAGAGCGCGCAGCGCCTTTGTTCCACATACATCATACAACACGTAACCAGAAGGATCATGCGCCTAACCAGGAACGTCCTCTTTTTCTCAATCACTTGTTCATAGGCTAAGCGCACTAAGAAGGTCGGAGTTGTTGGTAAATACGGTATCCGTTATGGTGCCTCCCTCCGTAAGCAGGTCAAGAAGATGGAAATCACCCAGCACAGCAAGTACACTTGCACTTTCTGCGGTCGTGTAAGTTCTTTGATAATTAGGTTGTCGATGACAAAAAACGAACAAGTCGAAACAGAACCGCAAGTCACGACAACTAACATCTTCTATCTCCAAATGGACAATAAAAAAAATAGGATGCCGTCAAGCGCCAGTCTGTTGGTATCTGGAAGTGCCGTGGATGCAAGAAGACCATGGCCGGAGGTGCCTGGACCTTGTCGACCACCGCTGCCGCCACCGTCCGCTCCACCACTCGCCGTCTCCGCGAGATCATGGAGGTTTAAAGAGTTTTCTTCAACATCATTTTTTTTATCTTCCTCGACCCCACCCCCACCCACCCCGACCATTTTTGCCAGTCTCTGCTTTCCTGCTTTCGCGGCCAGACCTTTTCTTGGGACCTTTTCGACTCTTTTTACATCAACGCAGGAGGAAAACCATCAATATGCAGACGGCCTTGAATCGGGATCCAAAGATCAACAAAAAAAGTCAAAGAATAAAAAATACTCAAAAAAAGTCATCCCGCCATCGGTCTACTTGTGTGAAGTTGTTTGTTCAGGGATGTGCAGGCGTATGTGGGGGTTGCACTTTTGAAGATGTTACTCCCGTTTTCCTTAGAAGACAGCCAAGGGACTGTGCGCATGGTCAGATTGTGGCTTGTGCCCACTTTTTTTTCTTCTTTTGGTTAACCAACTAGCAATTAGCTCAGGAGGTCATGTAAAGAGCAATGTCGACTACACCTTTACTCCTCAACACCAAGGATACAATTCCTACGAACTGGCGATCCACACATTCAGAATGTGTCGGTGGATGGGCCCACAGCTCTTCCGAGCAGTTCGATCCATGGTGTCTTTCATGACCACATGGCAAGGTGCACTCTAAAAATTGGCGGCAACAAGCATTTTTTATCCATATTTGCATCTCCTCTTTCCTCACTTTCCGTCTCCGAAATTAGAGCCGCAGTGGAGCGAATACACAGTGGAGCAGTGCATCGACCAACACCCTATCTCTACCATCACGCAAAAACCACAGATCATGCTAAGAAGCAGAATGGGTTCTACTTGCTCGATGCTCGGGATACCGCAATACTATGTTCGTTGGCGTTGCTATTTTTTGTCGGTTGCAACTTATGCTAGTAATCTCTGCATTTTCGCAAGCATGCATTAGTGCTGGTAGATCGCAGCGTATGCTATGACGAGTTGCTTCGGTGACGTAATTATCGCGTCCATTGCCGACCAGCTTTTGCCACCGTTCATACGCCTCCACTACAGTAGTTAAATACCCTCCTTCTTGCTTCCCTCCCCTCCCCTTCTTGTTCCTTCATTCATGCTCGCTTGCTCTATTGCTATTACATTATCGCGCCCTCTTGTGACCACATTCATCATTGCCCTCATCATCCCCGTCAAGCCTATAACCCTCTTCATCTTTCTGACAAGGATGTTCCGGACACATCCACTCGACCAACCAGAGATTCGCTCAATCATTGCCAGCAATCTTGGCCCCAAAGACCTCACATCCTGTGTGCGTGTGAGTCAGGATTGGAAGGGCTCATTTACACCACCGCTCTACAAGTCTGTCGTGGTATCGAAACATGGCCCCAGCATGGAAACTCTCGAGAGAAACAAGCACCTTATAAAGAGGCTCAGGATTCAGAGGTTTATATACGAAAACCAATCCTCGACGACATCAGCACAAACCAAAGTACTTTCTAGCATCCGGAACAACTCGACTCTGACCGCTTTGGACTTGCGCGACAACTCGATCGGAGAAAACGGAGCTCAGGAGCTGGCTGAGGCACTCAAGACCAACTCCACTCTGACCACTTTGGACTTGGGCCTCAACTCGATCGGAGACAAGGGAGCTCAAGAGCTGTTTGAGGCGCTCAAGATCAATTCGGCTCTGACTACTTTGAACTTGAGCAAAAACTCGATTGGAGAAAATGTAGCTCAGGCGCTGTCTGAGGCAATCAAGGTCAACTCTACTCTGACCATGTTGGACTTGAGCAGGAACTCGATCGGATCCAACGGAGCTCCGGCGCTGGCTGAGGCACTCTTGACCAACTCGACTCTGACCACTTTGGACTTGAACGAGAACATGATTGAAGACAACGGAGCTCAGGCAGTGGCTGAGGCACTCTTGACCAACTCGACTCTGACCACGTTGGACTTGAGGAACAACTGGATCAAAAAAAACGGAGCTCAGTCACTGGCTGAGGCACTCAAGACCAACTCCACTCTGACCATGCTGAACTTAGGCTACAACTCGATCGGAGACAACGGAGCTCAGTCACTGGCTGAGGCACTCAAGACTAACTCGGCTCTGACGACGTTGACCTTACGCTATAACTCGATCGGAGACAGCGGGGCTCAGCCACTGGCCGAGGCACTTAAAACCAATTCGACTCTGGCCACGTTGGTCTTGAGAAACAACTGGATCAGAGACAACGGAGCTAAGGCGCTGGCCGAGGCACTCAAGACCAATTCGACTCTGACCACGTTGGACTTGCGCGGCAACTCGATCGGATACGACGGAGCTCAGGCGCTGGCTGAGACACGCAAGATCAACTCAGCTGTACTCATTTTAGACTTTGTAGACTGATGTAGCCTTAATACTCAAATCCCTTAAGCCATGGCGCTGATGTACTGTAAGTTGGGCCACAAAACTGTACAAGTATTTTGAACCTCTAGTGGGAACTGATTTGTGCTCTCTTTTATGAGATCTTCGCAAATGCGTTACTGTAATTCTCAACCCGCTCAAGAACTAAAAAAAACTCCTCAGGCGGATCGAAAAATCCGCTGAAAACAGTCGCCCACCATATCATAATGGCTGTAGTCCAATCGACCTGACCCCATAGTCGAACGAAAAATAAATTAAAAAAAGGTGTGGTCGAACGGGACAATTACTCCTAAATTTAAAAAAAAAAAAAAAAAAAAAAAGCACATCACCTTACACCGCCCCCCTCCCAAACCACTCCCAACAATGGACGATCACAGCAATTATGAAGCAAATTGAAGACAATAGAGTTTGACGATAACGATGAGGAGATCAAGGAAGATGAGGAGATCAAGGAAGACGAGGAGGAGAATCCCTAGAGAGGAGTTTTTCTAACGATATCAGAGGACGACAAGAAATCTCCTCCAGATGTTTGACAACGCGTCCTTGTTAGCAATTGCTTCACAACCCCCCCCCCCCCCCCCAACGCAGCCAGCTACCACGGCTGAAGACAGCTTTAACATCCCACAATCGCCGGTAGGTAGGCGATCTGTTTCTTCACTCGCTTATCCAGCAATAGAGAAATTCTTACGACCCCCCTCCTTTGCCCATTTTTTTTTGTTGGCTGCTGCAGTAAAGCGCGCCCAGGCTCGTGGAAGCAAACGAACAATCACGGCTTCGGATGCTCAGAAAGTAACATCTGGAGCGCCAAACCCGCCAGTCGTGGACGAGCATATGGCCTTGGGCAAAGGAAAAGATGCAGGGCACTTGTTCACTGAGTGGACTAAGGTGCGTGGCTGAAAGCTGTTTTTTTGGTTCCGCAAAAGCGTTAATTCTAGGGTACGCAGGCATGCTAAAAGAAAAGGAAAAAGACATGCCCTGAAAATAGGGACGTCCAAAATCAAGCATGGGGAGTAAAAAAAAAATCCACATTGGTGATTTGACGACAGCTCTTCGTCAAGAGCGCAATAATAGATTTATGAAATATACTATACAAATGGTTGTGATGATGTCAAGCCTTTTCGCACTGTCTATTCGCGAACAAGAAGCAACACCCGCGACAGCCTCTCAACCAAGATCAGATGGTTTGGCAGACAGTTGGTCTGGACTGGCGACTGCGACAAATACGATAAAGCATGGAACTGCTTCAAGATCTCGCGCGTCGAGCTGGCTGCCACCGTGGCCTTGATCGTCGTACTTGCAGTTGCTGACCCTCCCTTGTCGCCGCCTCTCTCTCCTCCTCCCTTGCCGCCCCCTGCTCCCCCTCCACCACTGCCCTTCTCACCACTTGTTGACGACGATCCTCCAATTTCTGCCCCACTTCCAATAGACCCTGATCCTGATCCTCTCGTGTCTGGTGCCAATACACCCTTCCCGATTGATCCTCCTGGGCTCTGGCTCAGCGAGTTCCTGCCGCTTGTTGACGAAGTAGGCGAAGCCGCCGAGGCTGGAGGTCGAATGCTAAACTGCGAGGCTGAAAAGCTGCTGGGTCGATACGGCAAATACTTGGACGCAATAGGGCGTAATGCAGGGATCCGGCTCAGATGATAGGCCGTAGAGCGCATCGGTTGGAAGTGTAAAATCGGTTTAGTTGATGGCCTGTACGCTGCGAGGTGCTCCTTGCCTGTCATCGGTCGTCGCGGAGGTGGAGGTGTTGCTGGTGCGGGTTTAGGAGTCGCTGGCGGAGTCAGAGTCGGAATGCGCTGAAGATGGAGCAGATGAACCTCGACCCCGAGTGCCTCTAGAGCGTGTTTCTCCCTCATCACAGAGTTGGATTGGGTGGGCACCTGGATAAGATACCCGCTCGAGAGAGGCACAATCACATCGTTCCCTCCTGTGAGCAAAGGTAATGGTGGTGGCGTCTGTTCAGACGATGACTCCTTCTTCTCACCAACGCTCTCAGCCTGGAGCAGCACATGCTGACCAGACGTCTCCTCCTGCTTGATCTTAGGCTCCATATCAAGATCCTGATCCAGGTCTGCCAATGGTGTATTCATGACGCTGTCTTCCAGTTGAATATCCTTGCTGTCGTATTCACCCTCTTCCGGTTCCTCCGTCGGTCCAACAATAGGCTTTGTCTCGCTCGCATCTGTTTGGTTTCCAAGCCGCGACCCGCCTTCCCCCTCTCTTCCTCCTCCTCGTCTACCACTGCGCGCAGTCCGCAAGAGACCAGATTCCTGCTGCGATACAATCAGTGGGATGCGATGGTTCAGGATCATCGCATACACATGCCCGGCACTGTTCTCCAGAATCTCGTTTCCCGATACACCGCCGATCCCCGCCATTCCTCCAGCACCTCCCAATGGCCCTCCTCCTCCTCCTGCTGCTGCTACTGCTCCGGCAATGCCCAGCCCAGTGGTTCCTGCATTGTTTCCAGCATTGCCAAAGTTCAGGGGCGTTGCCGGCGTGGTCGCCGCATCTGGTGTCGGAGTGGCTGTCGACGATGTAGTAATATTGGAAACCATCGAATTCGACCCGACAAGCGGTGTCCCGACGCCCAATCCCGCTGCCTGAGTGAGCCCTGCATTGGTAGGAGTGTTGACGCCGCTTGTGTTGGGAGTCATTCCTGACGAGAGATACTCGGACCCGCGATTGTGAGGATACAGTCGCATAGCAGAATCAATGTTGACCGCCACTACTGCAGTATAGTTCGTACCAGCCGTTAGTCGAGTCCATTCTTGCAACTCTGTCCGTGACATCAGCCCGAGTTTGCTGATGACAGTTTTCCAGGTGAAGGATCCTCGCCTCTGGTAGACCAGCGTCCGGTTCCAGATCTCCTTGATGCCTGTCAAAAGCGGAAGGCTGCTGTTGCTGTTGCTGTGTTTTCCGTTGGCGCAGGAAGACTTCCCAGACATGAGCATCCTGCCGGTGTTGTCGGTCATATCCAAGACCAATTGCTCAAGCAGCTCGCCTCGGTGGTCTGTCCAGACACAAATCAGCCACCGACCATCCAGGCTGAATCCGTAGCCTACATGAAGTGTCGCTGGTGGCTTTGGCATCGAGTTGGGCTTTTGGTGCACATCAAAATGGATAGTCGGTGGGGTCGTCTTGGCTAGGGCAAACAGTGGGGCGTAAGTGTTGATCTGCGCCAGGAAATCGCGGGAGAAGGTGGCGCGCTCCAAAAACACCTTGCATTTGGCGTAGACTGTAAAGGCAATATCCTTGAGGCCAAAGAGCAAGTATCCTCCAAAAGTCGACGGGTTGATGACATGCTGGATCGGGACCAACTGCAGAACCAGGTTCTCGCGCGGCTGTTCCATTGGCGTCGAAATGGAGCCCATCGCTGTCCTGAACTGCGTCTTCATGATGGAGAAACACCGGCAGAGATCAAAGTAGCCCGCACCGTGGGGAAAGGGGTTCACCATGTAGATGACTGTGTGAACGTCCTTGTCTTTGCAGTCTGCGCCCAAAAGCGATCCCAGCTTCTGGCAACCATCGATATAGCTTCGGACCTGTCTCGCCTCCATCGATTCGCCAGCCAACGCTGGAAGGAGAGGGATCGGAACCAGACCGGGCTTGTAGTCCTGAATTATCCCCGGCTGGTGCTTTCCGAGGAGGGAAGTCTCAAACAAAACGCTCAGCTCCCTCCAAAATCGAGACACATTGTTCTCCATATCGGTGCTCTCCGGATAGACGACAAAGTAGGAAATGCTCTTCCTGCTCGAATAAGGTCCAAGACTCAGCTTCTCCCAAAACCTTAAAATCGTCGGTGAGGCCTCGAGCCAGTCGTCGTTGTGTCCGACAACAATGTCTGGTGGCAGAAGCTGCATGAGGGCTGGCTCCGCCGTCTTCTTCTTCTTGACCTGGTACTTGCCGTACTTGGATGGCATCTGCTGAGCCTCTCCCAGGGTGAAGTATTGGAGGAGGGTCAGGGGCCCCTTCATGATAACAGGGGGTACGATATTGCTCTGGCTGGAGTGGTGGTGATGTCCATGAAGAGTTGTGATGCCCATACCCATCTCCTGAGCCGCCTCCGAGGGCACAGGCAAGGCCACCGTGTCGTCGGATGGGTTCCCGCGCAGGAGACCTAGGAGATCAAAGATGACCGTCTTGATCTCCATTACATTCCGGAAGGATTCGTCCCCAAGCGCTGGAACTGTGGCAACACCTATGTTCGGGAACGAAAATTAAAACGTTAAATTTAGTTCACGCAAAAAACATTTCGGAAAAAAAAACAGGTGTAACATGTCCAGTACCGCGACATTCACAAAGTCATACCTTCGTTCAACTGTTGGCTCAAGATTTTTCGGCGTGCCAACATGACATGGAAACTCTCGCCCTCCGTTATTTCACCACTTGTCCCTGTCACCTCATTTGACCCGGCGAAAGGGTAATCGCCTATGACAGCCTGCTCGCACAGCGTTTTAACCGCCTCCAGAAAGTACTCCGAGGCCAACGATTCATGCACCGCTGGGGGCTCCTCCACGAGTGCGGGGGGTACTGACGAAAATATGACTGGTGTAAAAGGCGTGTCAAACTCGATCTCAGAACGATAGGCATCTGCCGAGTCCCACCCCACAGTCCTTGCGGCTGTCGTCGACTGAAGTGTTGCAACAGAGTCAAGGTCCAGGAGTACATTTCCGGCGGATGTGTACATAGCTTGGTCAAGGAAGGTCGCGACAAATTTCGCCGAGTTGACCCTGCGCAAAGTCCACGCGTCTTCCTGCCCGTCACTAGCAATGCCCCCGGCTTCGTCTCTTCTGCGCAAAAGTCGACCGAACTGAGGTCGGAATGTGCCGGAGGCGTTCGAGCTGTCATCGTCGCTGTTGTCTGTGGATGAGCTCGAGCCAGAGTCACTGTCGCTGTCTCCACTCGTGTTCTCGTCCTCCTTTTTACGCTTGAGGTTGGAGTGAAGGGGATATGATGAGAGACCCCAAGCCGTTGCAGGGGTTGAAACAGATCTGATGAGCGATCCAGGTCCGGCCATCGCAGACTTTTGTTGGGCCGTCTGTGAGCTTATCTGGACGATGTCGATCGACCCTCCTGGCTGGAATCCGTTCCAAATGATCCCATTCGTAAAAGGCTGAGACTTTGCCTTCCGTCGCTGTTTCTCCTTCCGAGGGGGCATGACCCATTCTTGGTCCTTTCCAGGCTGGTAAAATGGTAACATCTTGGACTCTCGACGGTAGAGGTTGAGTGGGTCTGGGACAGATGTTTTCCTCCGCTTGTAGAGTCGGCGGTAAGCAAATCGGCCACCAATCTTGTATTTGGACTCGTCGACAAGGTCATCTCCGGCGATCTTAAGGGGCGAGAACGATGAGGGTATAAAGCTCTGGATAGGCGAATGCATATGAGTGACCAGAATGGATGGTCTCTTGATGATGGATGTATCTGGTGATGATATTTGCAACGATGTAGGCAGGGCTGGTGGTTGATGGTTATGTTGACTGTCGAGTTGATTGAGTTCCTTTTCCACCGCTTGGGGTTTTGGCGTCTGCATGTTGACATCCTGACCAGATTGTGGGGCAAGAGATTGGTCACCTGAGGGTGAAATGGCAGCAGATGACGAGGATATGGCGACAAATCGATCTGTTCCTCCTGAGGGTAAAATGGCTGTGGACGGTGACATCATGTTGCCAAATCCTGATAGGTCGAGGTCCATGTTGTCCATGAGGCCGCCGCCATCGCCGATCGGGCTAGATGTCATCATGCCCTCCGAAAAGGTAGCCATCACACCGTTCGTTGTTGGGGTAACAGACGAGATCGCCGACGAGACCCCAGAGATTATGTTGAGATCGGCCGATGACATGGGTATACTGCTCTGCAGGCTGTCGAAGGTTAACTCCGGTACCATTGGCAATAGGCGCGGCGCTGGCGCACTCCGTGGTTGCTATTTATTACATGGCGTTCGAAAATTGCAAAGTGGTTAGTGAAAAGTTGGCACACAGTTTTTTTCCAAGTGCTGTATGCAGGCATGCAGATCTTATTATAGGACCTCCAAAACAATATAATCTCCCGTTCGGCTTGTTACCTCGTCAAAAAAGCTAAAGTCATCCTTGGTGACGACGCCCCAGTCTTCAAGATCGTCCGAATTTCCAGCGCCATAGAGGCCCATCATCGAATTCACGTCCATTAGACCCGACATCATGTCATTGTTGTCTGCAGGCAGATCGATCGGTAGCTGATACGACGAGGTGTTGGTGCTGGTATTCTGAGCATCTGCCTGAGAGGTATCGTTCGACGTGTTCGCATTGAACTGAGTCGAGCTGGTCGTGTTTGGTCTAACAAAAAGTGAGTAAATAAATAAGTCCGCATTAGTTAAAACTGAATATCTAAAACAACAACATTGCTCTCCCAGCTGAATAACTCAAGTAGCTTGATGTTTGCATTTGACATACTCGATCTCTGACGCCGGCATCGATTCTGGATCAAGGCCGTTGCTCCACGCCGCCTGGTTTGTATCAGGAGTGTCCAAAACGCCAAAGTTGTGTGTACTTGGCGGTGCCACAGTGTTTCGTCTGGGCCGTACCCTGATCCAACCATCGGCTTCCTTGGACCCTGTTGTGCTTCTTGTCACGTTGGGTCGCGATCGGGTCGGCTTGGCCGATGGTGTCACGGGGACAACAACCGACACCTGATTATCCGCTGCAGATGGCGAGTCAGCTCCTTTGGGCTCGGCGTTGGCACAGGAGTTGAGGACGATTGAAGTGAGGTAGGCATAGGGGTCGGTGTAGGACCAGTAGTCGATCCTGTTGGTATCGTACGTGGGCGAGTTGCTCGATCGCTTCATAAGCGCATCCTGTTGCTGTTGCAGAAAGAAGTTTTGTGATTGTTGTTGTTGTTGCTGCTGTAGTTGTTGCTGAAGTAATTGTTGTTGTATCTGTTGCTGCTGTTGTTGCCATGCTGATGAACCAGCCTTAAGTCGGTTCCTGGGCTCTGCAAGGACAGGCGTGTGCTCTGAAACAGGCTGTACGAGCTTTGGCACAGCAGGTGAGGCGATTGCATTCCTTGTTTTTTCCTGCCAAGACCACACTGCGAACTTTGCGCCAAGATCCTCAATAAAACCAAGATTCCTAGAGCCCATGCCGTCCAACTGGCCGACATCACTTGGTGACTCTTTGCAGGAAACAGGCACGAAAACGCGCTCCGTCGGACATTGAAGCACTACCTCGTTTCGCCCTGACTTGACACTGACGGCAACAAGACGCGGTAGTGACCGAGAAATTTCGTTGATCAATTCCTGATTCGTTCCAAAATGCTCAGCCCATCCGTCGAGGCACTTTTGCGTCTCCTCCTCTGTGAACTCTGCCATGTCCTGCAGTCGAAGTACTGCCGGCGTTCCATGTGGGCTGATGAGCACTATATAGAATTAGAACAATATGAACATCTTGACTGTGAGCTTTTCGATATTATTTTTCTGTGAACTTCTTTCCAACACGTCAGAAATGTGTGGAAACCATAATCTTACCTTTCAACTCTTTCTCTGAGGCTTGACGTGGATCCAGATCGGCTGCTTCCAATACGCGAAGTCGATGGTGTTGAAAGGTGGGCTGAAAAATGAGGTTCGTCAAGGAAAGGTACATCGTTACAGTGCACGACAGCATCGTCCTAAAGAGGTACAAGAGAAAGTATCGTATAAGCATCCAAAAGCATTCCTATGGAGCCCTGGTTTGAAACCTTGTGACTTCCTGTCTGCGACTTACAAGGATGGCATCTTGGGGAAGTTGGGTAGGATTGATCCGTCGAGTCGCGGCTGTAATGAGGCTGGGAACACATATGACGACCCCAAGCGATATCCGCCTTTGGCGACCATTCCTCTATTGATGGGCAAACATAGGTGCGACGTTATATTAGACCCCAGTTGATCGAATTGTGGGTTACATGAATGAAAAATGAAGCCATCCATGCTGATGCCGATGCCAATATGCAGGTATGATGGTTTACCGGTCCAAGACATTGCGTAGTCCGCGAATAAACATTTCGTACTCCTTGGCGGCACTCGCTGACTCTGCAAATCCTGCTTGTGAGGTCTGTGATGTCCCGGCGACTGCTGGGTTGTTGTTCTGTAGTATCGAGTCCCAGGTCATGTTTCCCGATTGACATTCTATATTGCAAGTTTCAACAGTGGGTTATGTTAGTTTTTTCGCGTGCTGGGTGGGTGGTCCTTCCCATAAATCGAGGTAGCCATTGCCTAAAACCAATGGTTTGCATAAGTATTTACCTTGTAGTCTTTCGAGACCATGGTTTTCCAGCAAAGACTTGTCGTTCAACCAAAAGACCCACAGCTCCCGTTCAAGAAGGGCGGTACTTCTACTTGACCGCCGTTGTTTAGAGTCGTTTGGCAGAGGAGGATTGTTCTTCTTGTCCTTGCCCTTGTCCTTGTCCTTGTCAGAATAGTGCCAGTGACATGGTATCCTTGCGGTCAAGAGACTGATGTAGGCTGAGAGGAAGGGATCTGATTCCGGATGACCAGGATGCATGGTTTCTGCAGAGGCATTATTGTGATGGCTGTGGTTGTGCTGTGTTCCTGGTTCTGAAGAACGGGATCGGGAGGGAGCCATTGACCAGCTGTCCGCGTTCAGCTGCCTCGCGAATTGACGCGCAGGACAACTGTGGGTGTATCGCGTATATCCAAACGACGTGAGCTCTGACTATTTTTTTGAAATGTGGATGAAAAAAGAGACGATGTTAATCGTGTTATAGAGACGCGTATTGCATTGGACAATCGCGAGATCTCAGAAGATGAATGTGGTTGCTTACGATTGAAAAAACGTTTGTGGGGAAGTTGTCATGGAGCATTATTATGAATGTTGTCGATGAAGAAAGGAAAGAAGTAAGGAAAGGAGATGAGGAAGAAAAAGGATCAGGGGTGGTAGGTAGGGGATGAAGTGTGCGTGGGTGTGTGTGTGTGTGTGTGTGTGTTTCTGTGGTTGTTTGGGATGAATACAAGTTTCAGGCCATGCCCGGATGTACTATTTTGGTGGCGAGAGAGGAGAGAAGGAAAGAGAGGAGCGAAGAGGGGGAGTAGCAAGTGGCAAAGGGAAGGGAGAAGAGAGGCAGAGGGTGGTGATCCTTGATCCTTATGTCGATGACAGGTGGAGTGGAGCAGAGATGGAGTGACAAGGTGGGAGTGAGCTATGCTGTGCTGTATAGTGAGTATAGTGGGAGTATGCAACGCAAGAGTGTGCGAACGAGAATGGAGGAAGGAGGACGAAGGGAGGGGACAGAGGAGGAAAAGGAGGAAGAGGAAGAAGAGGACGAGGAGGAGTTGGCGGGTGAGTGAAGGAGGGTTCGTTGGAAGGATGAACGGCAGCAGTAGCAGGATATAAGCGAAAAGGATGGATATCCGAGGGACATACAAATGGGCGACAAGATCGCATGTCAAATGCACAATGTGCAGTAGAAAAGGGCCTATTTCTTCAATTGACAAAGGGACTAAGCCACTGTAATTTCAATCGTGCCTGAACATGGCCTAGCTCTGTGTAGATCTCCACGCGCGTCTTATCTTCATGACGTTGGCTTTCATCTCCTCTTAGACAACCATATCGCCTCAACACTCTCCTCTGCCTGTGCATTAATAGCAATTCGAACAATCCGTCCGCGGCCATCGCTGAACGTCTGCTCGAACGCATATAAACAATCATTCTCAGGAGAAAAGTCCACTCCTGTGCTTTCGCTCGTCGGTCTGCAGTAGCCCCTGCCGTCACAATAGAAAGCGTTGGCCACTCGCAGGCGGCAGAGGCGAGGGAGAATCACATGCGGCTAATAGGAGGCAAGACGGCCTGAGGGGACTTGAAGACTGAGATGGTCGGCAATTAATGTTGGTGAGAAGGGACAGAGATGACACCTCATGGAGAATAAAAGCGTTATGGCTCGAGGAGGGCTGGGCCGACTTTGAGCGCTTGTAGTTGAGCTAGCCAATGTTCGCAGAGCCGATGAGGCTCTCGATGGGAATTGTTTTTTCCCTGTCTGGCGGTCTTGTTATTGCAATCGTCGCATTTGACCTCCTTGTCTATGCAAGCGTAGTTAAACAATAGCCGTACACGGGCCAGACGACGATTAAAAAATAAGAATTACCGATCGCTTTTGTTATCTCCTCTAATTTTGCACATCGTTACATCGTTGGTTACCATTATCTCTAGAGAGCAAGAAATCCGGCGACGGGGACTTGACTATCCTCCATTTCTCGACAACCATAACCAAATTGACAATGCCTCCTTTGTCTTCACTCGCGTTGATCGATAAGTGGCACTTGACGTCAACTTGACAAGGAAGCTGGATGTTGAAGCAGATGTCATCGTCCATGGTGCCCCAGGGTGCAGTGCTATCCTCCGGCAAGAGCTCGATTAGATATGCGCCTCGCTGACCGGAAATCGCGACGTCGAGTGTCCCGTCATCGGCAATATGGCGAGTCTTGTTGGTGATGGTCAGCGTCAGCCAACTGGTGGGGATAAAGTTGTCGTCCATGTCAATGGCGAGGGTGAAGGCGAAAGTGGTGGTGAAAGTGATAAGGATACGTGGTAGAGTGGAAAAGAGAGAAAGTATGTTTGACAGAGAGAAAAAAAAGGAAAAGCGATCGTTTTATTTGAAGTCGGCTCGAATGCTGTGGATCCAGCTTGGATATTAAGTGTGTGAAAGAGGAGAGTGGCGCGGTCTTTTTACGTTTCGCTCAGTGGATACTCTGTGGATCCATGTGGACGACTGTGCTTACACTCTGTTCTTTTCATGGCGTTATTATTGTCGCTATTGCGATTATTATCGCTATCGTTATTCAGTAAAGAAGACAGAGAGAGAGAGAGAGAGGGAGAGAGAAAGACAGCGACTGCTTAGCCACCACCCTGTCTACTAACTGTAGACATTGCATCTCTTGCAAACAAACGAGCATTGGCCGTAGAGCAGGGTGGTGCGCCGGTAAGAGATGCGGTATGAGAGAGAGAGGACGTTCAGGTTAGTGTTCCCTTGTTAGTCTATGATAGGAAGGAAGGAAGGAGGGCTTTTTCTACCCGCAAACGCGTCTTTGCCCTTGTGAGTGTCTTCCCTACACTTCACGTGGAAAAATATGCTCCACCTCCATGGGCTGTATTTTGAGAGGGAGAATTGTCCAAAGAGAAAGAAAAAAAGGCAGGCAAGAAACCCAAACAACAAAAAGACCTGAAAGAAAGGAAGAGGTAGAGAAGGAGTTGAGGAAGAAGGGGAAAGAGGTATTGAATGGACTGCATCTTGTCCCATTTCTTCACTTCGTGTTGCTCAGAAGAAACAAACCGCAAACAAAACAAACAACGGAAGAATGCTGCTTTGTCATCAAACCACACATACGCACACACTTATTTACGCACCCATCCCACCCACTGCTACTTTCATTCTGTGCCTCCTTTCTTCTTGCCATTCAACGCGTTTGTCCTCCTTGCACAACACAACATCACCATCTTTTCATATCGCAATTGCATGCAACCAGGAAAATAAAGTGAGTAATAAGAATCAACATGTGGAAAGACAAAGAGAGAGAGAGAATGAGAGAGGGAGGGAGAGAAAGGGAGAGATCCATGCACTCAAAGAACAAAGAACACATACTTGAGGGATAATTGGTGAAGGGGGCGATAGCGTGTTCTGACGTGGCAACCATTGTACCGAAGTGTCACCCAAAAGAGTGAAACGGGCGTAAACAGTGGGAGAACAGCACCATATCGAAGGCAGGTAGGGTCATTGTTATTATCGAATTGAATAAAGGCAAAGAAGAGTGGGATGTATGGTCGACTGTCAATGGGCGCAAGGTCCCCTCTTTGGATTGTTTTCTCCACAAAGTAGAGCATACAAGTCGTGTACAGTCAGTGAACTAAAAAAGAAGGTTTTCCTTTTTGTGTGGGCGTGTACTCTCTTCTCCGTGAACATACATTGAGAGCATTCTTCTTGTCCTTTTCTCTGCGTATTTCTTCTTGAACAACAACAAGAACAATAACAACAACAACAGTCGACTGTGGAGGAGGGACGGATGGGTGTTATGGACTTTATCCAACCCGGCAAACAACCCGACAAACAACAAGGCAAACAACGTAGCAAACAACCAGCCAACCAACCAACCAACCAACCTTCCATCTAACCAACCAGCGTTGGCCAGCGAGCGTATGTTTTTTGTTTGTCTCTTTACTGAATGCACACATCTAACTACTGCCAAAGAAAGGGCAATTGTCCCCGAACTGCCCGAGAAAGTCCATACATCAAGCAAACAAACAAACAAACAAACAAACAAACAAACAACAAGCAAACAAGCAAACAAACGAAGCAGAGGAGAATGTGTGTGCCCTATGTAGTCAATTGAATCGCATGTTGTTATGGCATCCTCTACAGTCCAGTCTACAAACTTACTCTCTTTCGTTTTTGTAGTCTGTGTGAATAAAATATTATTCTTTAGCACCCCCTGTCTCTCCAATCGACAGCAGACAACGGACAACATATATGGTTTTCGGTGTGACAAACATCCCATCGCATGACAGCCGTTAATATGCAGAAAATACGAACACCATACCTTTCCCCCCTTCGAGTCTGGCCCCCTCCTCCTTGACTCCACCCCATCATACCTTCTTTCCTTCCAATGATTAAATGAATGCGCCCCTCCTCCTCCCCCCCCCGGGTCAACTGTCGACCACTCATAAAGTGAATGGTGTTGTTCCTGTGTTCGTGAATATTTTGGTGTAGCGCATGGTGCTCTCTTTTTCTTCGTCCTTCAGGTATATAAACTCGAATATCCTTCACCTCCTACCCTCTTTCTCTTTTTTTTCCCTTCTTTCTTCCTTTCTCCACACCCCCCACATCTTCATCCTCATCCTCTCCCACTCCAAACCTTTTCCCCTTCACCCCTCTCTCCCCATACAGATAACAAAAAAAATAATCAATATGCGTCTTTCAACCTCCCTCACCCTGTTGGCCGTCTCGACCTTGGCCCTTCTCTCCTCAAGAACCATGAACGGACGCGATGCCAGCTCAGGAGTCTCCGCCGCCCTCAGCGTAGAAGAAGTCGTTGCCATCGAAGAACGCGAGGGTTCCAATGCCAACCTTTGCCCTGCCTGTCTCCAAAAGGCCATGCACAACCACTTCCCTCATGCCTGCGACAGTGACATGGACTCGAACGCCGCCAACGCACGTTCTACCGGCGCCAACGATAGAGAGGAGCGTTGCGTCTGCCTTGCTTTCCAGGACCTCTTCTGGATGAAGGCCGATTGCTCTGCCGAGTGCGTCTACACCCACCGACCAAAGTCCATGCAGTACTTCCTTCCAGCCTCCAAGATCGAAGGATGCGACAGGTGGCTCAACTTTGAGACCGGCGAGGAACTGAGTGTTGAAGGACACCCTGCCAAGGACTCCAACTACACGCCTCAGGTTTATGAGATTGCCCCACCACCACCCAACATGGTCGACGACGAGGACGATGACGGTCGCGCCGAGATCGCTGCCTCTTACACCGGCCCAGAGTCCAGCGCCAAGAAGGAGGTAGAGGCCGAGGCAAAGGAGGAGAAGAAGGATACTAAGGATACTAAGGATACCGAGGATGCCAAGGATACAAAGGACACTAAGGATACCAAGGCTGACGCAGCTGAGGCAGAAGCCGCTGCCGAAGTAAAGAAGGATGAGCTGTAAATTCATTAAACATTTATTATATATATTTTATATGTGTATATTCAATCCCGAACGAGGTCAAGGTATTCCTGTTCAGTCTCGTCATCAGGGACGAGCTCAAAAAGAATATCGTGAGCTAGGTCTGATGGATCAACATGTGAGCAGAAAGAAAAGCATTAAGAACAGTAGACACACAGGAAAATCAACTGTTAGGAACGTAAGCCACAATCACTGGATAGAGGCACCCCTCATCACCATATCTCATACACGTCGATTGCTCTGTCAGTAACTTACTTTGCACAGCCTCCGCCAATCCCAGTTCCCTCACCACAATCTTGCTCACCGTAAATGCCAACGAATGCTTCTCGCTCGGGCGCCTGCCAAAGTACCTCTTGATATCGTCTGGGAAGGCCCGCAAAAGATTGAGAGTCATTTCCATGCCAAGCTTCATGACCGCCAAGTAATCAAACAACTTGTCATACGGGTTCAAGGGGACAGATGACAGTGGTGAGACGCCTATTTCAGTCCCTGTCGCCTTCAACGGTTTACTCAGACTTCCGAGGCCCATGCTCGTCATGCGCAACGGCTTTAGGAGGAGCGGATATGACCTGTTCACCCTGAAATTTGTCGCAAATCCTCCCTCTGGTCCCTTGCATCGGAACAACGAAACGAGTGCATTCTGGTGATGGATCGCTGCAGCAAGTTCCTCAAGATCCCTGATAGAATGTACCAGTGTGGTCATCAACTAACAGAGTGTGCAAAAGCAATAGGATTAGACGGATATATAAAAGCGATCAGCTGGTACCTGTTGTTATCTTCAATGTAACAGCATCGAAAAGTAAGGTTACCTTTGTATCAACGAGCATTCGTTTCGTCTGCTCGAGGTTGACACACAGACAGCGGTGGATGATGTCCAGGATTGTAATCTTGATCCGTGGCACTGTGCCGTTCTATTATTCCCAACAACAAAGGTCGGGCCGTCGATTAGCAAAAGAGGCAGACTCGGTCTTGCGCACCGCCGATACCATAATCTTTAGACCGTAAATTGATGTGACAAGAAGCGGTGGGGGTAAACTTACAGCCAACTTTTCCATCGACTCCGCCTTGGCTCCCAACAACCCGATGAGGGTGTTCATGAATCGAAAGTTGGTGGACCATGCTAGCTGACTCACTCTCCACCCCATCAACAACTTGCAACACTCTACTTCTCGCGAAACAAAATCCAGGATGTTGACCATCAGGCGCACTTTCTGGAGATTGTTCTTCGCTCCTTGAAACCTGATAACTTCCTCAAAGACTCCCTTCCGAATCAACGGAACAAACGTCCTCGCAAGCTGCATCGATTCCAACTGGCTCCAGGCAACAAAATTCAGCACTTGAATAATCTCCAACTGGAACAGATTCTCGACGTCCTCCTTGAGCCCATACGCTATCCCTCCGATGGCTTCCTTGGCCGGAGGGTTCCGCGCTAACCGTGTGAGCAAAAGGTACTCGACACAAGCCAGAGCCGAGGGTAGCGAGGTTTCCGATGGTGTAATCTTCCATGCATCCTCGTTGTCATGTTCCAAGAATGGGACAGAACCCTTCGACACCTCCACCGACACGTCTTCGTATGTCATCATCAGTATGCGTAAGATCTTGAGGGCATTCAATGCGTGCTGAGGCTTGTCTAGAATCAGGCTTAGCTGAAGTAGACGGGTTGTATGTCGAAAAGCTTGTTCTTTGGTCCGAGGCGAAACTCTTTGTGTAAGACTCAACACGCTCTTGTAGCACTCCTGAGTGATAGCGCCAAGTTGTAGGTTATCATAGTACTTCTTTGAGCCTAAGTAAGTTTAGAAGTGATTAACGTGGCCAGTATGTATTAGTGTCTATGCGTTACAGTTGTCAATTTCAAATTTGAAACCAAACATGCGAGCTGTACCCTTTAGAGGAGCGTGGCGCTCTTCGTCAGGATCGATCGTGCGGAGCTGTGGCAAACCAAAGTCGAACTCCCTGGTCGCAAAAAGACTGTCGCGAATCTATTTCGTTGTAAAATTGACAACAAATGTCAGTAATGAGCAGAATCTGCAAAGGAAGCAACCGTCAACAATGTGCACTAAACACCAGGCATACTACTAACCACTTCTTCAGGCGACTGAGTGGGCATATCACTGTTGAACCCAAAGACGGGTCTGGTCGTCCTGCCATTCTCTGTGGTCAAGAGGGGTACCGACTTAGGCTTGTCAAATGATGGAGTCTTGGCACCCAGCGAGCGACTTTTTGACATGGCGCTCTGCGATGGCTTGAAGTTATCAAGTGAGAACGCACCGTCTGATTTGCGTAGGAGATTCACATAACGTTTTGTCAGTACTGTTAGGCAGAAAACAAGCCGCCCCTGTGACATACACAGGCATACACATACAATATATATACATACCACTTTTTGACTTTGACTTCATGGAGAGTTGGGAGGAGTTGAAGGGAAATGGAGTCGAGGGTATGGAAGGGGTCGAGGACATGGATGAAAATGGGAAAGAGGGTCCTTGTTGTCTTGTCGCAGGTTGGGTCTGGGCCTTTGCGCTTCTTTGTCCGTCCATAATCATCTTGGACACCTATTAGCAATAATGCAAGAATGGTGGAGAAACCCCGATAAATCGTTCAATGTTGTATCACAAGCCATGTGTAGAGAGCAACAAGGTTCGGTCGCTCGATTAAAAGTTGTTGTACTCACAGCAAAGTGGTGTTCGACCTCTGTTTTCTCGAGTTCTGTTTGGAGCTTCTCCTCCGCGGCTACTAGTTCTGCTCGATGCCTTTCGTGAGTCATACGTAGATCGTCCTCTGCCTTCACGAGCTCCTTTTTCCGAAGGTCAAGGTTGGAGCGAAGGATGGTGACCTCTCCCGACTTGGACTGCAATTCCGCATCCTTTACTCTCAATAGCTCCTCCATCTACAGATAAAGATAAAAGAAAATATAAATACGTAGTCTGTTGATTGTGGATTGACTTGTGTATCACGTTCATGTTCGCTTGGACGTGTTCAGGAGCCAACAGCGGTACCTCTGCTAGTTTTTCCTTCAGTGCCTCCGACTCGGAGGAGTCTTGATTATTTTCTTGGACAATCGTCCTTCTGGATCGAGTTTCAGCAGCCTCCGTCCTGCTTGCAGTCAACTGAGGATGATCCTGTTCAGCCTCCATCGCAATGTCGTCGGCCTCGAAATCTTCGTCAAGCCCCGTAAAGTCCAAATCGTCAAAGTTATCATCGAAATTCGCGTGGGTGCCAAAGTCGTCATCTTGAAGGTTGGAAGGTTGTATGTCGCGGTAGTGATCTGTGCCCGATCCGGTGGCGGTGCCGAGATTAGTTGCCGAGGCCGAGTTTGGGTGGACACTTAGTGCTCCGAAACGCTCCGTGTTGAACTTGGACGTCGCCACCGACAATCCTTCCTCGAGAGCCTGCGTGGTTCCGATCGACGACATTTCCTCATCGGTCAGCTCCTGAGATTCGATATGAGACCCGTAGGCTTGAGTGTTGGGGTGGTAGGGCTCGTTGAGGTATTTCCCGGTCGATCCATGGCCTCTTGCAGGTGATGGCGTTGGCGAGGGAACTATCTGTGTTGGGTTTGTCTGGGCTTGCCAACGACCGTTTGCGTATGTCTGGGGGTGTGGTTGTGCCTGCGCTTGGTGATCGGGTTGGCGCTGTAGTCTCTGTTGGTCGTGATGGGCAGGTTGTGTTGGCTGGGTCCTTTGAGGTTGTTGTTGCTGTTGCTGTTGCTGTTGCTGGTGCAGCTGGGCCTGTGCTTGCGCTTGTGTGTGTTGTCGGTGGTCTCGTTTTGGATGGTGAGGTCCTCCTGGTCGGTTCATGGCAGAGAAGAAGGAGTGAGTTCGCTCATTGAAAGTTAAAAGCAGCAGCAGCAATGGTGAAGGGGCGCGTTGTGCTCAGGGAGAGTTGTTGAAAGGGTCGATTTTTTTGCCACCATTTTTGGCAGCACATGCGATTATCATCGCTTCAGTTACGTTTGAGGCGATGATGTTGGAGGGTGAATTGGCCCAAATCGTCAGTCGCTTGCGTTTTGCTCTTTTTAAAAGAGGCAAGCAACGAAAGAGACAGCGTGTTCTCTTCATACATCTTCACACATCCACCCACAACAGCACATCAACACACACAACACAACGCCATGTCATCGAAACCACAGGAAAACGCCAAGCCAGAAGCACAGGTCCCTCAGCTCAGCGGACTCGAGGAGGACGACGAGTTTGAAGAGTTTGCCGCCCAAGGTACCGCCGTGCACACACACACGCACACACACACGCACACACTCAAAAGAAAGAACAACGAAACATCGCCGCCAAGAACAAACAACACACTTCCTTTTCCACCTGTCTGTCACTCACACACCAGAACAAGCAAATAATAGCGAACATGGAACAAAGAACAGGAAACTAAGCGTTGTCAAGGGACGTTAAGCAAGGCACCCGAAATGGGGAAAACAACTTGCTTGCCATCAACACTCACCACCAACACCAACATTCAACACCTACTTCACTCAAAGAGAAGAAAGAAGAAATCGATTACTCACAGGAACTGGCGACACATCTTATGTGTAATCAAGCAAGTAACACTCTCCTTTTCAAATATCTCGCGTGCACTTAGACTGGAACGAAGCTGAGGAAGAGAAAGACGCACATCAATGGGACGATAACTGGGATGACGACGACGTCGAGGATGACTTCTCGCAGCAGCTCAGGTTCGTCCATTGACCTTACTTGCAGTGAACACGCGTTCATATCTTGGATAATTGAAAAAGAACACAAGTTCATACGCGAGTTGCCACAAGAAAAACAAAGACCAACGCCTTTCGCATCATTTTTTGTTACCTCCAAAATAGGGCAGAGCTTCAAAAGTCAAGCGCGATGAAGGCATGAGCTGGAAGTAGCCAGGATAAGGCTCTTCAGGATGGACATTGATATGACGAATTTCCAATAAAAAAAATGCCAATAACAACAACCCTCTTGCCGTCTCAACGCCACCGATATGTTGTTTACAATGTATTACACGCCTAGCCTAGTGTCTGCTTAGCGGGCGATTTGGCCCACTCTCACATGGTCGTCCCTCCTTAGTTTAGATCAGATCCGTCACGTTCATGGGCATCTCGTCGATCTGTGTTGCGTAGTACTGCTCAATGTCGCGCAAGATCTTGATATCGTCCTGGGTGACAAAGTTGATCGCCACACCCTTGCGACCAAAGCGTCCAGAACGACCGATACTAGAGAAGCAATGTCAAATACACAGGTTGTTAGTCACGAGGAGCAAGTAGTCAAACAATTAAATAGCCAAAAAAATAATAACCAAACAAAACCTCCTCCTCTGAAAAGGTGTAGTGGCATATACCGATGAATGTAGTTTTCACGATTGCTAGGGAGATCGTAGTTGACGACCAATGACACTTGCTGAACATCGATACCACGAGCCCACACATCCGTAGTGATCAAGACACGACTATTCATGCAGGAAGTAAACGATCGTTAGTATCAACGCAAAGTCATTTGCCGAGAGATCTCACATAGCGATTGAAAGGATGTAACGAGAGTGTGTGCATGCAAGTGTGTACCTGGCTCCTTGTCTGAACTCTTGCATGATAGCATCACGTTCCTTCTGGGGCATCTCTCCGTGCATGGATGATACCGTAAAGTTGGCCTCTCTCATCTTGGTGGTCAACCAATCGACCTTTCTGCGGGTGTTGCAGAAAATAACGGCTTGTGTGATGGTCAGGGTATCGTAAAGATCGCAGAGAGTATCAAACTTCCAGTCCTCCTTCTCCACAGCGACAAAGAACTGCTTGATTCCCTCGAGTGTCAATTCGTCGCGCTTGACCAGGATGCGGATAGGGTCGGTCATGAATTTTGAAGTCATCTCCAAGACGTCGTGGGGCAAGGTGGCGGAGAGAATGACGACCTGGGTCGATGGGGGCAGGTATCTGTAGACGTCGTAGATCTGATCTTTAAATCCCTGGTTCAACAACTCATCAGCCTCGTCCAGAACCATCATCTTGATGTTGCGTGTCCTGAGGTTGCGGCGACGGATCATATCAAAGACTCTTCCTGGTGTGCCAACGACGACGTGCTGGCCGTTGTCCAGTTGACGGATATCCTCTCCAATGCTGGTTCCTCCAATGCAGGCGTGGCACTGTACGTTCATGTAATCTCCCAATGCGAGAATGACGCTCTGGATCTGAATAGCCAATTCACGGGTGGGGGCGAGGACCAAGGCCTGGGTCTCACGGATCGAGGTATCGATCGACTGCAGGATCGAGATGGAGAAAGTTGCTGTCTTTCCTGTTCCTGATTGAGCCTGGGCGATCACATCTCTTCCTTTGACAATGGGGTTGATAGCACGCTGCTGAATGGCCGAAGGTCTCTCAAAGTCTATATAATAAGCAACAGGTTGTATGTTAGGGGTTGAATCGACAGCTAACTTGCGTTTTTGGCCTTTTGCGGGAATGGGACTGATAACAAAGTTAAGAGCGCTTACTATAGGCATAAACACCACGGAGCAGATCGTCTTTCAATCCCAAAGAGTCGAAGGTGGGGACAACTAAACGACGAGAGCAGAAAAGAAATATTAACAGCAATAATAACAGGAGGGATTAGCTTGTTGGTTTGGTGAGTAGATCGGCGTTCCTCTTGCCACGCAGGTCATTGATTCCGACGATGGGTAGGGTACAGAGGAGAAAGAGTGAGTAAAGGTACCTTTGACGTCCTCGCTGGTCTCGAAGACGAGTTTCTCGTCATGCTTCCTGTTGATGCCAGCCATTGTCTGTTGATGTGTTGAGTGAACTAAAGAAGACAAAGGTCGATCGAGTAGTTGTGCAACTTTCTTGCAGACCAGGTCGACGTCACCTTCCCCTTTTTGCAAGATCGGTTATGCATTCCATAAATGCAAGAATGTGTTCTGTGACCCTTCCCTCCACCGAAAAATTGCGCAAGGTGTGGCCACGCACTTCTTTTTTTGTTCTCGTTCCACGTCTTCGCGTTTCCTTCGCCGAACTTCGCTTTCCTCTCTCTTCTCTTTTTCTTTGTCTCCTTCTTCCCTTGGCTCATTGCCAACGCATCCTATCCTCCACCCTGTACTACTATCACCACAACTACAACATTCTCAATACTCCCTTTGAACTCCCCCATTTACACCTCCATCGGCCATCCTCCTCTCGCGCACACACGAGCCCAGCAAGTTGAAAGAGAGAGAGAAAAAAAGAAGGAATATCATAGAGCTTAACCCCGCGGTACCATGCCACCATACACTGTCGCTATGAACATCATCGAACGACCCGACCCCCACTGGGGCGACCTCTCCTCTGCTCTGCACAACATTCTCCCCTACGCCAACGACCTCGCCCTGGAAGCTAGCGAAATGCTCAACAACATTATCCACCATCTCGGCCTCAGTCTAAAGTCCGAGGACTATGCACCGGGCACCCTCTACTGGGGCAAACAGCTACACCAGTACGTACATATGTCACTCGAGTTGATCCCCTCGTCGCGATGAATTGGGCGTCGTCCACGAGTGACATATATACACACATATTAAACTTTGTCGTGTGATGTTGTAGATATCTTGATCTGAAGTACGCGCTTCCGAAGCAGACGCGAGTCTCGCTTGCCAAAGTCTTTTGGGAGCTGACGATTGCCCCTGGGATGGATGCTACGATGGTTGAGTTCTTTGCGCTGACATGCCGCCGTTTGATCAAGTAAGTGTTATATTCCCTTCACACTTTCAAAATGGCGTTCCTAGATTTTGTTTCTGTTATGGAACTGCAATAATACAGTCGGTGTGCGTGTCTGTGAGTGGGAATCTGCATGGGGTGGTCGACGATGCAGTATAATGGTTACAACAGAAAAAGGGCTGTCTTCCTTTTCTTTCATTGCTCTCTAGGACCAAGGAAACAACGGAATAAAAAAAAGGGTGGTAAACCCACCACCGATGCGCTGTGCACAGAAAATGCATGCAGGGTGGACCAGAATTGACACTATCACATATTGTACACAAACACACAGACCTGCCGCTAGTATTATTCTTGTTATCAACTAAATGACTCCATCATACTCATCTTTTACTCTAATAGGAAAAAGGATCTTATCGGACGCGAGGACCTCATTCTACCGTGGCGACCTCTATACGACATCCTCGAGAGGACATTGTTTCCCAAGAACAGGCAAAGAGCATTATTGTCGGAATCGTATGAACTCGACCTCCTTTTTAAATCCAAGCAAATGCTGTCCTTAGAACAACATCTAAATAAGCTGCAATTAATCTCTGTCTCCCTTCTCCCTTTCGCTCGTCATAATTTGCTCCGCTCGCCGCTCGCAATTACTGTCCCGTAGAAAGCGTATGCTCAAGATCGTCTGGCTCGCTGAGGATTCACAAAGGTAGCGTGGCCTGTGGATATTCGACAGGGCCTGGCTCGTGTTTATGCATCAGGGCGAAAAACTTATATGTATGAGAGTGGAGAATGGAGTTTTTTAACAATTATTCGCCAATTCATTGTCGCCTGATAGATTTTTCCCTCCAGAGGCACCCTCTCAGATTCTGGAAGAATTCCTCCCAAAGATGAGCACCAGCAACCTACCAGAACTTCTCAAGTCTCAATCGTACTTGGCCACTTTCCTACCAACAAGCATCGAATCTGGCATGGATCCCCGCGAATGGTTGCCGGCTATTTTCAGGTTGTGGTCGATGGTTGTTCAGTCAACAGAGTTTGATCGGAATTTCCTGGCGCTTGTCGGTCGGGTGGCGGCGGACAACATCGGTGTTAAGGATATGTTCACGCAGTCTCAAACCCGCACTGTGTTCGCTGCTGGTTTGAGCGCGCTTAACTTGCCTGTTGGCAAGGGTCAACGCTCGAACGCCGTTGATTCACAAGGAGGCACGTCTCACAGTACTATCAGTCGTAGTGGAGTAAGTCGGGTGATAGCAGAGCCTTGTTGACAGAGATAAGGCATCTATCCTTTTCTACTAAGACACTACCGGTACTGGTGCTAACCCGGCGTCAAATCTTCCCTTGTATAATAGATGAGAATGATTACTTTTGTAATGTTCATTATCAACACCATCAACCCTGTCAGCGAAAAAGAATCCCCCGAATCGTCGACTTTGTCGCACCTTGCTGAACTGATCCAGGCAACAGAGTCTTTTTACCATCCTTCAAACTACGGGAAGTGGTCCTATGTCCTTGCTCTGTTCTTGGAAGCCTTGGCTCGCGACTATCTCGAGAGGTGGAATGAAGGTACGTGCGAGAGCTTTTCTATTTTGGACCTACTGGTGCGACGGCAAGCTGCTCCGTATCAACCCTCATTAACACACCCTGTCTCTCTTCCTCTCTCTCTCACTTTCGCTGTTATACTACCATAGAGAAACAACCAAACTGTAAAACACCTCAGGAATATCGCTTGACGACTGAGCTCAACAATCGTTTCGTGGAGACTGTGAGAGGCGTCACCTATCAATTGATGTTCTCAAAGGACCAGCGTGCAGTGGCGACCAACCAAAAGACTTTACGCTATCTGGCATGGATCAGGCCCAGCCTGATTATTCCTGGAGTGCTCGAACGGGCTTACCCATCGCTGGAATCATTGACAGAGAGTCACCGCACGACAAGCGTCATCTCTGCGCTTGGCGCCTTGGCGGTCCCCATGCTTAACCGCGAACACTACCCACAAGGGGGAAAGCACTTGGCGCCACTGCTCCACCTGACAGTTCCTGGAGTCGATATGAACGATCCAGTCAAGACTTGGTACACATTACTGTTTGTCACCTCCATGGTATCGACCGTGCCGATTCGTGATTTGACCGAGATGGGTAGCGCAGGATTCGAATGGGGAGGCATTGATATCGACATGCTGGACTCGGAAGGTACTGTCGATCTGGATTTGGAAGACTCCAGTCGAAAAGCCTCTACTGCTGACTTTGAGGAATGGTTAATGAAGTTTCTGCGCCGCATTATTCTCATGGTAAGAAAGAGTGCGTCGACCTTTTTTTGCCTTGAATGTACGTAAACCGTTTTTCTTTATGGACTATGAATATAAGGGCAGCATCTAATGGAAAAGTACTTTCTTATCGATTTTGACACAGTTTGAGAACTACCCCGATACCAGTCAAGGAGCAAAGAAAGATCAAGTTGAGCGTTCAGTGACAGCCACCATCTCCGTAAGTAATCGTGTCTGGCTAGTTCACTGTGAAGGTGTAATATTACATTACGTTGAAGTAATGACTGACACTCTGTATGCTCTCATATCATATCTAGTATTGTTTCGAGTCATTATTCCAGCAGATTTCACCCAAGCTATACGACATGACGACAAAGCTGGTGATCGACCTCGTGGAATCGGCGCCTCTCTCTAACGCCGAAAACGCCATGGGCGCCTTCATCTCCTGCTGGGCCGGTGCTGACAGCAAGAATGCAATGGCGCGGCTATTCCCGACTCTCGACAGGCAGATCCGGTCTGAATTGGAGCATGGTGCAAGTTCAGTTCCATCTCTGACATACTCGCATTTGAACAGGGACAACTCGCTGCACTATTATCAGACACTCCTTGACCGTTTGATTGGCTGCGGTGACCTGTTGGGTCACAAAGCAGAGTTGATCAGCCTTATAAGGCTGATGACGGAAAAGTGCCAGGATCGACGAGGTTACAAACTGGCTGCTAAAGCCGTGTGCTCTGCTTTGAATGGGCTACTTGTCATCGCACCTATGGATCTTCGGTCGCATGAGCCATCTCGATGGAATGACCCTGGTAAGGACAATTGAGTCGTTTTTTGGTGAACAGTGGAGGTCAGGAGATGACAATATTCTTAACAGACACCTGTTTGCATTTTTTTCTCCTTCGACCCTGTTAGCATTCATGGCAGAGTCGCATAATCACTGGGGTACGCTGGGAGCGCCAGGAACAGAGGCGGTCAGTTGGCATGTTCCTTCACAGGACGAAATCAACTTTGCGATCGAGTTGATTGATACATTCCACGTCCCTGCAATGGAGCGTCTCCGGGAACTAATGACTTCGACGATGCTGGAAGGCAAGCAGTTGGCGATCGAGATCTGCAAGTCGTTAACGATGGTCAAGGCTGTTATTGCAAGCATGGTGACACTGGTCGAGGACGACGGTGACAGTCCTGTTTCGAAGTCTAACGACGATACGGCATCTGTGCAACCGTTGAAGCGAATCGAGTCAGGATATTGTCTTACGGACTTGAGCGACCCTCGTACCAACAAGGTCCGGAAGATTCGCACAGAGACAGGAAAGCTGCTTCACGAGCTCATGACGTTCTTCCAAACGAAGCGTGAAGATGATGTCGTGAACATCAAGGTCGTCGTCAAGGTATGAGCTTTGTACATTCCAACCCGCCCAATTTGATTGTTTCTTCTCTTTACGCCAACAAACTTATTAATATCAAGATCTCCCCTTTTTTATTTCCGTAGGCTGCTCGTATCTTCCTCTCTGATCATGGCGTAGACAGCAACACCTTTGACAACAACAAGAAGGGACACGATTTCCTCAAGGAGATGCACAGGATCCCGGGACTCAAAAAGGTTTATCCTCGGTTCATGCGCTGTCGGCGAGCATCCCTCCAGCTTATGTTACGACTCAAGATCAACTCTTTTGGACGCGCCAAGACGGAGATGCACGACTCTCTCATCTTGGGCCTTACAGAGCTGTCACTGAGCCAGTATACTGATGTCAGAAAGTAAGTTCTTTCTCTCACAATGCCACTGATCCGTCACCTTCCACAATGTGAACATATGCTGATATCGAAAACAATTTTTTATTCGGTACCTATAGGAAATCACAAATCGCTCTCATCAAGGCGGTAAAGTGTTACCAAGGCGCCAAGAACTTAGTTCTCCCTATTCTGCTCAAGTCACTGGAGAGCTCCAACACCGATTTTGAGCGCATCAAAGGGGCTCTGTATCTACTCAACGCCAAGGCATTCGCCCTTCCTTGCCTGCGCGACTGGCGATTTGCACCTGAATACATCCTACGGCTTTGCACTGCCCACCACGCCGACAAGCCGAGTGTTCAGACACTCGTCAGGAAGTGCTTCATGGAGTACATCATGAACCTGACGAACGCCTCCTTCAAGATGCTGATCAGCAGCGAGTTTGGAGAAACCGTTCATCAGTTCATTGAACTGCACAGCTTGCAGTTCGACCCCGACACTCTCAGTCGCTCTTCAACCAAGGCCAACAATCGCCGATTGAACAACATCAAAGCCTACGACAACTTGGTCCTCTCTCTGACAGAGTTGGTTCAAGACGAGAGCCTTCATTGGCGTTACCAGACAATGGCGATGAGCTTTTTGGAGCTCCTGATGCGACCGGAGATCCCTTGCAGCCGCGAGATTGCCGAGTTTGAGACCAAAAGCTTGCTCTCAGAGATGCCCACTGTTCGCCGGATCGCCCTTTCGAGTCTGAGCATCACAATGGTCAATATCAAGGTCAGGACGTACGCGCAGGGAGACCCTTACAGCCTGATCATCCGAAAGGCGTCGAACCCGTTGAAGCGGATCGTGACTCTTCCCGAGACTATTCCAGATGACTTTACTTGGGAGTACCTCAAGGCGTCTGTGACAGAGATCAACTATGACAATCCTGAGTTCAGGTATGCAACACTTTAAGCACCAATGTGTATTGCCTTGTAGAGGCGTTTGAGCGACAATTGATCGTAGACGTCAGCGTACATTTATTAACTCTCTTACTTTGTACTTCTGCCTAGTCTGATGGATGATTCAACATCAACGGGATGGTTGGCGTGGCCAAAGTCTTACAAGGCTTACCTGCCCCGAACAGAGACGTTCATCATGCCTGAGGTGGACGCTGACTCTCGGCCGGCATTTGACCATCTGGAGCAGTTCTTCGGGCAGGAATCGTTCTGGGAGAAGCACATTGAGTACGTGGCGCAAGAACCAGTCCGAGGAGAGCGACATGACTCCTTTAGCACGGATCAGGCCCGACTCTACAAATCGATCTTTGGTCTTTGGGAGGACAAGTTCTTGGATGTCATTGTACCCCCACTGACCAAACTGTGCGCCAAGGTGGACGATAAAAACTCTCAACGAACAGCGGCAGAGTTGATGGGAGGATTGATCCGTGGTAGCAAGCACTGGAAGAAATCAGGACTTGACCGCATGTGGGTAATGTTGACGCCGCTGCTGAAGAAGGCATTCCAGCAGTGCACGCCTGACTCCCTGCTGTACTGGGAGAGGTTTGTCAAGTACTGTTGTCATTCTCGTGATCCACGACGTGTCCTGCCCCTGATCACCCTGATCTTCAACACGCCTCTGGACAAGGACTCGACCGCTGCTTTCTCAGAGTCCAAAAACTTGTTCTTTACCCGGGCTGTTCTGGTTTCTTTCTCGTGGAGGGTTTCCTTGCTGACACCTGCGCTGAGGGCGGACTGTCTTCGCCACGTCACCCATCCCTACAAGCAGGTCCGTGAGATCCTGGGCCATGTGATCAATGAACTCTTCCAGTTGGCTCCCCATCCTTCCTACAAGAGTGTCGATGCCTTCTTGAAAGACCAAGATGCACTTGGTGGTGCGTCCAGTACAATGGTCGAGCAAATAGACGAGAAATCCGCGCACCAGATTACAGAGCTGGTCAAGAACCTGGAGAAATGGCGAGCTGAACGACCACCTGCCGTCCAAGGAGCCTCAGACTACACTAACGCCAGCAAGACAGGTACTTTTATCCTTTTGGGTTTTATTACTCTTCCTTACGCCTTGGCTTTGTTTTGAAACTTGGGACGAAATATGTTATATGTTAATAATGCCATGTCATTCTTTTGCCTTCCCCAAACAGTGCTTGCATGGGTGTACCAGGCGCTGACTGGATTCCGAGTCCTGTCGACATATGGGGTGATCTTGCCTTTGGTGCCAGAAATCTTTCAAATGCAGGATATTCCGGACGACCAGGATTTGCAACAGCTGGCGACACTTTCCCTCTTGCAACTCGGACGATTTGTGTACCCAGCAGGGATGGTCCCCACATTGGTGGACATGTTCTGCAGGATCCTGAAGGAATCGACCAGCTGGCACGTCCGAAACAATGTCCTTCCGGTTGTGCAGATCTTCTTTTACAACAACCTGTACTCGATGGATGTGCAGATGATGGTTAAGGTCATGGATGCTGTCTCTGGCATGCTCTTGGACCCTCAGATCGAGGTAGGTCACTTTCGAACATATACTTTCCTTTCGCTGTATGTGTCCTCCCAATGTTGTTTTATGGGTTTTTTTTCATTTTTCACTAATGACAGCAATGCTATTTTTTTATGCTCGGTCGGTGCGATGCAAATTAGGTTCGTCAATTGGCTGCATCGACTCTGTCTGGAATTGTCCGATGCTCACAGCGCACAGCGATACAGACATTGATCTCGCACTTTAAGAAGTTGTTGCTGTCGACTCCACTGCCAGCTCGCAACAAACGGGACCGATCGCTACCCAAGGAGACTTTGCCAGAAGGCTATTCGGAGGCGGTGGTCAAGCGACATGCAGGAGTGTTGGGCTTGTCGTGTCTCCTGGAGGCATTTCCGTACGATGTCCCTCAATGGATGCCGGAGGCGATGGTGTTCCTGGCCAAGTACTTTTCGGACCCTCCGCCAATCTCAACAACGGTCAAGAAGACGTTTGGGGACTTTAAGAGGACCCATCAGGACACTTGGCACGAGGACCAGAAGCACTTTGACCCTGAGCAGTTGGAGGTGTTGAGCGATATGTTAATTTCCCCCAGTTACTACGCTTAGATTATCTATCCTATTTGTGCACTTTGAAAGAAAAGAAAAGAAAAGAAAAATGAAGAGAGACAAAGAACATTTACAACAGCTGCTTTGTTGCTGTCATTTTCAGTTGTGTGCAATGTCTGTGCTTCCAAAAAAGGAGACAGAGGGGTAAGAGGCGTTGATGTGTTTTTGTTGTCACGGCGTGGGATGGAACGTTGGTTTGTTCGTTGAGTTAAAGGGCAGGAACAGAAGTCGTGCCCTTCCCGGCTCCTGGACCTGGTCACAGAAGAACCAGCAAAAGTTGCGCAAAGGTATGAAGGGGGAAAAAAGAATATCACCTCCTTTTTATTCTAATAACGATGGTCAATATGGGATTGAAAGTCGAGGTCCCTTTGAGATCCGGGATGGAACTGAAAAAGTTAAAACCCTGGGGTCTTGTTCAGACTCTGAGATGCGGAATGGGTTTTGTTTTGGATCGTCATCTGACGGAGTAAGAAGAACCTGTATGTTTCTACGGAGAGAGAGAGAGAGTGGAAGAAGGTGCATCGTTGCTCCTGCTGGACTCCGTCTTGTTTCCCCCTGGCGCGTAACCGGAATGACCTGGTTCAGAGTCAGTGGCGCCAAGGGTCTTTTTCTCTCTCTTTCTTTCTCCCTCCGTCTGCCTATGAACATAGTGAGTGATAAACACCATCCGGAATCAGGGATGTTGGCCACACTTTATATCCCGGTTATTTTTTCTTCTTCATCTCCTTCGCTTCCTCTCTTTTTCTTCTCCTTTTCTACATTTGCGCTCTTTTCTCATTTCTCTTGGCTACACCGCTGGTACTCTCACTATCATCAACACACTCTTCCGCGGTACCTACCACCATACTTTCACACAAGCATAAAGCAACCGCCAGCATCCCAGGACATCCTCCTCACCAGCTCACCCTGACCGCAACACCGCATCTCACATCCACCACCCTGTACTTACAAACAAACAAACAATCCCCACTCTCCAAAAAAAAACATGAAATCGGTGTTCTCTTCTGCCTCAGCGTTGGTCGGCGTGGCCGCAGGGCTTTTGACCCTGTCCACTCTTGTACGTGCGGGTATGTGAAATTACACCCCTCTCTCCCTGCAGTCATCCTTTTTTTTTGCTGGTGTTGCTCTCATTTACTAAAATTCAATCTCTCCTATTTCCGACAACGCGACACATAGACAAAGTCTACCTGACCATGCCCCAGAATAACACTGACGCGATTGCTGGTGGGTGCACAATATTACCCCTCTTCTTCCCTCTCCCTCTCTCGCAAACACTCTCCCTCTCATATTACTCTACCACTCATACATCACTCGCTAAAAAACCGTACCATTTGTTCAACTGATTCGGAGAGTTGTTTGGCTTAACACACCGATTGTTTTTGTATTTAATCTACTGAATGTGATAGGATGTGATATGGACTTGGGGTTCCGAGTCCAATACTCCGACCTCGCGATGCTCCAGTGGGTCCAGCTGCAGGTATTGAGCGCTGACCAGACCATCGTTGTCGATAAACTGGACAACTCTACCCGCACTGAATGGGATGGTAAGAAGCAGAAAGGGAAAAGTAATGGCGCCCATACTTGTCTTTTTTTTTCTAATATCCCCATTGATTCCTATGTCACACCTTACTTATCCACTGCATGGACGTTGATTGACATGGATATTTCTTAGATGTGCGCTCCAAGAACATTACATGGTCGATTCCCGCAGAGCTGGCACCTGGAGACTACATCCTCCGAGCCTTTGGAGACGCTTACTACTACTGCACTGAGAATAACATCCGTACCTTGTGTCCACTCCCTCTCGAGGACCGACGGACCATCCATGTCGCCACCCCTCTGAAGGCAGGAAGTGACCCTTCTTCATCACCTTTAGAGTGTCCCGCAAACCTCACTCCTCTCTCAAAACCAAAGACCTCTTCGGCCTCATCCCTGTCGTCTTCTTCAGCATCCACAACTACAACGCCCATGCTGCATTTCATTATCAACCCGGATGTTTTGAATCTGCTTCAAAACGGCGTTCACGTTGCCAAGCAACAACAGGATCAGGAAGAAAAGACTGCCACTGGAGACCTGTCGATGGAGACTGGGAAGGGACTGTCTCAAAAGCCCGACTATGAGGATGATGGTGCGGCAGCTATTGGCAAGGAAGGGATGAAGAAGGACAGCAGCTGGTCTGCGGTCAATGGTGCTGCGGGTTGGATGGCTGCAGGTGGAGTGGGTTCGGGAACAAAGCTCCCGGTGCTGTTGGCCGCGGCCCTTGTTCTTCTGCTCTGAACCAGAGAAGCGAGCAGTGCGTGCGTGGTACTGTAGGCGCGACTAGCAAAACTATATAAAAACTGTTTTCTACATATCACATGACTCTTGCCACCAACCCGCCTTTGGTCTATTTCTGTCGCCCTTCTTCCCAGCTCCCATTATTCTCTCCTTGATTCCTCCTGTCTCTTGTCCTTTTCTTCCTTCACTCGTTTCCCCTTTGCCCTACATTGCAATCATCGCCATCATCTTCTTCATCGTCATCTTCATCTTCTTTTTCTTTTTCCCTCGTCCTATCCTTCCTTCTTCCTTCTTCTTTCATCTGCCTCCTGTCTTACATCGCGTCTTCCCCCCCTTTCCCCTCCCCGTCCCTATTCTGTTCACTTTTGTCCCTCCTTCTAATACTTTCCTGCCACATGGTTGACGTCTCCCTCTCTCCCTCCTCTGCCGATCCTACCGAGTCTCATCCTTACCCTCCCTCCCCGCCAGACTCGCCTCCTTCGCCACCCAGCCTCGACCCTACTCCCACTCCCACTCCCACTCCCACTCTCGCTCTCACCCCTTCTTCCACCTCAACCATCGCGACATCAGCTACATCCACAACCACACCACCAACCCCGATTCCCCAGCCTCACCCAACCTCGACAACAACCATGGACGCTACTTCTCCTTCAAACTCACCCGCGCCACCCGCTCCTTCAAGCACACCCGCAGCAATAACCGCCGCTGCAGAAGACAACGACAGCAATACTAATAAGAATAATAATAATAACAACAACACCACTCATCTGCCCTCGCCCCAAGCAGTAGCGACAACGACAACATCAGCTCCTTTGAACGGAGCAGACGCAGACACGCCCACCGCCACCGCTCTCTCTGCTGTCCCCGTCCGCAAACGCACCCTTGCGGACTACAGACTGGGAAGAACCCTTGGCGAAGGATCCTATTCCACGGTAAGTAAATAGAAAAACACGACGCAAACCTCACTGTTTCTTTTGCTTGGAGGATTAATTCACTCACCGTCCATGGTTATTTCGGACGATAAGAACAAAAGTGTCCGTTGGCCATATTCCAAACTATGCCAGAGCAAACAAACAACAAACAAAGGACCCTGCCTGCTATGTTTTTTACTTTGTTAATATATCTTTGGCAAAGAGTCTGCCTGGACGAGTGAAAACAGGACAAACAGCAAGGACGGTGATGATAGCAGCGCAACGATGAACAGGATGATGATATTGAGCCTACAGGAGTGACCGTACTGGACACCAAAGAGAAGGAAGGGAAAGATATGAGAACGCCAGATTCTCCAGAGCATTTTCTGCATACAAACTACACCACTCCGATATAACGCTCCCTTACTAGCATCGCCTTTTGACCCTTCTCGTTTCGACTCTTTTTCTTCCCCTCGCCGTTGCCTAATAGGTCGTAGCAGCGGTCGATCTTTCTAACAGGCGTGATTACGCCATCAAGGTTCTGGACAAGCGACACATCATCCGTGAGAAGAAGGTCAAATACGTTAACATCGAAAAGAACACGCTCTACAAGCTGGACCATCCAGGAGTCGTGAAACTGTACTCAACCTTTCAGGACAGCTCCAGTTTATGTAAGTTTCCGCAAAAAACCATTTTGGATGGTTGATGCCTTTGAGGCGAGGGCGGAAGGGAAGAGGAGAAGTAAGAAAAAGACGTACCATGTAATTGGTGTGGAAGGAGAGCCACGATAAATGACAACATCAGAGGGAGCGCTTTGGTTTTTTTTTGGTCCCTTGGAATGAAGGAATGAAGGAATGGAGACGAGGCAAGAAGAAAAAAATATGAGCCATGAGGAGAGAGCAGAAAGTGAACTGAATATAATGTTCAACGCCAAAAACCAAAAAAAAAACAAAAAAAAACTGCTCGAAGGCACTTGAGCATTGTGAGAGAGGAGACAGTGAGATCTCTGCATATGTATCAATAAAACGTGTCGAGATGCCTCCAACGGATATCCAGGATCACGCCAGTGCTCAAAAGTCAACATCAACGACTGCAACAATCCACACCAAAGAATCACAGGGACAATGCTGAAAAGGACACACGGAGACAATGGGCTTCCAAGGAGAGAGCAACTGGACGTGCTTTCTCTCTCTCTCCTTTATTGTCGTGGTCGGCCGCCCTTTCTCCTGGATCAATTTATCACATTCGCACGTTGTTACATTGATGGTGTTTTGCTAATCAAATGCTTTTCTTTATTACCCGTAGATTATGTGCTCGAGCTGTGTCAAAATGGAGAGTTGTTGACCTATATCAAGAAGGTACAGGATCCTGCATTGTCAAGCATGGGAAACAATATTATAATGCCTTTGAGAGCGTCAGCGTCGCTAACATGTACACATTATTGCTCCACTTTTTCTTGGGACATTTCCAGCTTGGATCCTTTGACGAGAGCTGTACGCGATTTTATGTGGCACAGATCTTAACTGCCGTCGAGTACGTCCACAGCCAGGGAGTTATTCACCGTGACCTTAAGCCTGAAAAGTAAGGGTGGCCGTCTGCTCTACATGAAAAAAAACAAAAACAATTGCATCTTTCTTTATGAAGCATTGGCACTCACATCAATTGTCGTTCCCCTTTAATTGCCATATAGTATTCTTCTGGATCATCGGATGTACGTCAAGTTGACGGATTTCGGGACAGCCAAGATGTTAGAGCCGTCTGAAGACGGCACAGAGTCGGATCGGGCCAACTCCTTTGTCGGTACCGCCGAATATGTTTCTCCGGAACTGCTAACCGAGAAGGCGGCTTGCAAGAGGTACGTACAGGCCGTGAAAGTGAGGGCGTTCTTGGCGTAAAATGATGTCGCAAAAATAATCTCCTGCGTCTGGCGTTGTCACTAAACCGGCTCTCATTTTGTACCCAATCGCTCCCACAAAAAACAGCTCTGATCTTTGGGCGCTTGGATGCATCATCTACCAGTTGCTGGCGGGGCGACCTCCATTCAAGGGCTCGAACGAATACCAGACGTTTCAAAAGATTGTCAGACTCGAGTACACGTTCCCCGCAGGATTTCCCAAGGCGGCTATGGATCTCGTTTCTCGCCTGCTTGTCCATGATCCTAACGAGCGGTTGGGAGCCAACAATACGATCGATCAACTCAAGCAACATCCATTTTTTGACGGCGTCGAATGGTCAGAGCTCTGGAATCAGCCCGCCCCTAAACTCATGCCTTATCTCCCTCCTACACCTACCCACAACACGGAGGCTCTTCGAAGTGACCATGATGCCTGTCTGTGGAGCATGAACAGGACAGGGGAAACGCTCATGGTCGTCGACCCCTTTCGGGAACTGGGCGACAGCGGGAGCAGCGTCAATAACAGTGGCAGGAACAGTATCAATGGTCATGGAGGTCATGAAACAGATGAGAGCGACGGAGCACATATCGTGAATGTTGGCGTCCATGGCCCATCTGAGTCCGCCGAGGCGACCCCAGCCTCTCAAAGCCTGACCATTTTGCCAACATCTGATGATTCGGCAACGACCACACACCCGAGCCCCAGCACATTGCCGTCAACAGCGAAAACAGTAGGAGGTGAATCTTTGACACCTAATGGAGGAACAGGGCCTTCTCAGTCCACCTCACTTCCAGCGCCCGGAACCGCTCTACCAAAGTCGACTTCCGCCCCTGTTGCTGTCGGATCCTCGACCTCGAATGGACACGCCAAAACCAAGGGTGGGAGTCGAAATGCGTTTGTGGCGCTTTTCTCAGGATCGAGACATTCATCGGGCAAGAAGCTCTTGAGCAAGAAGGCTAAAGCCGGCGACGAGACTGCGGAGACCTCACAGCAACGACTTCAAGCCCGACAAAATCAAATGGAACGTTTGGTAGGCGGTGTCCGACGCGAAGGCAATCCTCGGAAATCCGGAGGCATATCTAGAGAGAACTCGAGTGTTTCGCTCGCCGTTACTGCCAACGAGATGTCGGCGTACTCCAGACGATCCCAGCTGGAACTTCAAGCGGAACTTTCTCCTTGGCAAAGCTTTTTGTTGCCGACCGAGCTGGTCCTTCATCAGACCCCGATCCTGAAGCGCAAAGGCCTCTTTTCGAGATCCTGCATCCTGGTTCTTACGGACTTTCCGCGTCTGCTGTACTTTGACGACTCGAACCACTACTTTTCCCAACTGTTCAACAGCAACACAAACGACGCGTTCAGCAGCTGGCAGCAGCAACAGATGCTTCCTCAGTGGGACCCATCAGATCCGTTGCACGCTCACCAACAAGAACCAGGAGCGAGAATGTCTCTGTCAAAGAAACCATCCCTCCGTCAAGCCGTTGGGAAGATGAGCCTGGATCTGCCACCTCCACCACCGACCTCGCAGGATTTGCAGACACATCACCAGCACCAGGACCATTTGAATGCAGTCCACCAGCCATTGCACCCACATCCTAACCCACACCCCAGGAGGAACACGGGTGGATTGGATGGGATTACGAGCGGAGGCGGATTCTTGCTGACGCGCAATGGTAGCCATGCTCATCGCGGCGGAGCACAGCATCGGAGTGAGCATACATCACCTCTTGCGGTCGAAGGGGTTTTGTCGGAGGAAGATGAGCAAGGGGGGGTGGTGGATCCTCCTCAGGGATTGTTTGGTCGGTCGCCAAGGGCCAGTTTGGAGGATCAAGCGCAGCAGCATCAGGACCAGCACCAGCATAGTCCTGCGCACGCTCACTCACGACTCCAGACACCGCTGCCGGGCCACGGACAGAACAAGATTGATGCCGAGAAGCGTATCTCTGGGTCAGGATTGGAGGATGAACACCGCGGTGATGACAGCGGTATGAACAATGGCACGGCTTACAACAACAGCAACAATGGCAGCAGTGTGACGATGAGCAGTAGTGGCGGTGGAAGTGGTAGTGGAGGTACGACGACGATATTGCAGGGTAATAAGGTGTCGTCGTCGACGACGACATTGTCGCGGATGGGGATGATCAAGGCGTCGAAGAAGCAGGCGAAGCTGCGGGGAGAGATTCTGTTTACGGCGTCTGTTGTTTCGGAGTTGAAGGGGAAGAAGTGTTTCTTTATCCATACGACGAAGAAGAGCTACTACTTTGAGGAGTCGAACCAGGAGGGCGACGCGAAGACGTGGGTTCGGATCCTTGAGCGCTCGATGGAGGGGTGGTTTGGTGAAGGTGGCGGAGGTGGAGGCGATAGTGACAAGGGAGGCGTAGAAGTAGCGGAGTGAAGGAGATTGCGTGTTTTCCTGCTCTATCTAGCTGTGTGTTGTTGTCATCCTTTCTCTCTTTTATTTGTTTTGTTTTGTTGGTTGCATGCATTGGCCAAATATTGCCAGGCGAGTCCACATGTAATAGAGAAACGTACAGTCAACAGTCAATAATAAAAAGAAGAAAGAGAATGGGGGCGTACATAATTGCACGGAATTGCCAATAGAGTGTGTCCTGCCGTTTTCCTCCTCTCTCCTTCCTCTTCCTTTTCCTTTCCCTTTCCTTCTCTCGTTATCTCCCTCCCTCCTTCCCTCCCAGTCTTTTGTATTCATTTCTTTCTTTCTTTCTTTCATTCATTCAATTCCTTCTCACTCACTCACTCACTCACTCACTCACTTACTGCCTGTCTCATTCAAGCGCTCGACATCATCGCAACACAATTCAAACAATCTCACTCACTCACCAAGCAGTGAGACGACACCTGACTGCAGCAAAGTGACAAAACGTGCTTACACAGGAGGATAGCGACACCAACAGCAAGAAAACCTACAATGGCCTCCTATCAGAACTCCAACATGTTCAACCACCTTGTCCAGAAGTAACTTTTACCTCCCTTTTATCTCTCCCTTCCTCCGTTTGTGCCAAAAAAAGAACATCAAAACAACAACAACCAACAATCGGATCCTAACCTTCTTCCTCTTATCCCTTGAAACAATAATAGCACGGCAAGCCAAGGACATGGACTCGACAACGACTCGGATAACGACTCGGACACGGGATCGAACGCATCCTCAGCTGGACCCTTTGCCAACCAGACATACCCCTGGAGCAACTATTCATTACCACAGTTACGGGACCTCCTCCGTCAACGTGGCCAACTCACAACCGGCTCCAAGTCCGCCCTCAAAAAGCGTCTCAAAAATCTCGATCGTGCCACAAAATCATCTGCCGCAGACACAGACGCAACTACTACAACTGTGGTCGGAACAACAGGAGGAGCATCAGGAATAACTAGAGCGACAACTGTTGGGGCAACCCAGTCTGGACAACCAGCGGGACCAATTGCCGTACACAAGACCAGCAACACAACCATCCATATCTCCTCTCAACAGCAGCAACAACGAACTCCTACCAGCACAAACCGGGACGACCACAGCTCCTCCAGCACGGGCAAGAATTCGATCGGTGACTCCAATGGCTCGGCAAAAAAGGCCCATCCTTTACGCTCAAGGATGCCCTCGCGATCCAACAGCTTCTCTGCTCACTTTTCAGGTAACATCCGAGGGACTGGCTTACACTTTGACGATTGTTGGCTGCAACCGGTTGGCGTTCAATGTTGTTTGTTCTTTGTACTGGTTGTATATGATGTGAAACGTCAATTTGACCTAACGCACAATTCCTGACCTTTTTTTTCCTTTGTTCACCTTATCTTACTCTCGCATTCCTCTTCTTCCCTCCACTTTCCACAACCTCCTCCTCCTCCTCCTCTTTCTACCCTCGTCTGATCATCCACTCCCTGCTTACTCCATCTCCTCCCTTCACTCTCACACTCACTCCCCTTTCATTTACACCAACCCGCCTCCTCCCCCATTATGAACCCGTCCGCAATCCTCCCCCTTTTATTCTTATATCGGTTCGGGGTTTCATAGATTTCATTAACCGGCGAAGGATTGCGCTCGAGACCGAGAGACAGGAGATCTCAGTCTATACCTCTCCGTTGACTGTTCTCTCCTACTTTTTCCTCTATCTCCTGCACGAGTTCCGCATGGTTATCCTCTGGATTGTATCTCAACAATATCTCCTCATCGTCCTGCCTCTCCTGACCACGGCTGTCTACTTTGTTTATCAAACTGACGGAGCTCATCAACCGGTACGTCTGCCCCTCCCTCGTTGCCGTCCCGTATTTTTTTTTCGTATTTTTAGAACTCTTTTTGTGTTTGGCTGAACAAAACAGGATGGCACACCCAAAGAAACCTAATTTCTCAATTGTCTGAAAAGGAAAGAAAATACTCACGACAGCCATTCTTCTTTTCGGTTTGTACTCGCCATCACATAGCTCCTCAAGCATGCCGAATCGGGACTCATCTGGTACGGGTACTGGATTCTGTTAGGTGTCGCATCTTCCATCGGCCTCGGATGCGGACTGCACTCCTTCGTGCTGTTCCTCGGACCCCATATCGCCAACGTTACACTTACGGCCTACAAGTGCGGTAACACCCAGTTCGATGTTAGGGGAGACCATCGGTAACTTCATTTATGCCTTTTTGCTTATGTCCGACACAAGATACATGAAGAGGGGTGTAGAAGAGGGTCATATTCACATGAACACATGCACTTTCCAAACTCTCTTTTTTATGAATTTTTTTTGTCGTTGTCGTTGTGCACCTGTCTGACTATTTGATCTTCTCACTCCATTGTCTACAGGTTCATTTGTCAAGCCCCTGACGAGCCCGTGCCGCTGACCTTGACCCTTATCTTTAGCGCTGTTGCTTTGGAGAGTTTCTTCTGGGGCATGGGTACCGCCTTTGGCGAATTACCTCCATACTTCGTTGCACGAGCAGGTAAAGCACTCGACCTTTTTGTCCATGGAAAAATTGACATTGTAGGATATGGTAAATCGAAACGATGCATGATTTCAGCGGAGGTTCAATGGACTCACTTTCTCGAATCTCTCCCATCGAACGACACCCACTCCAATCTTGTTCTTTTCACAGCCGCACTCTCTGGGAATAGGAACGAGGAATTGGCGTCGATCGAGGACCTGCTAAAGAAGAAGCCAGACTCTGTTTCCTACAAGGAGAGGATCTTGCTCATGGTCCACGAGGGCATGAAGCGACTTGGGTTCTTTGGTATCTTCCTCTGTGCCTCTGTAAGTCCTTGCAGTCAAGATTGTCTTGCGTGAATGACAAGAGTACCTTCTCCCTTACTTATATGTATGCACCGTTGTGACGTTTGCCATCTTTAGATCCCCAACCCTCTGTTTGACCTTGCAGGAATCACTTGTGGGCACTTCTTGATTCCATTCTCGACCTTCTTTGGTGCCACGTTCTTGGGCAAGGCTGTTGTCAAATCGTCCATCCAGGTAATATATCACAACCCATCCAACTGTGCTCAGCATCCAACTTTATTTTGTATTCGGCCGTGTTTTTCGCTAATGTAGAATGTCCAATCCGCTTCATATCACATAGGCTGTGTTTGTGATTCTCATGTTCTCTGCAGACACACTGGCTGTGACCATGAGCTGGCTAGAGCGTCAGGTACCTTTCCTTCACGGCTACCTTGCGGACGGGATCAATTCTCAAAAGGGAGCACTTTCAGGAGCGGGAGGACAGATGTCGGATGACGAGCTGGAGAACTCGACCAGTCTTGTTGGGTTGATCTGGAACACGATCCTGTTCATCATGATCTCGTACTTTTTACTGTCGATTGTCGAGACCATAGCACTTTCGCAGATTAAGAGGAGACATGACCAGGAGATTGTTGAATTGGAGGGCAAGATCCGAAGCGGCGACACCAACGCGTTGTTTGTTGCTGTTTCTGAGGAGCTTGTCAAGTCTACCAAAGCAACTACTACCACTACTACCACTACCACTACTACAAACACTGAGACGGCTTGCATATCGACATCGAGCTCGAATGGCTCCTTGACCTCGCTGACAAGCCCTGAATCGACCGCAGGAGCATCCCCTTCATCTTTATAGACAATCAAAAGAAGAGGCAGTATCACCGTTTTTTTATTCCATACTCGTAATCATTTCCTGTAGAGATAGATCATGCTCTTTGTATGAGCTCAATAACAGGATAGGAGGGATGATGTACCATCCCTCTTGTTTTTTTTTTTTGTTTTTTTGTTTTTTTTTGCTTCATTTTTTATTTCATTCCTTTCAACGCTGGGTGGTTTTCGTTTGCATGTTTATGTGTATTGATATTCATGTGATGAAGTGACCATGACTCTCTTAAAATGTCAAAAGCGCGTTCCTTTTCTTTCCAACTATGGTCATCAAATATAACAAAGGAAAGAAAAAAAAAGATTGTTAGAGTTGACTACAGAAGAGAGTGCAAAAAACAACAAACTCGGCCTCATTTCATAGTAGAGAATAAAAACTTACGAGGATAGACAATGAGGGTAGAGGCAAAGAGACCGACGGCAATACTGAGGGCAACAATGATCATCTGGAGAGCAAAGACAGTGCCTTGGGCTGCATTCCCGGTCTGGTCTAGTAATAGCAAGGATGATCGGACACCCATGCCTCCAGGGACAATCAGCAAAATGGCCCCCAAGATGGGTACGAATGCTACAAAAGCAAAAACAAAAAAAAATGTCGTATTAGTGAGATCCCGACTTGTTTTGTTGACAAGGCAAATGAAGATTAAGCATACAAGATAACCCCCCCCACCCCCCACCCCCCACCCGGGAGGGCAATATAATGTGCAATGTTTTACCAAGCTCATGTGTAAGGCGTTCGTAGATGTTGCCCAAGAGTCCAACAACAAAGGCACTGACGGCCGCAGCAATATGCAAGGAGTGAGGCCAATACAAGCCAGCAAACTCACTGACCGCATAGCCGACCGAGCTGCAGACAATCATGACGGGCCACTGTTTCGGAGTTGCGTACAGCTGGATATTAAAGGAGATGGCCAAAAGTGGGAACAGGACCCAGCGCCAGGGCTCAGTCGCCGGATGACAGTAGCCCATCTTGAGATCTCCTGGGGGTGGCTCCTTGAAAACGTCCCATAGATTCGATCCGATCGAGAGACCAAAGCCGAGGAAGAGACAATAGATGAGCGAATAAAACATCCGTACAGATCCCGAGATCATGTATCGAGACGAGAGTTCCATGATCGCCGTCGTCAAGGAGAGTCCGGGGAGGAGCATCACAATCCCGCTGAGTACCACGCCCGTGAAGCAGACATAGTCCCGCAAGGCCTTGGCAACGAACGCAATCACAATGCTGGTGCTGACTTCAAACACGTTCGAGTAGACCGAATACCGCGACGCCAACAGCGATGTCAATCCAACCACCGAACCAAGACCCATCCCCGCCAACATGTCGTACCAGCTCCCCTTGAAGACCAGGGGCGCAATCAGACCGCTCGACACTGCAAAGGACGCAAGCATGACCCACATGCCATAGGGCGGTTTCTCGTTGTTGATCTCCTTGAGCTCCATCAAGGCCTCGGACGGCTCCAAATCTCCATAGACCACCGCCCTTGCAATCTTGTTGACCTTGGCCAGACGACCCATATCAAACCCCTGGGCACACTTGATTAGATGCGTCTCGCTCGTATGAGTATCCGAATCCCCGAACGAGATCATCATCAGACCTGGCAAGAACGCAAACGACCCATCCACTCCAAAGGTCTTGCACATCGCCTCCATGGCCAACTCGATCCGGTGAGACGGCGCGCCATAGCGGATCAACGACTTGCAGAGTCGAATCAACAGATCCTGCCGCAACATAATGTCCGCCAACACTTCTGCCAGTTCAGCCTGTTGGTGTAACCGCATCGCCTCCAACTGGGGGTTGTGAGAGACCCCAGAATACATGGACGTGCTATCGTCAGCCGAGATGCTGCTCCGAGTCGAATGTGCCTGTGGAGTCATCTGTAGGTACTGTGTCGACTCTTTCCGTTCCCGTCCTGCTGTTCCGTTTAGAGGCCGCTCTACATTTGAAGGAGGCTGGAGTCCCATTGCTGCCGTTGTCGCTGCAAAGACCGACGGTGATGATCTCAAGTAAAGCGAGCCTTGGGCACTGAAGGCGCCGGCGGTCGAAGAAGCCGTCGAGACGACCGGAGACGATGCTCCACCTTCGCTTCCACCCTCATTGGCTGCTGGCATAGCTGGTGGGGCAAATCCCACTCCAGAGGGCGCAGCCATGACCAGACCAGGAAGGGAGAGGACACTCGCGCTTCGACTGGTCCGTAAGATCTGACTGGTGGAACTCGATGGCGACAAGAGTTCTGCGCCGATGGAGAGTTTTCGAAAGTTCTCTCTCCGTGCTGCTGCTGCTGCTGCTGCTACTACCGTTGCCTGTTGACTGCTCCTCCGGCGTGTACGGCGTCGTTTCCTATGACGACTGGAGGAAGGTGGCGGAACCGACAAGGCTTGCAGTTTGAGCAGGTTCGAGAGAATGCCTCCAGGACGCGACATTTGTACCTTGGGCGTGCGCTGTTGTGATTTTGTTTCATCCACTTTCTCGTTATGTTGCAGGGTTTGTTCGGCTGTTGTTGATCGGGGTCCGAACCCTGTCGAAGAAGAAGACCCCTCGGCTGCTGCTCGGTCTCCATCAGAGGAAGAAGGTCCTGCGCTTTGATTCCTGACGTCGTTTGAGGATCCAGAGGTGTGTTGTGAACCGAAAAGACGGCTCATGAGACCGTTCAGTCTCAGGGAGGTGAAACTGAATGCCGCAAGTCGAGGATTCGAATTTGTGCCGTTACTCCCGCTTGCCGCATCAATGCCTTCGTGTCTAGTATCCTCAGTTGCTGCTTTTCCATTGTCGTCATGTTTGCCAGATGAGCCAGGAGGAGGAGAGGATGATATCCCTGTATGGCCCATCAGGGAAGGCGGCGGAAGATCTGTGCCGGACCTCGACAATCGCTTTCCTAACTCCAGGTCACGACTGAGATCCTCCTGCAAACAGCTGGTCTCTGAACGACTCCCGATCTTGCGTGTAGCTGATTGTGCGATAGACTTCATGATCAGTCCAGAGTATCTCTCAATGTCTGTCTCTTCTCTTCCTTCTTCCTCAAAGCCTATGTCGCAATCAAAGTTTCAGTAATGTTGTTAGTCGCATATCGTAGTAACAAAATGTACGGGTCATGTAAAAAAAAAAATTACACGCGGCGGGGGGGAGGTCGAATGAAAAGGACTTACCAGACCTCGCAGCTAATCTTTCAGACCCGTTGGAATCTTCATCTGGCGTATCCATATGGAGGGTCGTTTCACCAGGGCTGGAGATGTACGTGTGAGTCGTTGGTGCATTTGGAGTATACGGCAACGAAGAGAACGGCGGCTGCCATATATCCGAACTGTTGACTCCTTCTGCCATTCGCGACTGTCGCTCTCGTCCTCTTGGGGTCTCATACAGGTCCTGACCACCTTCAGTCATCAAACTAGTCCCTGCACCGCCCTCGTTAGACCTCTCTTGGGCGTTGTCCAATGGATGAGACGCTGCGGGTAGTGAACGGTGAGGATAAGGAGACGTGCCTTTAAAGAGATCGAGAGTAGGCAACGTCAAATGTGAAGATGGGCTGAACTGTCCTTGCTGCTGGAGGTGAGAAGATGAATGTCTATTAGGCGAAGAGGCGGACGAAGGAATGGCCGACGAGGAAGCGACTTTTTCCAGAGGGTGTACCGACATTGAGTAGTCATTGTCCATGAGAGAGATTCTGCTTCCCTGGTGCTGTTGACGATGTTGTTGTTGTTGTTGTTGTTGTTGAGCAGAGAGCTGAGGGCTACTCAGGCTGATATGACCATCACTGTCGCTGCCTCCATGATGAGATAGCCGTGAATTGGTCCAAGATGAGAAAGAGGTCGATTCATGTCCTGTTGCGCTTTCCGGATGGTGGTGGTGGTGGTGATGGTCGAGTGTCGATGACTGGCTGTGAGACGGGTATGAGATGATGGGGGATGAGTTGGAGAAGGTCGATGGAAAGATTAGAGAGGACTGGTGGAGGTGGTGTGTCGATAATGTTGCCCTGCGAGAGGAATCAATGGGTGGTTGAAGATAAGTATCATTACTGCTGTGGTTGTCATTTTGAGGGTGTTGTGTATGCGGATGCCTTTCTTGTAACTGCTGTTGCTTTTGGAATGAATGACGTTGATGATGTGGAATGCGTGGTTGTGAAGGCAAGGAAGATGGTGTATTTGGTTGGGATGGTGTTGGGTCAGACTGGCCGATCGGGTTTGGATATCCAGGCATGGCTCCAGGGAGAGGAAGGACGGAGGATGAGGAGAAAGAGGCGGTGGGATAGGAGTCAACAGTAGTGGCAAAAGGTGTCTGGAGGGAGATTGCCGAAGGTGAGAGTGGATGGACAGAGGACGATGAAAACGATGGCGATGGGAACGTTGGTCGTCCAAGATGTGACCTGGGAAAGATGGTGTTGTTGGAGTTCATGAAGGTGTTGCTGCTATTGCTCCCGAATTGAGGGTTGGGACCATTAGGATCAGAGTCGGAAATATGCCGCAACTGTTGCCCATGATGTGTAAAGAATATTGGTCCATTATTGTCGCCTTCGTTATCATCGTTGTTGTTGTCGTACTGAAATGAATCCTGTATTGGCTCCAGTATGGCATGGGTATCATTGTTATCGAATGGAACGGGATCCTGGACATTTCCAACAAAAGAGGAGGCTGACCCCGTTACTGGGCAAGGACCATTAGGCTGAGCTAGCATCCCTCTGGGTGGCACTTCCTCTCCTGTGCCTTCACCTGTAGCGCCTAAAAGAAAGAAATGAGAATGGACGCACGGACTAATGCATTAGACCATCTTCTGCTTAGCCATCGTAGGGACAACCGCAATAGAAAATATTTTACATTAACCATACGAGCTCAAGGAGACAAATAAAAAGGAGGTGCAAAGGGTGCACAAATGGAGAACGGAGGGATTGACAAGGCGCACATCGAACAGTGGCCCCACCCGACTGTCTTCAGTACACAAAACAATGGTAGGTTACCTTCTTCAAAGTCTTGAAGGCGAGGCCCCTGGCGTGGGTTCGAACTGGTATGCTCTGATTGGCGAAGACGCGTCTGTTCCTGGTGGGCTGAGACATCCGCGTCATCACTGACACTGACACGGTTGACTCGATCATTCTCAAATGAAGAAAGCATCCCGTTCCCAATATATATATATATATATGATCGATACTCGCAGGCGATCGTGTCGAAGAAAGACCAAGAAATGTCAAGAAAGGTTAAGAAAATAAAATGGAAAAGTGGGGAAGGAGGAGGAGTACAGGGGGTTATAGAGGAGTAAAAGGGAAAAGTTAAGGATAAAGGGAAAGAGGGAAAGAGGGAAAGAGGGAAAGAGGGAAAGAGGAAAGAGGAAAGAGGAAAGAGGGGAAAACATAAACAGACATCGAAAGCAGCAGCACAGACGCAACAGTCCACCAGCACCACTTTCAAATGCCCACGACGATATGACGAAGAAGTAGTAATTGTCGAGAGGGAAGTATCGTTACAAGAAGGATGAGTAGGACCAGTACGAATTCTTCACTATTCTTCTACTGCGCGGAAATGTGTGTGTGTGTGTTTGCAACAAGATCATGCCAGCTCAGGATTGAATTTCAACGAGGATCTTAACTAATCCTAACCCTCAATCCTTGATGCGATAACTGTCCCGTCTCTTTTCGACAAAAGTAATGAACAAGAGGGTACGGGAGAAAACATCAAATTTTATTTTATAATACAATGAGGCACCGTCCTGTCCTGTCCTGGCTCTGCTTAGGGCGACCGAGATCTGGAGAGAGAGCGAGAGACCGAGCGAGGAGAGCGCGAGTTGGAAAGAGAGCGTGACCGAGAACGAGAATGGGAAGGGGATCTGGAGCGGGAAGGTGAGCGCGAGCGCACCTTCTTGGCGACGGTTTCGCTCTGGGTGTTACGACGGGAAACAGGCGAGCGGGACCGAGAGAACAAACGCTCCCGTTTTTCGACTGCCTCCTTCTGGGCCGTGCGACGGACAGGAGACCTGGAGCGGGAGAAGAGACGGTCTCGTTTGACGACTGCTGCGTCCTTTTGAACTTTGCGACGGTACACAGGCGATCTGGAGCGAGAGAAGAAACGACCCCGTTTGGCGGCTGACTCCTTTTCGGGTCTGCGGCTGCCAACAGGCGACCTGGAACGAGAACGCGACGTCTCCCGTTTGCTCACTGGCTCCAGTTGATGTCTGGCAACAGGGGATCTGGAGCGAGAGAGAGTGCGGTCTTTCTTGGTAGTTGATTCCGTTCGGAGTGAGCGAGAAGCCGCAGGAGACCTAGGAGGGGACCTCGAGGGCGAGCGTGTAGTCGTCTTGGGTTGCTTTGCTGGAGGGGAACGAGAGCGGGAGCTTGAGTACGATCGACGCCTCCTGGCGGATTTTGGAGAAGGTGAGCGAGAAGGGGATGCTGATGACGCTGAGCGAGAGCGAGAACGCGATGGGGATCGAGAAGAGGCAGAAGAGGAGGAGTAGTGGCGTCTCTTGGGAGTAGGCGAGCGCCCACGGGATTGGCGACCCTTCGAGTCCGAGTCCTTGGAGGAGTCTCTGGATCGCTTTGATGACGGCGCTGCTGTTTCGGCTGCCCTTGCTGCCTGCTGCTCTGCCCTTGCCTTTGCCGCAGCCACCATGGCCACCTCCCGTTCTGCGGCCTGGGTCGCGGCCAACGCTGCCGCGGCAGTTGCCTTCTGCAAGAGTCCTGTTAATTTCTGTCTCAGTGCATCGACTTGCCTATCGATTTCAGCCTCTTCCAGTCTATTGTAAGAAGATTTATGTCCGTATGTTAGACGATGAAAACAGTAACAAGGTAAGAAGAGAGCGAGCAGGATGATGATGATGATTACGAGTGTGGATCGCAATGAATATATATATATATATATATATATATATATGTAAATATATATTTACCCTTCGTCTTCGAGTTCGTCCTGGAGGGTGGCGCACTTGATCTCAATGGAGCGCTTTTGTTCGTGGAGGACGAGCTCAGCGTTTGGTTTGCGGAGCTTGGGTTCGTCGTCGTAGGGATCCGTTGGCTTGAAGTCTCGCTGCCTGTACTTGATGGTGCTGAGGTTACGGACGACGTATCCGTTTGTGCCTGATCCACGGGCTGTGCTGAGTCCGATTCCGTTGTATGACATTGCGTATGGTGGTTACTGCAGTGGGTGGTTGTTTGCTGTTTGAAACAAGAGGATCTTTGTATATATATCCTTGGAAGGGAATGATGAGTCGCAGAGGGGCTGAGTGGTTTTTTGGATGACTGAAGAAAGATCAGCAGTGGGAAGAGGGAGGGGAGGGAAAAAGTAAATAACAGGTGGGCCAGTAAGCGCCCAGCAGCATTTGCGATCGAGTCCTCCTTCGGTGACACCGGCATCTCTGGAGAGAGAGAGAGGAGAGATCCGATCGACCCCTCTCCTCTCTCTTGTCCATCAGTCGCTTCTGCATCCATCCATTCCTCCTCACCCCCTCCACTCTCTCGCCCGCCACTCTTTTCTCCACTCTCTCACCGCCATGTTCGCCTCCCGTGCCCAGCCTGTCGCGCAGACACTCAGGTACCTACTACCTACCTGCTCCTTCTCTTCCGACGATACACACTCCCGACCCACTCAGAACAGATCCACCCAGTCTTCACGTCCCTACACTGACCGTGCACATATATACATATATACACACACACACACACATAAACATACATTCACGCGCACATCCCATTCACACATTCATACGCCCTGCCTCAACAACAACAATAACAACAAGAACAACAACGGCAACAAACCATCAGCCTATGGTTGCAATCATCATATACTCTCCTTCCATGCAACTCTCAGAAGCATAGAGCAAAAGACTCTCGCCCACACCAACCAGCCACCCTCAGACGTCGATGGGACACGCTGTCAATGACACTCGCCTCCCTCACAACACTCGCTTCTGATCAGCAAGATCGTTACCCTTCCTCCCCTCTCGGCACTTTTAAAAAGACAAGAATTTTTGAACTCACCCGCATCTCCCCTTTTGTTCAACCCTAATAGCGCCGGTATCCAGACCCGTAACATGGGTACCCTCAGAGAGAGTAAGCTCCTTCTACATTAATTTATGCACTGTTCCTGGATTCCTGGGTTCCTGGATCGGATCATCATCAAAAGAACAAAAAAAGTTGACAATTCTGTATCTTCTTCCTTCGTTCTTCAACTTAATAGTCCAGATGCGCCTGAACGCTATCAGGAACATTGGAAAGATCACAAAGTCGATGAAGATGATTGCCTCGACCAAGGTCGCCAAGGCTCAGCGTGCTATGGAGACTGCCCGCGCCTACGGTTCCACCTCTGCCAGTACGTCTTTCCTCTCGTTTTTATGGTGCTGAATGGTGCTCTTTATCAGGATATTGTTCCAGGAACGATCGATACTGCCACAAAGGAAACAAATCATGGACAGGTGCCAACGGGTCGATCGAGACGAGAGGATTCATATTCGACATTGGCGCCACATTGACCGTATCCTTTTGTAATACAATTCTTGTGAATTGAATAGGCATCTACAAGAACGCCAACACTGCCCCTCTCGAGAATGAGGACAAGGTCTACATCGTCTCTTCCTCTGACCGTGGTCTTTGCGGTGGTATCCACTCCTCCGTTGCCAAGGCTACCCGCCGCTTGATCGCTGTTGACGGCCCTTCGTCTGGCGTCATTGTCTTGGGTGACAAGGCCAAGAACCAGATGTCCCGTTCTCACCGCAGTGACATCCAGATGTCCTTCAACCAGATCGGAAAGGCCATCCCCACCTTCGCTGAGGCCAGCGCTGCTGCCGACACCATCAAGTCCTCCGGCATCAAGTTCGACACTGCCACCATCATCTACAACGAGTTCACCTCTGCCATCGCCTATGAGGCCAAACCCATCAACGTCTACTCTTCCGAGGCTTTGAAGGCTGCCGGTACGTCCTTTCTCCCTTTCTTTTGTATTTACTGTCTCTTCCTTTCTGATCCTCTTCTTTTCCCCCCCTCTATCTCCTTGTCTTTATCTTTCTTCCTCAACCTTGTCATTATCTTCGTATTCCTCTTCCCCTTCCTCTAACATGTATCCATCTCTCCATCCAATCCACTCCACTCATAATAGATGCCTTCGCTGCCTACGAGATCGATGATGATGTTTTGGAGAACTACCACGAGTTCTTGTTCGCCAACAACATCTACTGGGGTCTTGTCGAGGGTCACGCCTCGGAAATGTCTGCCAAGCGCACTGCCATGGAGAACGCCACCAAGAACGCTGGAGAGATGGTCGACCGCTTGACCATGACCTATAACCGTTCTCGCCAGGCCGCCATTACCTCCGAGTTGGTTGACATTATTACTGGTGCCTCTGCTCTGTAAAAGAAGCGACGGCACGAACACCACACACCTTTTTTTTCCCCCCCTCCTCCACACAACACTTCTCCACAACATCAACAACAACAACGACAATCCTCATCACACTTTTTTACGTACACTATAAAAATAGAGGCATTCTTTTATCCCTCTCCTCTCTTCTCAGCAAAAATAAAAAAATCGACATGCCTTTAGGTTCCCAAGGTTCAAGTAGTCTTTTTATGAAATAGAGGTATAGACTGGGCATCTTGTTTGTGTTGTCGCAGCCTACATGGCAACGACGGGAAGGACGACGTTCTGTTGGCCAACCTGCCAACCCTTCCAGATGGTCTGTTTCAAAAAGCGACTATGCAGCTGTGTCAAGAATGACCTGCCTGCTGCACAAATGTCTGGGTTGCTGAAGGGCAGAGGTCGGTTCTGATCAAACGACTCTGAGCTGGGTAGTCGTGGTGAGAGTTCGCTGTTACCGTTCTCAAATGGAATCGATCGGCCAGTTTTCTTTGCATCATCATCATCATCGCCGCCGCCGCCGCCAGTCGTAAAGTCATATTCACCCCGCTCGACAGCTGGTGAGATTGGAGAAGACGGTGGTGGCGTGTTGCGATCCATGAATCTCTCTGCGAGCTCGGATGGGTAGGAGAAACTCAGTAGACAATGCTCCCGCAGGCCCTCGATCTCGACATTGGGCTCCAGATGGATTCGGGTGACAACCAGCACTTGGTTCGCAAGTGAATTACGGCCGTTATCTTGCTCGTCATCTTCTTCGTCTTCATTGTAGTGGCGAGGAGATGTCGAGCTCGAATCTGTGCTGCCACTGCTGTAACGGCGACCTTGGCCTGGCAAGACATAGTTGATTGGATAGCTCAGCAGCCATCCTGTCAAGGTCACCAACGACAGACGATCAGGTACAGTCAGGGGCTGATAGCTGTACTCGGCTTGGTCCCAGTTCTGTATCCGATACTGGACATCGACCAGGAGAATGTTGCGGATGTAATCTTCAAGGGCGTTGTATCGATTGTCGGGCATCTATATATTTACAATGATACATGCGAATGTTAGTAATACGGATGCTTGGCCTTGACAGCATTTATCAGCAAAAAAAAGAAAGACAGAGATGTTGGTGCGCAGTGTAAAAGAGAGCAGCACATAACGCCATAAACCAAATACAAAAATTGTGCAACTGCTCATATCGGAGGTGCACTCATGGCAAAAAGAAAATGAAAGAAAGAAAGAAAGAAACGTACGATTTCAGGTTGCGCAAGATGGTAGTCGACATTGACGAAGACGCGCTGAATACCTTCAGGGGCGCCTGAAAGGTAATCGCGGATGTCTTGAAGGAGTAGTTGGCGGTGAATGATAAAGACATGGTCGTCACCGATGACTAGCAGGTCAAGGTGGTTGTATCTTGCAGACTATTATTGTTTGATGGGTAATTGATACACGAGAGAGGACTATTGTTAGGTAGTTGTTGATGCGTAATGGTGTTTTTTAAAAACGCGAGACATTTGAGTTTGAACAGTGTGAGAAAGGAGGTGCATGGAGGAGGAAGGTTTTTCATGCTTCTTTTTTTTTTTTTTTTTTTTCTTTTCATTTCGACAGAATTGATTGAAAAAAAGAGGGCTGGAAGCGATGACAAGAAGTATGGGAAGAGGACAGTGCGCTTACATGATGGAACATAGATTGGATTCTATCGACATCGTTCTCGTTGAGGAACAATTGGTCAACCAACGACGCCGACCTACGTTAGCGTTAGCACACAACATATAATTGGGACGAGAGAAAAACTTTGAATTAATCGGTCTGGTCCATCGTTCTATTATTTTTTTAAAGTTTGCCCTGACAAGGTCTGACAAGGTCGGGGGTGAATGAATGTCAATGAATGGTAATAGATAGTCTGCAAGAGTTAAGTGGGGCAAAGAACAACACAAAAAAAAGATGAAGCTCTTAACCATCCAATCCTTCAGGCATATGCAATAACCAACCACGGCCGTCTTCTTGTCTTGTTGACGTCTGAAAGAACGAGCGATCCCCCTTCCTCATCTTCAAAAAAAAAAAAAAAAAAAAAAAAGGACTCCGATTGAGATCCAGGGGTAGGGACAATTGTATCTGAAAGAGAGTAGAAGAATACAAAGGGAATGTGGGGACACAAGCAACGGTAGTGTGGGTATAAGAGTATGTGAGGGAGGGATAGATAGATCCACATGAAGGGGAGAGCGATAGATGTGTGTACAAGTAGGCGCGGTCCCCGGAGAATTGAATTTGTCATCGCCCCTACATGGGAGTCATTCCTCGATAAGAAAAACCGAATGCTAAGCATGTTGCCGGGGTCAACTCAAGACGAGATCTCCAATGGACAACAACAATAATAAGGAGGCAACCGTACCTGAGCCCAGCGGCAATGCAGAGGATGTCTAGAGCAGAAGAAGGAAAGCGAGATTGTTGATGAGTGGAAAGGCCTCTGTTTGACAGCGTTGATTGGCATCCATGAGGCTTGTCATTCTTTCTGGACTATCCAGACAACAACAAAAAAAGGAAAAGACACAGGGGTACACAGAGAGAACAAAAGGGAATACAAGGGTACTTTTTTCTTTTTTTCCTATCTCTCCCTCCCTCTCGGTGTTGGCTATTGGTGTTTGAAGAGAGGACATCATCCACATGTCCGTCCGTCTCTTGCCCTGACACACAGAGGATGAAATGAAATGAGCATAAAAAGAAGAGGCATTATGGATAATAATGTTATTATTTTTACCGTTGGCAAGGGAGATTTGGGCAGCGTGGTTTATCCGCTTCTGCAGAACGGTGCGGACAATGCCGAAGGCGTCTTCAAAGTAGGATCTGTCCATTTCGTAAGGTTGTTGTTTGTTGTTGGTGTGTCGGTTTGTTGTTGTTGGTTGTTGGTTGTTGTTGGTTGTTGGTGTTGTTTGCTGTTGGTGGTCGCAGGATGAAGGTTGTAAAAGGGGTACGTGTTGAATAATGTATATGTGGATATCAGTGGGCTAGTCGATGAATTTGGTAGATAAGACTGAGAGTGAGCAATTAAGTGGGTGGGTGAGTAGGAGTAGGAGAGTTGCGACGAAGAGTACAAATTAGAGAGAGGAGAAGGAGAAAGAGGAAGAAGACGAAGAAGAAGAAACAAAGACAAGAGAAAAGAGTTGTGTGCGGAGTTAATAAAAAAAGAGATTCAAGACACCAAAAAAAAGGAAATAAAAAAAAGAAAAAAGAGGCGAATTTATGGTTTTTTCGACGAGTGAGGAGCAATGGGTGAGTGAGAGTGGCTTGCTCTTTTCTATCTCGTCAAATTATCACAATAATAATTGCTGGCTGAGCGTGTTTGTGTGAATGTCTTGACTCTGGAGGGCGTACTAACTGTCCACCCATTCATTGGTGACACCGAGCACATTGCTTCTCTCTCCTTAACTTTTTTTGTTCATCTAATATCATAAACACTGTTCCCTTCTTTGTTCCGGCCACCGATCTCTGCTCTCCTCTCTCCTCCTCCTCTCCTTCTACTCTTCTCTCCCTTCTGGTCTCATCCATGCAGGAAAATATACCGCGTGCACCTTTTGCGACAAGCCTGGTATGTGCAGCCATCTAACTGACTCGGCTTAACTCGACTCGAATAGACAGCCTCTCGGTAACTGAGCATCAATGCATGAAAAAAACGGACCTTTGGTCTTTTCGTCTATTGCCCCAACAACAAGTTAAATATATCCTTGTTCACATCGCGTCCAGTAGTCGAAGAGCAAAGCCTGTAGATCACAGGGCTGTGGAGTGGTGTGGTCGTTGTCTCTATAGTACCATGCACGCCCTCAACTCCCGCTCCTGAAACGGGCTGATGCAACAAAAGAGCAAGAGGCAACCAGGCTGTGTTGTCGTTGCGCCTCCTTGCTCAAAATGACCGTCGTCACCTGACATTCACTTCTAGCCAGTCCAGCTCCGCCCGTCCTTGTCCAAAGAAGGGATTCCAGTCATCCGTTCTCCATCTACAAACAAACCAAATCAATGTCAGACGAGGCTGCCATCCCCCAGCCTGACTTCAAGCCCTCAAAGCTCGGCACAAAGGATTAGTACGGTTACACTATTGTTTTTGCACTTTGTTAATAGTAACAGAACAAAGAGCTCGCCATGAGAGCACAGGAACTAACACTCGTCTCATTCCTAAAATAATATAACAACAATAGCTGGGACAAGGTTTATAATCGCGAGGTGATCAACTTCAAGGACCATGGAGACATTGGAGAGATCTGGTACAACTGCCGCTCCTATTTATTTTTTTTCAATTCTACTCTGAAGAACCAATGGATCCTATCCAAACCATTAATTGCTCAACTACCTCATGTTTTTATTAACCATAGGTTTGGCGAGGACAGTGCAGTGAAAATGGTCGATTGGGTCGAGGAGCACTACGAGGACGAGAAGGAGACCTGTGCCGTTCTCGACTTGGGCTGCGGGAACGGACATCTGCTCCTCGACTTGGCTGAGCTTGGATTCGAGGACTTGACCGGAATCGACTACTCGCCCGCAGCCATCGAGCTTGCCAAAGCCGTGGCCGAGGACAAGGAGGTCGACCACATTATCAGGTACGAGGCCGTTGACTTTTTGGCAGAAAAGGAGACCCTGGAATGGTGCGCACAACAGGCAGCCCCTGGTTCTGATGGTCATGGCGAGCCCAAGAAGTTCAAGGTTATGCTGGACAAAGGCACCTATGATGCCATCAGTCTGCACCAAAAGAACAAAGCCGATGCTGTTGCTGCAGCAGCGGCAGCTCATGCTGATGCGGATAGTGAGGAGAGGAAGGATGAAGAGTCTGTTGCCAAGGATAACATTGTGCTTGCTGAGAATGACGACAATATGGAGGAACTGGCTGACCGGTACCCCAAGCGAGTTGCGTCGATGATGCGCGACGATGGGCGTCTGCTTATCACTTCCTGCAACTGGACTCAGCCCGAGTTGATCCAGCGCTTCTCCCAATGTAAGTTTTTTATCTTGTTTTCTATTTGTGAAAGAGAGCATTGGTCCTGTGTTTGCTCATTTGCTGTTTATTATCTTTCTCGTGTCTAGACTTTGAATATGATTCGCATCTCAAGTATCCGACGTTTACCTTTGGTGGAGTGAAAGGACAGACGATATCGAGTGTAGTTTTCAGGAAGAAATAAATTCGCCTCTGGGAATACTCTGCAACAAGAATGTATTTTATTGTCTGTGAGGTAGGAGTCTTGGCATGGAGGGTTACAGGAGATGCAACAGGCATTATCGCTAAGATCAAGGTCTTGGCAGCAGAGCAGCAGCAGCCTTACCGTGGTCAAGCCAAGGTGAGTGTGGAGATGGGCTGCGAGTGTTGTCATAGATCTGTGTGATATGTGATATGTAAGCTGTGCGTCATTTCTAGTCGTTTCTAGGCGCGTGCAGAGCCGATAGCGATGCATGGTCGCCCGTATACTAAATACAAGTTGTACGCGTGCGTGACCATTGCTGGTCCGTTCTTTCGTATGTATTATGTATGCTGTGCGTGTGTGTGTGTGTGTTTGTTCCTACTTGCTATGATAGCTCATCATGCTGAGTTCGTTGCTGCTCCTTTATTCTTCCCTCCCTCCCTCCTCCTCCCTCCAATAATATACTCTTTCCTTCTTCCCTCTCCTTCTCCCTTCTCCCTCTCCTTCTCCAGCAAGTCCACCTTGTCACAATTTTCACATCATCAACAACAGAATAGAAAAGGTATACGGATACAAACAAAACAAACGCATTCCTTCCCTCTCCTCCATCCTTTCTTATACATCTCTCTTTCTCTCTTTCTCTCTTTCTCTCCTTCTCTCCTTCTCTCCTTCTCTCTCGCTCCCTCAGTCTCTCATGGACACACAGAGTATGCCATCTCCGCAGCCGACCCAACCTCACATCCTCTCCACAACCCCAAAAATCGGCATCGACCGCGACAGAGACCTCGACTCCATCGGACCCTCGGCACCACACGAATGGACCCCTTCACCACCATCAACCACAACCGCAGCTGGCCCAGTCTCGGCCATATCGACCCCACCGAACACTATTGCTGCTTCGCCAACATCGACGACAACAACAACAGCAGGAACAATGAATGCCGCTTCGTCACCAAGGACTCAGCGTAGAGCATCGTCAACAACCATGGCGGCATCCTCTGCATCTCTTGGACCACATCCTCCAGCCCTCGTCACCCTCTCATCCTCCTTCAGCGGCGCTTCATTGCAAGACACCACCGGAACATCAGCAGGAGGATTCGACCCTTCTTCCTCCCGCAATCTCAGACAAGCGCCATTCACACGGACATCCGCCTCCAGGTCACTAGAAGCGATCGAGCGACGAAATGCCACCTTGACCAGGCGCTCGGACAGCCGGCCATCAGACCAACTCGCAGCAACAACCGACAGACCCGCTGGAAGCAATGGTACATCATACCTTCCCCACCAACGAGCACATACGCAACCATATACTCAACAATACCAAGGCCAACAACATTATCACAACTATCAGCAACACACCCACACATCCACCCCTCGTCCCAGTCCAGTCATCAAAAGTCCTCTTCTGGAAAGCCCGGAGCCCCGTCATCGGCAGAGGACACACTCCTCACAGAGCCGGTCAAAACTGCACACCCCCTCGGTGCAATTGGCCCTAGCCGACCCAACACTCGCCAAAAGTCTATCGAGTTCTCCGGCACCGAGTCGAATCGGGAGCGAGCAGGATCAACAGGTGCAGGCGAAACGCTCCTTCGAGCGCAATGTACGGCGTTATTATTACCAACTTACCGTCGGCTGTCAACTTTCCGCGTGCAACAACAAGCTGTGTCGATCCTGCAAACTGGCGCCCAAAATGACCAAGGATGCCGCGGCGATTCTCTCTATCCAACTCGCCGCCAGACCCCGCCTTTTTTTTTGTTCCAATTGCCCGCAGGACCCCACCATTCAAGTACCAGACTCGCCACTACCCGCCACACCACTCGCCAACGGACGGCCGCCGTCACTACAAGCAATTCGAGGCCTCTCCTCAAATAGCGCTACAACTCGAATCGCACACTCGACGTATTCGTCAAAGTCGTCGCCAGGACCAACTGCTTCAGTGGAGGACTTTGGGCATTCCAAGAGCCGTTTCCTGTACGACCCCAACGAGTACTCAAAGTCAGTCCCGTCTTTTACAACAGTTCGTCTTAACGCCCCTGCAAGAGGTGCCCGTCGACGGCCGGCACAACAACAACACCAGGAGTTACCTATGGCTCCCAAACACAACCACGGTCCATTAATGGCACAAAACAATCAGGAATCAGCTACGGCAAACCCCAATATGGAACTACCTGTGACCAAGGAAGAGCACCCCTATACCGCCTCGCCACCATCGTCGGAGGAGCAAACCGGGACGCCCTTGTTCAAATCACTCCTGTCTCTTTCTCCATTCTCACACATGTTCTCCTCAGGATCTTTCAACACACTCAGCAAAAGCGAAGAACTTAACTTGAGACGATCGCCTCCAACCCATCAGTTTAAAAAGGCATTTTCGACTGGCGAGATGTCTGAGAGTGGTCGACCATCCAGGAGGCACCTGGGAGCAGCCTCAATAGTGACAGGGCCTCCAAGAGGTCTTGGTGGATTTCATTCGGTTATCCATGCCCGGTCATTCAGTCCAACACGCTCTACCAGCCCTCCAGAGTCGCCCATTTCGCCACCACCTTCCCTGCCTGATACAACTCGCACCCACCCGACTTCTCAAGCTGAGGACTCATCCTTTGGCATTCATTTACTTCAGCAATCAGGATCGACAGGATCGGCGATGTATCATGGCGACGAATCGGTCGGGCTTGGATATATCAATAGACCTCTGAACTCTCAACGAGTTTTGGATCTTTCGCGTTACTACGACGCTCCTTCGCCATCGCCTATTTCAGCAGGATCCGCCACTCTGGCTTCTCTCCGAAAGTCAAGGAGGCAACACAGGGATGACGATCAAGGTCGAGATGTAGGCCCTACTTCTAGACCCATGTTTGGGTCATTTCGGGATCCAGACAGTGATGGCTCTGTCTCATCTTGGTCCACCGAGGAAGAACCTAGCAAGACAGGAGATTCGCCTCGGAGAGGCCCGTCGTTCCGTCACCACCATCATTCGTTTTCTCACCAACGCCGATCGTTCAGCTCAGGATCAGCGGCATTGTCCACAGTGTCGCCACCTCAGTCGCCCCTAGAGAAAGAACTGGATAGCAGGACGCTTTATGCTTTTGCACGAACCCGCCTCAGGAGAGACTCTGCCAGCTCGGCAAGCTCTGAAGGAGAGCCTGTGGCACCCCTGCATTGGTCTTCTCTGCCACCCATTCCTTCCTCCTCCTCTACTCTCTCCATGAGGCGTTCGTCATCGTCATCGTCCATTTCATCTAGAGCGTCCAGCAGACGATCATCCATGAGTGAATCAGAAGTCATGGAAGTCGCTCTACCCTATCTCAACTTGACGCTACTCCGGCAGGCCATCGAGACCTACAACGCCTCCAAGCCTGATACTCCTCCGCGGTCACCGCCAAGCCTAACACTCAGGGACTTCAAGCCTATTCACCCTGTGTCATGGAGACATTCATTGGATCATCGGGAGATTTTGGGTGCAGGAAACACCGCCGACACGACAGATCAGAACACGGAACTCTTTGACAATGCGGCTATGGCGCAGGAGGTCCATAACAATGACAAAAAGAAGAATCTGATGCTGACACTGTCCGACTATGTGGTTCCCACGCATGATATCCCTAGTCGAGTCAAGGGAACAGAAAGGATCCCCAACGTTGTCTCTCCAGCTCGATCGACTGTCTCTTCAAGTCTTTACTCTTCCGAAGGCGATTCGACGTTTCTCCTTGACTCTTTGCGCTCGGTATTTTCGTCCTCGACGGCGTTGGGGTCAAGTTTTCTCATGAGAGATCGCGAAGAAAGATCGAGTCTTGGAAGAGAGACTTTGGGGGCCGTGAATGTCGGCGGGATTGATCTTGAAGCACTGAGGGAGTGCTACGAGATGATGATCGAGCTCAAGCCGCGAACCATCTTTGCGATCCAGGTGACCAACTCTATCGAGATTCTTCTGGCAAGGATTGAGCTGGAAATGGAGCTGGAGCTGGGCCAGACCATGAGACGGAAAGTATGGTCTGAGGAGGAGATGAGAGCCATCATCATCCTCCTTATGGTGAGTGTCCTTTGACCACATACATGCCAATGTGCCCATCAATGTAAATTGTTATATTTGTCGATTAACACTGAGATGTTTCTCATATTATGTGCCACGTAGAATCCCTTCCTTTTTGAGCAACCTTATCAGGAGTCCCTTTTACGGCGGATCTTGCTGATTTTCATCGCCTTCCCTGACAAAGCCAAGTTGATCCAATGGCTTTCATGCATGGACGACGAAGGAATGGCCCAGATGGTCACACTGTTCAAGACATATCTCTCGGCCCATTTCACGCCACGACCGGTGGGCGATTCCCACCCAGCCATCTGTGCAGTCATGGGCTTGAACATCCTCTACCAGGCCAACAACATTGGAACAAAACGGGAGCAGGAGAGGCGTAGGCGCTCAGTGATCCAGAGTGCCAAGGAGGGGAAGGCGCAAATCGCCAGCATGGAGACCAACTCTACCATTTCATTCAAGTACTTTTACTCAGGCGTGATGGAAGCATTGAAGTTCAAAGACGAGTACCAAATCTGGCGCGACGGATGGGGTAAAAGGTACCACTGCCCGACTTTTAGAAATAATGTATCTCTGATGAAAAGATGGTACGTTGGCGCTAACAAACCCTTTTTGTCTTTGTCGTTTGGAAAATTAGCCCGCATGAGAAGCAATTCTCGTACTTTGACTATCCGTTTTTGCTCTCACCAACTTCTAAATCGCACATTATGAACTTGGATGCGCTGACACAGATGAGTGCGCATTACGAGGATGCTTGTGTGCGACATGCCCTAGCAGACCACGCGCAGCGACTTCTCCCCGATTCCATGACGGCCTCGGCACACGAGTTCCAAAAGGGCATCCGAGCTGCGTCTTCGCCTTATCTTGTTTTGGAATTGACTCGTGGTCACTTGGTGGAGGAAGCGTTTGAGCAGATCACCAAGAAGCATGCGGATCTGAAGAAGCCACTCAAGGTTGCATTTGTCGACGTTGGAGAGGAGGGCATGGACCAAGGAGGCGTGACCAAGGAGTTTTTCCAGATCATGGTGGAAAAGGTCTTTGATTCCAAATTTGGGCTCTTCAAGGAGCTGGAAGAAGGTCGCTCCTGGTGGTTTGAAGGGACGATGGACGGATCGAGCCACGTGGAGATGTCGTCTAAGGATGCTCGGGTTCGTCTGGTGGAATATGAACTTGTCGGTATTCTTGTCGGGCTGGCACTGTACAACGGTGTCATCCTTGGAGTCAGATTCCCTTCAGTTGTCTATCGCAAGTTGCTTGGATGGGAGGTCGAGCTGGATTCATTCATTGAGTCATTCCCTGTAAGTTGTTCGTCCGATATGTTGTTCTCATTCGTGTATGTCTTTGGATTATAACTATAGGAGGTACTAACTCGCGCACCGTTTTTTCATGTTGCATTGGTAGGCGCTGGGCAATGGATTGGAGCAGATGTTGACATGGACCGATGGCGACGTGTACGACGTGTTTATGAGAGAGTTCGAGATATCTTACGAACACCTGGGCCAAGTCACGACTATACCCTTGATACCCGGCGGCCAGGATATCCCAGTGACCAACGAGAACCGCGAGCAGTATGTAAATGCCTACGTGGATCATTACCTCCACGAACATATTCGACAAGAGTTTGCTGCCTTCCAGCGAGGATTTGAGAAGATCTGCGGAGGCGAAGCGCTAAAGGTAAAAAAACAAAAACATTTGTGTTCTTGTGGTTTCTGTAGTTATTATGTATGTCATTGAAGGAAACTATTTATTAACTACTACTACTACTATTATTATTTTTTTGCTTATATCGATAGCTCCTACGACCAGAGGAATTGGAGTTGATGCTCTGTGGAAACGCAGATCTGGACATGCACGACCTTGAGACGAGCTGTCTCTACGACGACGGCTACAGTCCCAACCACACGCTGATCAAGGAGTTTTGGGAGATTGTGCATGAGGATTTGAGCACAGAACAACACAAACAACTGCTGGTGTTTGTCACGGGCAGCGATCGTGTCCCTATCCGGGGATTGAAGGACCTGATGTTTGTGATTCAGCGAAACGGGCCTGACTCTGACCGACTGCCGACTGCGTTGACGTGTTTTTCCAGGCTTCTGTTGCCAGAATATTCCAACAAGGGCAAGATGAAGGAGCGACTGGTCACCGCCATCGAGAACTCCAACGGCTTTGGACTTGTCTAACATCAGTCACGCTCAAAAGTCACCCTGATGGACAGATAATGATAATTAAACATATTTCGCACAGACCCCCTATTTGATAAAGAGAGAGTTTATGAAGACAATTATGGTACAATAGAACTAGGGAAAAGCTTCTTTTTACTTGCGGACGTACTTTCCAACAACCAGGGCGCGGTCTCTCTCGAAGGGCTCAAGGGTCAACTGCTCCTGGGGGTTAATGCGCTGCTCCTGAAGTTTGGGGATTTCTCCGGCAAAGACCGTGGCGGCATCGACGGTCGAGTCGATACAGTTTGCCCTTGTGGAGATGACAGTGTGTCCGTTGTTCTTCAAGAAGTGGTGAGCGCTGATTCTAATGATACGGGACTGATCGGGCTGGGCAACATCGGCAAAGATGACATCGACCATACCGACCAACATGCGGTACTTGTGGGGGTGACGAGCATCCTCGATGATGGGGGATGACATTGGTGCGCTTCTTGGCCATGTTGATGAGGTCGCGTCCAGAGCGATGAGAGAACTCGACAGTGTAGACGAGACCATCGGGTCCGACAATATCAGCAACGTGGGAGACGGTGGTTCCAGAGGCAGCTCCAAGGTAGAGGACCTTCTTGCCGGGGTGGGGGGGGCAATGTGGATGTTGTCGACACCTCCGAGAACACCGGCAGCAACCTTTTGAGCGGAAAGGGTTCCACACGCGGTACTCGACCTTGGCACCATCAGCGCCCTCGATGGAGATGCGCTTCTCGCCGTAGACTGACTCGCCAGGAACCAAGTTCCTGGTCAAGAGGTAAGTCCTCCTTTCCATGAGCAACAAAAATACCCTCGTGTCTGTGAGGCTCAACAGTGACCTTGGCACCACCGCGGGCACCACGTCCACCGGGACCACCGCGCTTGGCAACACCTAAACATGATCAAGTTACAAGGAGAGGATGCCAGTGCTATTGGTAATAAAGAGAGCTAAAAACACTGGCCTCGTTCCCAGTCGTCAAGTGTTCGCAAAACGCACTGAGTGGCGCGACCGGGAAATAAGAAAGGGAGCAAAAAGTCTTTTTTTTTTTCAACCACCCCAGGCGACAAAAAAGAGATCCTTGGAGGTGTTTTGGAAGAGAACACTCTGAGCTTCGTCACAACGCAAATGGTCGAGAATAAAAAAACTTACCACCACGTCCACCACGGTCACCACCGAATCCACCGCGGCCACTGCCACGTCCGCCACGACCACCACGATTACCTAATAGGGGTTGTGCGAGAGATAAAGATATGACTGGTGTTAAGTGGATGCTGCATTGATGATTTATTCATGGTTGTAGCTAGAGGTTGTGTGCTTTCTTTCGATGTCCCTTGTTGAGGATATTATTGTCGGTGGCAGGGTGGACGTTTGCTAATGAGCAAAAAGTTAATTGAGTTGGTGGAGAGGCTGTGTTGTAGTTATTATTACCGAGACCCATGATGTATACTTGTTGCTGGATAGGGAGTACGGAAGTTGAAGTAAAGGAAGAAAAAGAAAAAAAGACAAACGAAGGGGAGGGTTCGGTGTCTGTGCTGTAAAGATGGAAGGAAGATGAAAGGGAGGTGTGGAGAAGGAAGAAAGGAAGAAAGGAAGCAAACAGAAGGCGGGAAGCAGGGGAGGGGAGGGGATGGGCAAAGCTTCGTCTTTGTGGATCAAAGGGCAGTCACGAGAGAGGAGAAATAACCACAGGCTCGCATGATCTAATTTTCAATCTGACGTTGTTCTTGCCACAAGAACAAATCCCGCGCTTTACACCTTTTCTCTCACCTTTCACACTCCCTTCCCACCCACTTTCCACGCTCCACCACTATCTCATCTACTCGCTCTCTTTTCCCACTCCATTGACTCTCAGTCCTCAACAAGTCTACAAGTGTTAAAAACATACAAGACTCTACAAGTCTACAGCTATCAAGAACATACAACAAGAAGGAACTACTACCAACAATGACCACCAAGGTACAACAGCGAGTTGGTCATTGTTTCCCCTCAGTTGAATATACGGCACAATAATCCTGGTATTCCCTGCCAACACTCCTCACCTCCTTCCTCTATTACCAAAACACGCCTGTAGTATCTATCGCAGCGCGCCGCGCAGGCTATCGACGTTGAGCTCATGTCTCCCACGGGCGGAGGATTCAGCTTTGAGCAACTGGTCGAATTAGGCACGTGTCTTTCCACTGCGCTTGATGATTCAAGATGCTTTAGCTGTAACATTCAAGACAAAGAATTAACAAATGTTTACGCAACGGTATAGCTGGATTTAGCGTTGCCCAAGCAATCACAAAGGAGTACAGCAAGGAATCGCACTCTCGGGTTGTCGTCTTTTCTGGACCAGGCAACAACGGACTCGATGGTAAAAATAATATTATCTAGACGTATCGTAGATACCCCAGGAGCATATTGACGCGTCCCCAACTCCGATACAAAACGGGAACTCTAAATAATTACCTGCCTACATTGTGGCAACCCCTTTGTTTTTCTGTAGGCCTCGTCGCTGCACGGCATCTCTCACACTTTGGATATCAGCCCAAAGTGTATTATCCCAAGAGACCAGACAAGCCAGTCAACCAGGTGTGTAGTTGTTTCACAGTCATGGCGCATAGAGGGGGTGTCAAGAGACCGCACGCCCTAACCTCTTCTCGTCTCGTATATGTCACTCTAGGGTCTGGTGAGGCAATGTATGGAACTGGATATCCCATTCGTTGATAGTCCCGAGAGCGGGCTTCACGACTCTGACCTGATTGTGGACGCCATCTTTGGTAAGTTTCTAGCCTTCTCTGTCCACGGCCTTCGTCGCGTTTACTTATTTTACTTTGTATCAACCTATGACACCGTGGGTAAGTGCTCACAATCCCTTCTCTCCATTTACAGGGTTCAGCTTTACGGGAGATGTTCGCCAACCGTTCGTCTCTGCCATTCAGGCCCTCAAGAACACCGCCATTCCGATCGTCTCTGGTAATTTAAATTAGTAATTCTTGCTACATCACACACCCAGGCACATGCGTCAGTGCTAATCAATGCTCATTTGACATCTGCTTATGATAGTGGATATTCCTTCGGCGTGGGACGTTGAGAAAGGTAGGCGCTTGATCAACAGAACGGCTGAACGATGCTTACCTTCCAATAGAGAACTAGGACTCACTTGCTATATCGATGCATAGGAAACATTCGCGGGGAGGGATTCCAGCCCTCGATGCTTGTGTCACTGACAGCTCCCAAGGAAGGTGCAAAGGACTTTAATGGCAAATACCACTATCTTGGAGGTCGTTTCATATCGAGGTATATGTTGCACTAGGCCTTCGTGGTTATTTTGTGTTGTCCATTCATTCATCTTTCCACAAATTAGCATTTCTCATATTTTCTTTCATTCTTTCTTGATTAGGAAAATGGAGGAAAAATGGGGCCTCAACCTGCCACGGTTCCCAGGCACTGACCAATGCGTGAGATTGAACACTCGGTTGGAGAAGGACGCGAAACCAGGAAAGACCAGACGCGAACTTGATGAAGGAAATGAGCGAGTGGACCGATACTTCATGGACAATGTTCTTTCCCAGGCATTTTCATAAATAACAGCTCCTTGATGATGTATATATCGCTAGGCAAAATAGTCTCTGTTAGTCACTATCCCAAATGCATATTGACTCGAAGACCTCCCTTCCTTTAATTAATCACAGTCATGCGGTGACCTGGCAGTTGCCTCTTCTTCTGCTCGGGGACGCGTTGCTCTTTGCGAGAGGCGTCGGATGTGCCAGGGAGTTGCTATAATAGTTTTGCTTGGTTGAGTGAGGGGTCTACAGTAATGCATACAGAGTGACGTGCCATTTTCAGGCACCAATTGCGACTTTAAAGCAGACAAGCTGAAAATACACGCCGTGCTCATTGCGCTCACTCACTCACTCACGTCTCCGCCCCCAATCCTCAACACAAACAGACATATACACACACCACACACCACACACCACACACCACACACCACACACCACACACATGCGCCCGCTTCTCCCTCTTCCATTTTTTTTTCTTTTCTCACTTTTCTCTTGCATCTTATTCTTTCTTTCTTTCTTTCTTTTTTCCTTGTTTCCCTTTCTTCCACACTCTTTTTTTGTCATCCTCCTTCTCACTCCCCCATCCTCCTTCATTCTCCCATCTTCCTTCAATCTCCCATCTTCCTTCATTTCCAACAACACCAATCCTCTACTCTCAACAACACTCCGCTCTTTCCCTCAACTCGACCCCCCTCGAACGTTCCTTGGCGGACAAGGCCGACCCTTTCATTCTCATCCTCGGCCCTGCAAACAACCTGACTCAAAATGTCAAAGACGATGGAGATCCGCCTCGATGGCGCATTCCTCGGCAAGTGAACACCTCTCCGCTCTCTCTGTTTCTTCGGAACAAAAAAAATGGACAGAGACAACCCTTGTCCTCCTTTTTCTTTGTCAGTTCACCTATTAACACAATAACAACCCTTGGCCCTTTGTTATTCCCACAGGACAGAACAACGACCCGAAGCTACAGCGGCTGATGTTCCCCTGGACTGGAACCCAGGGCCCAATCATTAACGGAAAGCTCATCATCAGCAACCGCGAGGATGTCACTCTCAAAGCCCTCACCCTCACCTTCAAAGCAAAGATATCCTGCAGCTGGTCCGAGAGTACGCTCTTCTTTTTTTGCCATATTGTCCGTATAAACAGCAGGAAGGAATGCACGTTTTTGATATGAGAATGATACTAACATTCTTTTCTTCAATATCTTAGACAAGGGAAACAAGTCACACTTTTACAACGCAAAGAAGCCTTTGCTGGAAAAGCAATGGGTTTTCCTCGAAGGGTCGCAAGGGAAGCTTCATATGCTCCGCGCCAACCAGACCTACACTTACGACTTTCAATTGGCACTGCCCGTCAACCTCCCCAACTCTCTCGCCATGAGCAGCGGAAAGATTGAATACATGTTCTCTGCCAACGGCAAACGCTCGACCTTCCAACTGGACCTCAACAAGGAACGCCTCGTCGAGATCTATCAGTCGCTGCCGCCTTCTCATCCGCACTGTGTCTATCCGATCCAGCAGACAGCCGACTTTGAGCAGGCCCTCAACTACCTCGTCCAGCTCCCACACAAGGCCTTCCACCACGGGTCCACCATCCCCGTCACCATTCGACTTAATCCCTTGCCAGGCTCTGGCGCTCAGTGGCACGTCACTGAAGTGACCATGAAGGTCAAGGAGTACTTTTGGTTCATTGTTCCCGGAAAGGCTATGCGCCACGAAAAGCGCTCGTTGGTGGATACAAAGCTCGGCAGTGGAAGCTGGCCCCTCCAAACTGGAGCATTGGAACGGACGCTGTCCATCAATATACCAGCCGTCAACATCATGAGCACCATCGACACTGAGCTCGTCAAGTGTACCCACAAATTCAAGATGGTCATCCATATCAACATTAATGGCAACAACAAGAAGCTGCCCGCCGACTGTAAGTTGAGCACGTTTGCTTTGTATTGTTGTGTCGTTGATATTTTCATATATTCATATACTTACCATACAACAAACAGTTGATATTTATATCCCAGGACCCTTCCCACCAGGACAAGGACCATCTTTGGCCGCACCCCTCCAACATCAACAACAACTTGTGCAGCAACAACAACAACTCATGCAGCAACAACAACAACCGCCGCAACCACAGCAACAGCAACAACCTCCTCCTGCTGCAGCACAGGCTCAAATGCCCTTCCAGCAACCTTACACACCAATGCCACACCAACAGGCGCCCTATACCCCTAATGGCCAATATCCCTTGCCAGCCCAGCAGCCTACTGGAATGCCATTGCCGACTCCTTTAACGTCCACCACAAGCTATCCCCCTCCTATCCAGCCTTTGTCCTCGGCCTATTCTCATCCTATGTCTCAGCCTTTTTCTCCTCCAGCTCCCTCAATGCCCACACCAGGAGACCAGCCTAATCCCTACAGTCAAGGTTACGGAACCCCTACCACTTCCAACAGCTATCCTATGGTTTCATCACAGGGATACCCCACACCAGGAATGCCTCCCATGCCATCACCCACCTTTACCAACTATCCAATGCCGCCCTCGCCTATCCCAGCGCCGACATATTCTGCTAGTCCAAACATGACTTCTCCTGCGGCACAACATGTTCCTATGTCGATGCAGATGCCTATATCTACTCCTACGATGCCTCTGGCCCATAATGGAGCAAACCATGTTGTCAATGCATCGCCCACCATGTCATCCAGTCGTCAGACGCCGGTGATACCTCATAATTACCTTCAGCAGCAGCAGCAGTTTTCAGCCTCACCCAAGGTCGAATCGCCTAGAGCACCTGTCCCTGCGCTCCCCTCCGGTGACCGTTTTGACGACACTATCAAGGTCAATTTGGACGATATCAAGTTGCCTTCTACACCTTCTACACCAGCCACCGGGGCAGCGACAGTGGCGGCGGCGACGACAATGGCATCTCCAGGATCGGCTATAATGGCTGCAGCGCCAGCTGCAACACATTCAAAGAACCCGCAGCTTCGTGAGACGATGGACGACTATACTCGGGAGATCAACGGCCAACTACCAATGCAGTCCAGCTCTCATTACTCGAGCTCGGCTAACATCCAGGTGCCACTCGTACCGACGCAACCTCAGGGTCCACATGCTGTCAAGGAATCGAACGCGGATCAGGGTTTATATTCGTACCAGCCTCCACCTCCCTCGGCCTCGAGTGCATCTTTGTCGAATGCGATCAAACCCAAAGAGAATAACGACCTCACGAATCGATTCAGTCAAATGGGACTCCATAGCAGCACGGTCTCGCAGCCTTCCCCTGTAGCTACAATGTCCTCAGCGGCTCCCAGCAATGGAATTCTACCAGGATTTGTGTCCCCGACGCCATCTGCATACACGCAACCGCCTCCAATGGTATCGCCAGCCGTCAACCCTGCAGCTCTTCGTCAAAACAGCGGGATACACAACCCAATGTCTCCAGTTTCTGCGGCTGCCACGGGAGCCGTTGTAGCAAGTCTGCAACAGCAACAGCAACAGCAACAGCAACAGCAGCAGCAACAGCAACAGCAGCAGCAACAGCAACATCAACAACAATTACAATATCAACAACAGCAACAACAACAACAACAACAACAACAACAGCAGCAGCAGCATTTCCAGTTACAGCAGCAACAACATTTTCAAGTGCAACCTATGCAACCTGTCCAGCAAGTCCGGAGGCAGCAAGTGTGGATCCCTATGTACCACACGCTCTCTGGCAAGACATATGTCCAATATGTTCTCGCACCTTAGGATCTCTCCTTTTTCTCTTTCTCCTTTCCTTAGTGATAGTAATAATAAAAAAATAAAAAAATAAAATAAAAAAAGAAAGAAAGAGAAAGTACTTTTCCTTCGTGGGAATATTATTCCCGTACATTAACGATCAATAAAGAGAAAGAGAAAAAGAAAAACAAGGGAGAGAGAGAGAGGAGTGAGATAGAAGAGAAAAGAGGAGTGAGAATGACTCGCGAAGGGTCAGGCAGAGAGCCAAGGAGGGGAAGTGATCAAAGTTGCCACTAAGTTGAGTTTAGTGACTGCGAATCAGATCGACTCATCGGATGTCAGTGGAACAAGGTTTATCGGAGAGAAAAAAAGGGCAGAAGAGCAAAGGGCGAATCCGATCTAGTCCTCCACCACTCGTATAAATACCCCTCCTTCGTCGTCTCTATCTTCTTCTTATTCTTCTGTCTCTTCTCAACACTCCCTTTCCCTTCCTTCTTCATATACCTCACACCATGTCTGCTGTTCCCACCACTTCATCCAAGGGCCGCGTCCTTCTCGCCTACTCAGGCGGACTCGACACTTCCTGCATCCTCGCCTGGTTAATCGAGCAGGGCTACGAAGTCATGTGCTACATGGCTAACGTCGGACAGGAAGAGGACTTTGACGCTGCCGTCGTCAAGGCCAAGGGTTGCGGAGCCACCAAGATCTTTGTCGAGGTAAGCCATTGTTCATTCTTCATCTTTTCTTCATCTCTCTCTACCACTCATACAATTACAATTTGTCAATAACCCGACTAACAAACAAACATATCTCTCTTCCCTCCAAAAAAAAAAAAAGGACTTGCAACGCGAATTCGTCGAGGAGTTGATCTACCCCGCTGTCCAGGCCAACACCATCTACGAAGGAGTCTACCTCCTCGGTACCTCCCTTGCCCGCCCCGTCATTGCTCGTCGCCAGGTTGGTTCCCCCCTCCCCTTTTTTTTTTCCTAATTGATTGACAGCAGGGACAATTGGAGCAAGATCAAATGCAATGCACACAAAAATTCTCACACGCTTAATATGTATGTGAAAAAAAATTAGATGGAGATTGCAGCTCGTGAGAACTGCCAGTATGTGTCGCATGGATGCACTGGAAAGGGTAACGACCAGGTCCGCTTCGAGCTTGCCTACTATGCTCTCAAGCCAGACATCAAGGTCATCGCTCCTTGGCGTGTTCCAGGTAAGATTCAAGATAGAGAGATGATGTTCAATGACTCCGCCTGGACTGCTTTCTTGAGTCTTCAACCTCTTCCCTTTTCCCACACTCTCTCCCCCCATCTTTTCTACCATTGGTTCGCCTCGCCTTTCTTTTGTTTCTCTGCATGTGATGTGGCCGACCAATCCCCACCACTCAACACTGACATCCAATCCTCTTTTACCCTCTCTCTCCTATCTCTCTCCTACAGCGTTCTACGAGCGCTTCCAGGGTCGCAAGGACTTGCTTGCCTATGCCGCTGAAAAGAACATCCCCGTCGTCCAGACCGCCGCCAAGCCTTGGTCGACCGATGAGAACCTCTTCCACATCTCCTACGAGGCTGGTATCCTTGAGGACCCCGATGTCACCCCTCCCAAGGACATGTGGAAGCTCACCGTCGACCCCGAGGATGCCCCCAACACTCCCGAGCGCATCACCATCGAGTTTGCCGAGGGCAAGCCCACAAAGGTCATCAACACCACCAACGGCAACAAGGAGGTCACCGGAGGACTCGAGATCTTCCTCTACTTGAACCAGCTGGCCCGCCAGAACGGAATCGGTCGTTTGGACATTGTCGAGAACCGTTTCATCGGTATCAAGTCCCGCGGGTGCTACGAGACCCCCGCCGGCACGATCTTGCGTGTCGCCCACATGGATCTTGAGGGTCTGACGCTGGATCGTCAGGTCCGCAACTTGCGCGACCAGTTTGTGACCCCCCAGTACTCCAACGTCCTCTACAACGGCCAGTACTTTTCGCCCGAGGCCGATTTCTTGTTGGCGTCAATTGCTGCTTCGCAGAAGACTGTCAACGGTGAGGTCCGTCTGAAGTTGTACAAGGGCAATGTGATCGTCGAGGGTCGCTCGTCCAAGACCAACAACCTGTACGATATGGAGGAGTCGTCGATGGATGTTCATGGAGGATTCTCTCCCATTGACTCTGAGGGCTTTATCAAGATTCAGTCGATCCGCCTCAAGAAGTGGGGCCTCAGCCAGAAGCTTGTCTAAAAACTCTCGCCCACTACCCAACAAAACACTACCACATGCATCTTCGAATAAAGAAAACCCACTTTTGTACAGTTTAATAACGATGGGCAGTCACGTTGGATGAGACTCTTCCTTCGCAACCTTTCTTTTTCTTGTCTCGCTTCCTGTTCCCCTTTCACCTCTTGCACGACGCACACCAAGGACAATGGATGCATCGGCAAGGACACTTACCGCCTCGCTCATCCTCATCACGACCGCAGCCCTGCTCGCGCGCTCATTCTCTCCTTCCTCCTCTTCGTCTTCGGACGGAAACCCAACCACCGCCACTCGAACAAAGACCCAACGTGTCAAACGCAACAACAAAAGGTGGAATCAGTCGAGTAAGGAACAACAACTCTGCATGTAGGACACTACAACAGACATGCTTGCATTCAACCAGCAGTGCATCTGTGTGCATCAACGAGAAAAAAAAAGAACGTCAGTAACGGGAAACAAGGACTTTTTGTTCGCGCTCCGATATTCACGCCTCCTTTATTGTTTCTTGTTTCCTGCTCGTTCCACTCGTACCTGTAGGCATCGATGAACCTCAATATGTCGCAGGACTGGTTAACGTCGGCAACACCTGCTTCATGAACGCTGTTCTTCAGGTAACCAACACCAACAATCCATAAACTATCAAAACAAAGGGGGGTCTTTTCTTCGTCAACTCAGAACCCAACGACGCGGACACTGACGAGTCAGTACTCCAATTCCCTTGATTCACTTTTAGGCCCTGGCCTCATTGCCGTCGCTGAAAGAGTATCTTCAGGATCGGAACGACATTGGCCACGACCCGGACTCCATCACGCAGGCTCTCTACGAAACAATTGAGAGTAAGCCTTCTCGCTGGAATTCCTAAGGAAACCAAATTGCCGCGTAGTTATCTCACGGCCTGCTATGACTTTTGGACACTGTATTTTCATTTAACCCCCATGAATTCTCTTGCTGTCTTCAACTCCTTTCTCTAGTGCTTAATGTCATTTATCGACGCCCGACTTCGAAACGACTGGTGAAGATGGTCAACACTGTCAAAGCCAAGGCAGCACACGTATTGACCAGCCAGCAACAGGTACGAGAACAATCCCCAACCTAATGCATTTGTCTATCTAGTCCGCCCAGAACAAAGGCGATTATCGCTTCCCTATCACTTAATAATGTCTATATCCTCGACATTCAACTGCATTAGGACGCCCAAGAGCTCTTTCAGATCCTTTCATCGCAACTATCAGAGGAACGGGAAAAGGTCGACCATGCTACCACGTTATCTCTCAGTGAAATTCTCGAGCCTTTCTCACAACTTCCACACTCGCCATCTTCAACAGAAAGAGGTGCAAGGAGTACCAGGCAGCCATCTGTCTCTGCAGTGATGGCTTCGTCACTATCGTCATCTACAGTTTTCACACTGGCGAGTCGGAATAACCAACAACTCCAGGGATCGCCATCAGCAACCACTCCAACCATTAGAGTCGAGATTGAGCCACAGGAGAGGGTTAGCAACAATGGCGATGATGGAAGGGAAGCAGATATCTCGGCGTTGATGACTGCAAGCGTAATGCTGGATAGGACTGAGCAGGAGAAATACAGGCGGGCTAAAAGTCCGTTTATGGGTCTCCTTGCTAGCCGTGTCTCGTGTGTCGACTGCGGATATACAGTGAGTGAAAATAATATATGATATGAAACGCTTGAACCTCGTCGTCGAGACATGTCATGCGTAGAGGGACACAAAGGCGATGTTAACAGTCAGTCGCTCTCTCGGCGTAAACTAGGCTGCCATCCGACACTCTACATTTGATAATCTATCGCTGACGGTGCCACTTCAGGTAGGCAAGGATACACAAAGTTGACTGAACGAACTTACATTCTAAAAGCGCCAGTTCAATTCGTGTTTCCTTTACTTATACATCTGCCTTTGCAACTATAGTACACTTGCAGCTTGGAGTACTGCCTGGATTCGTTTATTCACCTGGATACAATCAGCGATTTCAACTGCAGGAAATGTACACTCCTTGGAGCGAGCAAGGATTTAGGACGCAAGATCGAGCAGGGCAAAAGGCTTCAAAGACAGCGAGAAGAGAAGGAGCAGGGACAGCATCAAACGGACTCGGCCACGACGACAATACTCCCACTGGAGGGCCAACAGCAAGGCAATTGTGTCGAAGACTCGGTGGCGGAGGCCGAGCAAGTATCAACACAAACTCCTAGTCCAGCCAAACGACGAAGATCGTCAAGGTTGCTGAGCTCTCTTGACGAGCCTTCATCCGAAGACAAGGAGACGAGCTCTAAGCCTGGGAAGATTAGTATGGTAGAGATGGAGCAGCTGAAAGCGAGAGTAGACTACTGCCTTGCCAGTGATATCGAAATGGATTTGGTAAGATATATTGTCTTTTTCGCTCCTGGTGTCTTTCTTTGCAATATTTCAGGCCATCTAACTTCTTTATGACAAATGCGTTGTTTTTCTAGACACCGATAGAGTTGACACCAGTTCGGTCGAAAAGCACAACAAAGCACTCGATGATCGCCAAACCTCCACAAGCATTGTGTCTGCACCTCAATCGATCGATGTTCACGTCTTCGGGACAGATGGCCAAGAACCCCTGCAAGGTCGTGTTTGAATCGCAGCTGGATTTCACTCGGTTTACGACTTCGGGACATTTGACGACCGTGCCGACCAAGAGTATGTCGCGGAGAGGATCGCTCTCGGAGGCTGTTTCGAGCAGCAAGTCGACGTTGTCAATCAACGGACGAATTCCTCTGTCAATCTCGGGAGGTTTCTCTGGAACATTTTCATCTGCATCGATGCTGCCAACATCGTCTTTGTCATCATCACCAATGGCTTTGCCGAGTCATGTACCGAGGACAGCTGGTTCCACGGCCTCCAACTTGATAGGAGGGGATGGTGGTGAAGAAGATGAGGATGGAGAACGGGTGGTGTATCGGCTTTGGTCGGTTGTTGTTCATCTGGGGAGTCACAACTCTGGCCACTTTGTCACCTATCGGAGGATTCCCAGCTCTAACGGCGAGCAGCCAAGCAAGGATGCCAGTAATGATGGCAAGTGGTGGAGGATCTCGGACGAGGATGTGCAGATTGTCGAGTGGACGTTGGTCAAGAATGCAGAGGCGTACATGTTATACTACGAGAAGGAATCATGAGTTCCAGTTGGTTCATTTCTCTCCATTGTGCTTTTACTAAAACTTATATAGAATTTACTAGGCGGCGCTTCAATTGAAGTGCGCCTGTATATAAAATTTGCCAGCTTACTCTGGTCTAGAACAAACGAGAAGGACAAAAAAAAAAAAAGGTATGTAGGTTTGTTTTGGGAGAGGCTAGGACCAAGTGCGTCCGACACGGCGAAAGACCCAGGATTCTGTCTCTCGCTTCTCGTCATGGCCATGGCTGATGTCGACAGATGTGTAGAGTTTAAAGCCCTGTGCCCGGATATTTGCCAGTAGCTGTGAAAGGAACATGCGTGAGTAGACTGTCTCTGCGCCATGAGGCCGCCATGGGTTCCCTCGCAACTTGATCTCGTGCGCTCGTAGAAGGGTGCATTCTTGCTGGATCCTGGGGGGCAAGTTGGGGGCAAAGAAAATAAATAAATAAATAAAGGGTAGGGGGAGGGGCAACTGTCGGTTATGCACCATTGAGAAAGACAAAAGATGCTTTTTTTTTTCAGACTTACCCGCTTGGCCACTGGGTCTGGACGGCCTGCTTGACGGCGGTAACGATGGAGACAGGTACATTACCGATAATGCGCAGTTTATCCGAGGAATTAAAGCTCAATGCAAACATATCGACTTCGTCTGGCATGACTTGTCCCAATGAAGGATCGATGGTTTCAAAGAACAAGGCGTCCTTTCCATGCTCTTTCTTGGAGACGTCGGCTGCTTGGAGCATGTTCCAGCCATTGACGGCCATTGTCCTCAGGACAGAAACGATCAAAGTCCGGGAAGTAACAGAGTCTGTTCCTTGACCACGCCAAGGTGTTCCCAACAGTTTGAATTCATGTGCGCCAAAGTAGGTTTGTTCGGACTGGATCTGGCCCCAACTGGAGGTGATTGCATTTCGAATGGGATCGACCAAGGGTGGAGGGACGCCCAAGAGTCGGATCTTGTCGGTTTCGTTGAGGGTGATGCAGCAGACGTGAGGGAGGACGGTTTCAAAGAGGTAGTCTGGAGGTGCTGAGGGGACTGGTTGGGGAGGTTGCTGTGGTGCTGAAAGGAAGAAGGGGGATGGTTGTTCGTTATTGACATCGAGCTTTGCGAGCTGTTGTTTTTCGTCGTCTTTTGTCATGATTTTGGTTTGCAAAGAGGGGAGAGGGGGGGAAAGATGTCAAGAGGTGGTGGAGGGGAGGAAAGAACGACGAAAAAAGGGGAAGTTGTGCCAAGAGTCGAAAATGGACACGAACAAATATTTAGGGTAAACTAACTTTGCCACATCGTCGCTCTCGGTCTTGGGCTCAGTCCTTTATTGGAGGGGGGGAGAGAGGAGGGGAAAAAAGGCGGCGAGGGGAAACAAAACATCTGTACCGGACTGGATAAATCACAAATAAAAGGCGAAGACATAAAATAGGGAGCCAATGCACCTTCGTCTCTTTTAACACTTCTTGCATCCCCCTAAAAGACCTTTTTCTTTATTTTATGATTTTATTTTATGAAACTGGTAGTATTGAGAGATGAACAGCGTTTAACGTAGGAACGGCAGAGTATGCACTTTAACAAAAACACAAACATATGCCCGCAGTCGGTGAGCATTCAATTGTTCCTGGAATTCAACAACGTGCGTTTTTTGTTCGTACAATCCAACGGAGTGCAACGGTATTCCTCAGGCGCGAAATACACGTCCCATCTCAATCCTTCTTACTCTAGTAAGGAAAAAGTATCTGACCTCCTGTTTTCTGAGAGTAACACGAGGTCTTTACACCGAACTCTTCCTAGCACCTTCCGCCAGTTGCAGTCTGGTCCAGAGCCTGGCTCTGCACAACAATTGTCGCTACCCTTTACAGCTTAAACAGAAAAACAAATAAAACTAAATACGAATAAAAGGGATTCATCCCATCCTCTCGGTCATTGACAACCTCCTCCTTCCTAACAAACTCTTTAACAGCCGCTCATCAGCAGCACGTGGGTCCTTGGTCGCCCCAGGGCACGTTCCATTCTCGTGTGGCGCTTTGCTAGCCACACGGGCAAAAAGACCACTATGGGTGATGAAACCGTATCCTTGACTCCAATGGGCCTGTGTATTTGAATGTCTTGTTCTTGGCAAAGATGCCCTGGGTCTGCTCCCACGCGATCGACGCGAAGCACCGAAGTTTCCAGATCAGCTCCGAGGCCTGCATTTCCAGGTAGCCAACAAGCTTGTGCAGGACCGCCTTGGCGATGGTCATTGAGGTCCGGAAGAACGCAGACCATTAAGTCAACATGCTCCTGGGAGCGACGCCGCGAAGAAGATCCGACATGTTCCACTTGGGGTTCTCGTCGTGATCGGGAGTAGGACTACCGCTGTGTACGGCTCGAGCTCCATCGATGGAGGAGAATCCTCGTACATGATTCACATCCGAAGGAGCCCGCCAGCATATGGGTACTGGTCTCGGCACTGGACGACCATTGCCAGCCGCGCGTTTGTGTTCCCGTTTCCTGGCTGCATTGTAGCTGTTTGTTGCCTGCGCACCCCACTCGTTAATCTTGACCGTGACCTCCCTTTCAGATCGCAGTGGTAGTGCCAAGGAACAGTTCCAGACATATTCGTTATCCTCCTTCTCGAGCTCGCATCGTCGGCACAGACATGTTGGTACAGGTTAGGTTTGCGAGCCAGCATGTAATTCAGAGTGAGCAGTATTCCATGCAGCCTTTTGATGTGATGTGTGCATTGATGGGAGTCCTTGCTGTTGCTGTAAAAGGTGAAGACTGCGTGCCTGTCGTGGACATAAGCCAAGGCCGAGTTCCATTCCACGTCATCGATGTCAGGGATCGCCCTCTTGACCCCTCTCTGTGATGTCCAGGCTTGATGGTGACGGATTGTCGATTGTTGTTTGAGGAGCTGACGTAGATCGACTTCAACGAGCCCGCCGTAACAATGTGCAGAGGTCGTGATATCCGTCTGTTGAGTGAGATCCACCATCAAGGGGCACCGAGCCACTCTGTGCTGCCATCTTCGCCGCCTGATCCGCAAGCTCATTTCCATGGACGTTGCTGTGTCCTTTGACCCACACCACGTCGACCCTGCCTGGCCGAGATTCCACAACCTGCCAAAGCACCGCCCAGGTACCCGCATATGTACTCCTGAATCGCTTCCTCGTTAATGTCACGAGACAAGAGCTTGCTCTTGTGACTTCGCCCTAACGAGTATAAAAGGGCCTTAGATAGCAAATCTATAGCTCTTTACTTGGTATCGCCAATACAACATACTCTTTAACCTATTCCTTATACTCATTTCTTAGTCCTTGATCAAGGTTCTCTTTATCTACTTCATTCTATTGCTTGGTCTGCTTTCTTGACAATACCAAGTCATACACCTAAAGAACCTTGGATCAAACTTTGTCTGTTTTCTATTGATATACTTCAGCGCTCAAAAAAAAAAAAAAAAAAAAAAAAGCCTTTTCCACAACAAAACCAAACCCTATCTTCTTCAAGTTCTTTCCTCTTTTACTACCATCTTCCGTACACAACCCACAACCCTCAGAAACTACAACAACTCTTCACTTTCCGTATCAACTACAATGCTACCCGATAGTGAGATCCTTACAGCCAACGCGCGCTTCCAAGCACTGATGGACCGAGTAGCCACACTTGAACAAATAGTTCAGACGGTCACTCCCTTGCAAGCCAAAGTCACCGAACTCGAGGAGACTGTTCAGAAGTACCGTGATATGCTGGACTTCATTCTTTCGAACGAAGATTTCTTCACAAGCCTGACCGTCAACCTCAACCCTCGATTACTCAGCCTCGAATCCAACGTCCAGAAGATGACGTCACAATTACCACCCATCACTCGCGCAGAACTAGGCAAACTATTTTATGATCACAAGACCGATGTCACCAACACAGTGAGTGCCATCTTCCAATCAACTACACCTCACTCCAGCAATAGCTCCCCTTCGAGGCCAAAAGTAGCACCCCCCGCAGTCTTCTCCGGCAAGCGTGAAGATTGGAAAGGGTTTCAGGCTCAGCTGGAACTCTTCTTCGTTGCAAACGAGACCCTCTATCCGAACGACCACGACCGCATTGTGCTGGCTATCTCGCGCCTCGGTGATACTGCAGCGTTCAAGTACATGCAGAGATACGTTCCGTCCTTCAAGTTGCCTGTCGAGGAGAGACCCGCATGTATTTCTAACCTGGATCAGTTCTTTGCTCTTATGAGTAAGAACTTTGCGGCCCCTTCATGTGCAGAGGATATAAAAAAGCATATAAAAAATATCCAAAGCCCAAGGAACGGAGTGTTGACTTCCATAGCTGATATATCTCTTCACAGTCGGCAACAGAACATAGGATAAAATAGCAACATATAGCACAATTTTTTTTTAAAATGTAATCTCTCCCCTGTATTTCACGACAAAGATACAGTTGAGAGTGCAAGTGCTTTAGATGATCACATACAAGAACTACTCAGGCGAATCTTGCAGTGATGGGTACAGTTTAATAGTAGATGAACACATTCAAGATATTGGTGAGCGAAAAATAAGAAGACTTTGTTGTTTGGAGAATGTAGTTGTGTTTAGTAGGATAATCGCGCAAGGAATGTTACAGTGGTTGTTTTAAATGGTTGATATCATACATACACTCTCCTCTAATGGACGCGGTGGATATCGTCAAGATCTGCAGAGATGTAACAAACACCATATGATAATTTGGACTTGAAAGGCCTCCTTTGGAGTCTCCAATGCTCACGTCCTAGCAGAAACCCAACTCCGTCAACTTAGACAGCGCGGTTCTGCCATCGACTATACAAACCGTTTCGTCAACCTTGCAGCGGATACAGCATGGAATGATAGCGCAATGATTTCACAGTTCCGCCTCGGCCTGAAGGAGTCTGTTCAAGAAGCCATGGCAAACTACCCCGAGCCACCTACCTTTGCCGAGTTTTCACAATTGGCTATCGACATCGACAACCGACAGTACGGCTATGCAGTGACCCGTTCCGGCAACAAATCTTCCAGCACTCCGTCCCGTTCCACCACTGCCCACACTTCTACTACCACTCAAGCCTCATCCACCCCAACTACCGCGTCCACCCCTGCTACCTCAGCTCCCGCGACCACTTCGATGGACATGGATCTCTCGCATGCTCGCCATGGTCCTTTGCCACCGTCTGAGCGTCTTCGTCGTCAAAAGGAAGGACTGTGCACCTACTGTGGTTCAGCAGATCATTGGCTTGACGACTGCCCCAAGAAACCTGCAAAGCCCTCGTTCAAGAACGCCCCAAAGGCAACAGCCTCGATCTCGGCCCTTCAGCCTACACAGACTAGCGACCAGCCCGATGCAATCTCTTTCCAATTGGAAAAAGATTCAGCCTAGACAGTAAAGTTGGAGTGTGTCTGGGCGAGCTGTATAACAAATCTCCAAATGATCCTCTGCTATCCCCTATTACTATTCCAATTACTCTTCACTTCCAAAACTCCTCACTACCAGTCCATGCAATGATCGACTCAGGAGCAACCATCTCATTCATTCATCAAAATCTAGCACAACAGCACAATCTTCCACTAGCACAACACTTATTACAAATCTCTCTTGCCAATGGTTCAACACATACCTCTCATCACGCCACCACATTGGTTATGCAATCCCACTCACAACACTTTTCCACACACACTTTTCAACTCATTGCACTTGGCAATTATGCCATTATTCTTGGCATGGACTGGCTCCGCTCACACAACCCATATATCGACTGGGAGAAACGAACCATTACTATGCCATGCCTCCATCAGCACACACTCGACAAGCTTTCCCCCCTTGCACAATCAACAATGCCTCGATCCATCCCTTCCTTCCAGGAACAAGACCGAATCCTTCTGCCACCTTCCAAACCCAAATCCACTTTGGTTCCCACCAAGTACACCTCAGGATCCAACCAACTATCCAAATCCGCCAAGAACCGATCAGCAACCAACATCTCCATTATTAGCAATACACAACTCCGTCAGATCCTCAAGACCAATCAAGGAGTCGGATACATGCTCGACGTCTCCCGAATCGAAGAACTCGCCAGCGCAACCACCAACGACAACTCTATCCCTGAATCAAAACCCACAGTCCAACTGCCCGAGAAATATGCCGAATATGCTCAGGTATTCTCCAAGATGCAAGCCGACAAGCTACCGCCACATCGACCCTATGATCACAATATCCCTGTGGTCGAAGGAGCCACCGTGCCATTTGGACCAGTGTACAACCTATCACAAACGGAACTGCAAGTTCTACGCGAATATATTCAAGAAAACCTTGCAAAAGGGTTCATCCGTCGATCCGAGTCTCCAGCTGGCGCCCCCGTCCTTTTTGTTAAAAAGAAAGACGGTTCTCTCCGCCTCTGTGTCGACTATCGAGGCCTCAACAAGGTGACTGTCCCCAATCGATGCCCTCTGCCACTGATCTCCGAAACTTTCGACCGACTAGGCAAAGCCAAGTATTTCACCAAGCTCGACATGCGAGGAGCATACAATCTTCTCCGCATCAAGGAGGGCGACGAATGGAAGACTGCATTCCGCTGCCGCTATGGCCACTTCGAGTATACAGTCATGCCCTTCGGACTAATGAACGCTCCCGGAACTTTCCAAGCTTTCGCCAACGACGTCCTCCGCGATTACCTAGATGACTTTGTCGTGCTATACATTGACGACATTCTCATCTACTCCGACACCCTTGAGGAACATACCGCGCATGTCCGCAAAGTTCTCAGCAAGCTCCAAGACGCTGGTCTATGCTTAAAACTCGAGAAATGCTCGTTTGACAAGGACAAAGTCGAATTCCTCGGCTTTGTGATCGGAACTGACGGTATTTCTATGGACCCCGCCAAGGTTGCCGCCATTCGCGATTGGCCCACTCCCTCTTCCGTTTCGGATGTCCAGTGCTTTCTGGGTTTCTCCAACTTCTACCGTCGTTTTGTACGGAAATACTCCCATATCGCCGCGCCTCTCACCGCGTTACTCAAGAAAAATACTAACTTTGTCTGGACCGCTATCGCACAAGCCGCTTTCACGGAGCTCAAGTCACGCTTCATGTCTGGCCCCGTCCTTCGGCATTTCCAACCAGATCGCCCCTGCATCATTGAAACTGACGCTTCTGACAAGGCCCTCGGCGCTGTCTGCAGTCAGCGTGACCAAGATGGACGCCTACATCCTATCGCTTACTACTCCCGAAAACTATTGCCTGCTGAACTCAACTATCAGATCTACGACAAAGAACTCCTTGCCATTGTGTCTGCCTTTAAACATTGGCGACACTACCTGGAATTCTCGCCCGCTACCACGGAAGTCATCACCGACCACAGAAATCTTGAGTACTTTACCACCACGCGCCAATTGAGCCGCCGTCAAGTCCGCTGGTCTGAAATCTTGTCTGACTACAACTTTACCATCCATTACCGCCCTGGCTCCCAGAATGCCGCTGCCGATGCTTTGTCCCGGCGGGACAACCCTGGAGAGGGAGGTGCGGCCCGGCACGGCAAGACCGAGATGACCCTCCTACCGCCGATCCAGATTCTGAACACCATCCAGGCCCGGTCACTGCAACCAGAGACGCCAGCGATCCAGGAAAAAATCAAGACACTAATCCCCGATGATCTATACTTTGGTCCAATACTCGCCAAGACCGCAAAGTCGAACTCGGACAATGCCCAGTACTCAATTCAAGATGGGCTACTCCTGCGGGATGGCCTTGTCTGCGTCCCCGACGATCCCGAACTCAAGAAACAAATCCTTCAAGAATGTCACGACGCCCCAACCGCCGGTCATTTTGGAATTACCAAGACCTCAGACCTTGTCAGTCGAACCTTTTACTGGCCTTCCATGTGGCGTTACATCAAGGATTACATCAACGGTTGTGACACCTGCCAACGGACAAAGTCATCCACTCACAAGCCTTATGGACTTTTACAACCCCTGCCTGTACCCGATCGCCCCTGGACCTCAGTATCGATGGATTTCATCACCCAACTCCCCCCCTCAAACGGCTATACGGCAATCTGTGTTTTTGTGGACCGATTCACCAAGATGGCACACTTTGTCCCCACCTACGACAACATCAATGCACAGGATACGGTCTGTTTGTTCCTAGAACGCGTATTTTCAGCCCACGGTCTCCCGGATGACATTGTTTCTGACAGAGGCGCCACCTTCACTTCAGCCTTCGTTTCCACCATGTTCAAGTCTCTGGGGATCAATCAGAAGCTTTCTACCGCCTACCACCAACGCACCGATGGACAGACCGAGAGAGTAAATTCAATACTGGAACAGTACCTACGAGGGTATATCGACTATCAGCAAACGGACTGGAGCACCCTTCTACCGATAGCAGAATTTGCATACAACAACGCAACACACTCAACAACAAAAACAACACCATTCTTTGCCAACCTCGGCTACCATCCGAAATTCACCATCACCATCCCAAGAGTCTCGAAGGACAATGTCCCAGCCCAGGAACGCGTCCAGGCCCTAAAGAACCTCTATGCGGAGATGCAACTCAATATCCACACCGCCATTGAACAGCATGCCAGGAACTTCGACACCAAGGCCCAACCACAACCCAATCTGCAAGTAGGAGATCTTGTATGGCTAGACGCCCGGAACCTCCAAACGAACAGACCATGCAAGAAGCTCGACCATAAGCGCATGGGCCCTTACCGTATTCTCGAAAAAATCGGCACTCGATCCTTCCGTCTCGATTTACCACCAACGACCAAGCTACATCCTGTCTTTCATGTAAACTTACTTGAGCGTGCGCATCCAGATACGATCCCCGGTCGAGCCTCAAAACGACCTCCTCCGCTTGTCGTCTCCGGCGATGAGGAGTACGAGGTTGAGGCCATTTTGGATTCACGGATCAGGCGCAACCACCTTGAATACTATATACATTGGAGAGGCTACCCCGTATCCGAACGAACCTGGGAACCGGCCGCCTGTGTCAAGAATTCCCCGGACCTTGTTCGCGAGTTCCATCTGCAACACCCTCACAAACCCAGCCAAAGGCCTCTTGGAACTCGGCCCTAGAGGGGGAGGTTGTCACGAGACAAGAGCTTGCTCTTGTGACTTCGCCCTAACGAGTATAAAAGGGCCTTAGATAGCAAATCTATAGCTCTTTACTTGGTATCGCCAATACAACATACTCTTTAACCTATTCCTTATACTCATTTCTTAGTCCTTGATCAAGGTTCTCTTTATCTACTTCATTCTATTGCTTGGTCTGCTTTCTTGACAGTTAAGGTGTCCCGACGATTCTTCACCAGGTGACTGTACTGTTCCACCACTGACTGATTGTCCAGTTTAACCACAATGTCCTGTTCCGGAGGTGCTGACAAGACTGCGGCTAATAAACCCATGAGCTCGGCCTTGGCCGAGGACGCGTGACCATCCGTTCGTCCTTGTACCGTCAGAGGGTTGTCCTGAGTGAGATCCACCACTCCAAAGGCATGTGATACTTCCGGTGTTCTTGAGTTCAGAAGAGATCCGTCAGAGTACAGAACGCGAGGGTTGGAGTTGTCGACGTGTGTGTCCTGAACCACGCGCATGGACGCCGCCTCTGCATAATAAGATAAACAACCTTTCTTTTTTTTTTTTTTTTTTTTTTTTGTACACAATTTTATTTCTCTAACAAACAGCATAGATAAGTTATTTGAAAGTAAAAGGGGACAGCAGACCAAACTCTTCAGTGCACCATCCACCAGTCGCAGTCCGGTCCGGAACCTGGCTCTGCGCAACAATTGTCGCTGATCTTCACAGCTTAAACGGAAGAAAATAAAACTAGATACGAATGAAGGGGATTCTTCCCATCCTCACCATCATTGACAACCTCCTCCTTCCTAATAAACTCTCCAACAACCGCTCGTCAGCAGCGCGTGGGTCCTTGGTCGCTCCGGGGCACCTTCCTTCATCATGTGTGGCTAGCGAAGCGCCACACGGGCAGAAACCATCATGCGTGATGTAACCGTATCCTTGACTCCAGTCACCTCGGGGGCCTGTGTACTTGGATGTCTTGTTCTTGGCAGAGATACCCTGGGTCTGCTCCCACGCAATCGTCGCGGAGCTTTTTTTTTTTTTTTTTTTTTTTTTTTTTTTTTTTGATACGCGATTTTGTTTCTCTAAAAACTGAGTTGGACAACCTCTGGTTTCGAAGCGCGTTCGTGTTATCGGGCGATCGGCGCGTGTAACGAGAGGATTGGCGGCTCTCGGGCGCCAAATATGACTTCTCGAGAATTTGTGGAGAAGTTAAATAGAGCTTAGTTATTACACAGATATATCCTCAGTAAGCAAAGTCGCCCAGAGGAAGAGCGCTGGGCTCATAACCCAGAGGTCGGTGGATCGAAACCACCCTTTGCTACAAATTTTTATCCTTTTATTTTTATTTTTTGTTTTCTCTTCTTCCTTCGTTCTTCTTTGTTCTTCCTGTACTCACTCTTTCCGTCCTTCATCCATCCATCATACCATTCCTTCATCGTATTCATCAACTGCACCTTTCTTTTGCACACACACACATATATATAGCATATTCCTTCTTCACTCTTTTTACTCATACCCTCACCACACACACCCTCTCTCGCTTGTCCTTTTCGTCCTTGAGCCTTCGACCTCCACCAACAATACATCATGTCCCAAGGGCCTCCCAGGTAAAAACAACAACTGTAGCATCACCAACAAACACCGGTCAGCCTCGATCGCTATCACCACCTGGCTGCTCAACAGCGACGGCACTCCTTTTCCGTCCTTCCTTCCATCCAGGTTACCATAATTCAGGCCAAATCACTCACCCGCCCGCCTCCGCTCACCTTGTGCCCCGCATAACCCTGTTGCCCCCTGCAACACACACACACTCTCGCTCTCTCTCTCTCTCTTATTGACATGCATTACGTCAAAACAACAACCATCATGGCGAAAAGAGGTGTACTTGCACAAGTACCAGGAGCATGTGTATATGTACACAACAACACCATCAAAAGCCTCTATTTTCAGTCAACGGATAGACACGAGAGAACATAATCACAACAGGGCGTCTCTATGTTGGTGGGTGAGGGGGGATAAAGAAAGAGGAACATGTTGACCAAAAGAAAACAGGGAACGAGCACCTTGGCAGAGGATACCGCAACCATTTAGCGACAAACGGGACAGGACAGCATAGAGCAGAATATGGAATTAATAAGTGATGTTGTTTCTCTATCAGTCTCAACACTCCCCAACCTTCCTTCCTTCCTTCCTTCCTTCCTTCAGCAGGCACCAACTGTGCTTTCGACAAAAGTCGTTAACAAAGTAGAAAAATAGGCAGACAAACAGGAGTATGGATGATACGCAAAGAATGGTCGAGAAGTCAGAGGCTGAGAGTGAAAGTTGTAGGGATTTTGTTGTCGAAGACCGAACGAGATACAGCATGAATCATGGAATTGCTGCATGCTTGTTTGAGAACTTTTTTCTTTTCTTTTCTTTTCTTTTTTTTTTTTCTCTTCCGCCATGCATTATCTTTTTTCTACCAACAAGGAGACAGAGCGGTAGAGAGAGTGGGAGGCTATCTTTGTCCTCAATGATTACGAATGGAGATTGCCCTCTTGTTTCTTACGTAGAGCTCACTCACGCTCGACCCTTCTTCTAACCTCTCTTCTCTGCGCTTTTAATCCAATGCTAACCTCTCTCTTTCTCGTTTCTTTCTCCTTTTATGGTACCATCATCACTTGCGCTCTCAATCCACCCAACCACGACCTTAATAACAACAACAAAACAAAACCGACTAAAACTCGGACGATACCGCTTTCTCGACATACAGATTCACCAATATCAATGACGAGCTCGATTATTACAAGAGCCATACAGAGTCGATCGAGCTTGAGCTCGCAGAAACCAAATTCGCCTTGGAAGAGTTTCAATTCTCGTCAAAGGAACTGGAAGAAGAGCTAGAGAAAGAGATTGACTCTACAGAGCGCCGATACAACGAAATCAAGATACGCAACGAAGCTATGCGGCAGGAGGTCGAAGAATGGAAGGTATGCTGCCGAACCATAGTGTCGTCTGCATATATGTATTCTCACTTGAACAACTAGAAAAGGGATAGGGATGAAAGAGAGAAAAGAGGGAGTGCATACGCAGTCAATGGATCATCCAATCCACATGCCCTTCGCCTCGAACCTCACCTGGACCTATTCACCGATATTCTTCAAATGGACATGAACCAGCGACTCATACAAGATTCTTTTTTTCTGTAAATAGGAAAAATACCACCTGTCAGTGAAGGAGTCGAATGTCAACATCAATCAATTGACACGCCAACTGGAGCAACTGCGGCAACAAACAGAGAATTTCATCAAAAAGGAGCGGGAACTTGAACAGGACAACGACGATCTCGAACGCACAGGAAGGTAACGATCGAAAGGACAAGCCTCGTTTACATTTATTACTTTTTGATCATGGGCACCTATCAACAGCAGATGTGTATTTATCAGATTCCTTATGCTTAATGACAATTTTTTATTATGCTTCGTGATCACAATATTGTCTAGGGCTGCACAGTGGTCGCTTCAGGAGCTGGAGAGAAAGTACAATGTTGCACTGGAAAAGGAGGCCATGTTGGAGAACGAAGTGGTGGCCAAGGCTGCACTAGCAGAAGAAGTTCAAAGGCTGAAAGATGAACTTCGAGGTAAAAACACACAAGAATACCGATTGATGCATTTGTTTTGCTGTGGTTCGTTTCAGGCAACGATTGTCGTATCTATGAAAATAGGTAGGACAGACACTCACCCAGGTTCGTTATTTGTTTTTATAGATACAAACGTGGAGCTGGCAGTGATGAAGTCGAATCAGGCAACATTGAATACCTCGACAGCTAGCCTTAGCTCATATAGCGGAAGCACATCTTCTCTGGCGGACCGCAAACCAACTGCGGCAGGAAGCAACGAAGCTATGCCTGCGATCCGGGCCAGACTTGCCAAGAGTGGAGCCACACTTCGTGCCTCGGGTGCAACAAGGCCTTCAGGATCTGGTCCAAGATCCACGCCTGGGCATGGAACTCCTCATCAAAACCCTGTTCTCATGGTTCAAGAGATGGTCGGCCGCGTCAAGGTAGCCCGCTTATACGTTTTGTGTGCTTTTTTTTCCATCGTATTCCAGCATCTTGCACTGTGTCTGACATTTACTAATATCGCTCCACCGCTTTCGTATCGTTCTCATATTTTACTGTGTTAGTCTTTGGAGGCGCGTTTGGTATCCTGCCGTTCTTTGGTGACGCCTCTTTTGCAGCCGCCCCCATCGTACTCGACCTCCATCCCTGTTTCATCACGGTCCTCGGAGCATGGAAGTCGGTCGGGATCGCGACCAGGATCGCCTAGCAAATCGACTCTGACGAGTCCACGAGTTAGCAGGAGAACTTCCCTGATTCAACACCAGCACTGAGCTTACGGCAACGAAACCAACAGCAGCAGTGAGACTTGCATTTTTTTTCAGGCCTCGCCTTAAGGTCGAATTTAGAGCCATTGGAAGACAGACATCACTCAGAGACGCCATTTCCTCCTTGTAGATATCTTTGTTCCTTTTGTTCTCGCTTCAAGCGTGATTTAATGTTCTACAATAGCGTCTCATGTATTAGTAACCACACCCAAAATATAAATAATAATGATCATTTTATTTTTGTGCTTGCAAAAGATGAAGGACAGAGCAGTAGAGGCTCATAGTTAGTCCTTCTCGAGGTTGATGGCATTGCCGAATCGTGCATAGAGGACCTTCTTGAGTCCGTCCATTTTCTCGACAGCCTCGTCCATCTGCGACTTCAGGCCTTCGATCTCCTGGTCGAGCTCTTCCTGTGATTTGGTGATACGCTCCTGTGCAGCCTCCAATGACAGCGACACGAATGCCTCTCCAATGCGGTACCTGGTTGAGTTTTTCATTTCAGAGGGAGAAGGATAGTGGAGTAAGCACAGGTATGTCATTCCTAATTGTCTAGTATTATACTTTATCATCTAGAAAATGAATATCATTTACGTGCATGACTAGTAGTTACTTACTTGACGGGCTCGTCTTCGTCCGCGAGTTCGAGCTCCATAGCAAGATCATCGAGATATTCCTTTTCAGTCTATTTGTAGCCCCCCCCCGAAAAAAAAGAAAAAAAATATGGAAAATATGGTATTGTTTTCCAGAGTTAACAGCTGCATGACTTTGGTGGGTGGGAGGTGACGTGTGTGTGTGTGTGTGTGTGTGTGTGTGTGTGTGTGTGTGCTCTTTCCACGGATTGTATTTGTTATTTTTTTGCTAACCTTTTTGCTCTCGTAGGCTTCCTCGAAGTCCTGCAGTTTTGCATTGTATTTGCTGAAGGTGTTGATATTCTCCTGGTCCTGCCATGAGACTTGGATATCGCCCTCCTCGTCTTCCTTTTCGAGCTATGTTTTTTTTTTTTTTGCAAAAAAAAAAGATGAGAACGAAATTTGAAATCGTTTTTTAGCCGAGAGAGAAAAGATTCAATGTTCAGGAACGGCGATGCCCCTCTCCATCGTCCTCCTTTCTATTGCAAGTGTCACTTGATGTTGGTTGTTCGCCTTCCTGTGGGTTCGTATGTACCATGCGCATTGTGATTTGAGTGGAGTTGTAGGGTAGGTGGGGGAACGGATGTAAAGATTGAATAAAAAAAGCCTGAATATTAGACATAGTCAAAACTGCCTCCCTTACCCCTTAATCGAGCTTCAGATCAAAAGGGGACAAAAAAACAAGAGAGCATAAACCCTGTGTGGGAACTATAAGAGCAACAAACTCTGTGCGGGGGGGACCCTTACTGGCCCCCGATCCGATCAAGAAGCTTTAGGCATTTGTCCGTTCTGAAGATGATTTATGGTATATTTACTAGGAAGAGACAGAAAAGAAACATTGATGCGGGCTATGTCAGTGCCTGAGGCGCTTGGGGTTGCCGCGGCGTGGCAGCCGTGCCGGCTGTGCTTCCGTCTCCAACGGGATAGGGCGAGGGTTGCCAAGACTTGGGGTCGACCGTGATAGCGTCCGAAGGTGTCATTCCTCCCTTATTGACTGCGTTTGACGTGCCCGTCGACCCAATGGCGAATGCGACCGGAGGAGCAGGCTGAAGGGCAGGGTAGGTCGCATCCGGGGCTGAGGTTGCTGCCGAATACATGGGGGGTGGAGACATTATGCTTGGGGAGAAGGGAGCTGCCTGCAAATTGGTCTGCAACGGCTGAGCTTGTTGTTGTTGTTGTTGTTGCTGCTGCTGCTGCTGCTGGGCAAAAGGCATTTGTTGGGGATAGGGTGCCTGTTGTAGTTGAATATAAGGCGATTGTTGCTGTGGGATATAGGGCGATTGCTGTGGCTGGGTATAGGGGTTTTGCTGTCCAAGGGGAGGGTAGAACTGCTGCTGTTGTTGTTGTTGTTGCTGTTGCTGGAACTGCATAGGGTTAGGGGCAAATCCTTGAGGATGAGCCTGGTAGTGGTTAAACTGTGCAGGTACTGGGGCTTGATAAGCGTGCATAGGGATAGAGGCTGGCTCGATGACGACCACGGACGAGTGGGGTTTGCTTGCAGCGGCTGAGGCGATGGCGGCGGCGCGCCTCGCCCGGATGATGAAGACGATGACGGAGAAGAAGATAACGAATCCGATCCAGATCAGATGGCTGTAGAAATACATTGTTGGCAAGGAGGATGAAGGAAGGAATAAGGGAAAGTGAACAAGGCTGGAGCGAGAGAAAAGGAACAAAAAAAAAAGGGTGTCAGCCTCTCAAAAGGACAAAAGGCATAGAGTCAACCAACCCCCAAGAGTCGAAAACACGAATGCGCAGTTGAACCTTGTTCCTAGCCTAAAAGGTCAGGTCGAGGCCCCTCCTCCCTCCTACAAGAGACAGCACGTTGTGTTGTGCTTGTCCCCCCTTCTTAGCCAATCGTGCTTAAAGTTGTCAATTAATATTATTATTGAGTAAGAAAATGGCTACATGCATCCGTGCGACGAGAGAGCCGCCGTATGGCCGGCGATCGCCTCCTCAACAGGCTTGACCACAAGCTCCGGGTAGTGCTGGCTCCGCATCATCCCCAGCGTGCCATACGCCCGCTCCACCATATCATTCTCCAGATACGCCGACACCATGCTCTGAAACGTCGATGGCTCCTTGACAATCGCGCCTCCATTCTTCGGTCCGTAGGGATCCTTCATCGACCGGAATATCTCCTCGGCAGAATCAATGTCATTCGCCTGTCCAAAGCCTCGGATCAGCGTGTTCTCAATGTATGTGCTCGACGGCTGCCCAGACGCCAGCAGCTCGTTCCGAACCTCCACAGCTCGTCTCACATCTCCGTTCGCAATGTAACTCTCAATCAGCGACTGGTACGCCGGTCCCTTGGGCACAATTCCGCTCTGGCGCATGTGGCCGAAAACCGAAATCGCCGTGCTCACATCTCGATGCTCGACGCCATATGCATGAATCAGAGCACTAAAATGCGCCTCACTCGCCCTCACTGGTCCGCGTCTTAACGATTGGATGAGTCGGTTTGCCTCGCTCAAGTCGTATGGTTGAATGCACGCAAACGCCTCGATCAGCAACGTATACGTGTGCTCTGTCGGCGAGAGCTTGCGTCGCAGCATGTCGTCGTAATAGTCCAGTGCCGCTTCCCGATCCTTCTTTTGACGGACATAAAACTGGATCATGGCGTTGTGGGGCCCTTGCCGGGGCTTGTACTTGGGACTGGCGGTCATCTCCTTGAAGAGGTTGCGGGCCATTTCCTCGCTCCCAACTCGTGTGCAGGCGCTAATCAGCGTTCCATAGGTGATGGCGTTGGGGCGGATGTCGTGCTTGATCATGTCATCGTAGACCTCCAAAACTCGCTCTATCTTGCGGCCACGAGACAATTTCCCGATAACGACGTTGTAAAAAAAGATGTTGGGCTTGATGTTGTGACGCTTAACCTCCTCCAGTATCTTAAGCGCATCCAAAGCCTCGTCCACTGCTCCTGTAGTCGTAGCTATCAAAAGAGTCGCATATCCAGTCGCATCTGGGAACTGTCCCAGCTGAACAATGTCGTCGTAGTTCTTCTTGGCACTCGTCATATCGCCCAAGGTAGCATTGGCGACAAGCATGGCGTTGTATACCTCGTACTCGGCAGCGCGGCGGTGGGTCCTGTCCCTGATCGCATCAATGGATCGCAAGGCGATGTGGTAGAGTTTGTTGTAGTTGGTGGCTCGTTCCTTCTCTCTCTTGGCGCAGACTTGGATGGTGTCCGCCAGAGCTTGAGGACTAGGGAGTTGATCCTGCTTCATCATCTTGTCGATTTCCTCCAACGCCACTGCCGCGTAGCCGGCCTTGCATGCTCGTATAATATGTTCCGAAGGATCCCCATTGCGAAGGAGAACTGGCGCACTTGGGTTCGGTGCGACTTTGCGGCGATTCCGACTGCCATTGTTGTGCTCGCTCTGACAACCACAAAGGCCTTGCTGTTGGCAAGGTTGGTGCTGATGCTGATGCTGCTGCTGGGGCTGGGACTGGGACTGGTGCTGAGGCTGATGCTGCGACTTGGGCTGCTGAGACAATGACTGTTGTTGTTGATATTGTTGAGATTTGGAGGATTGAGGCACTGGATGGTGTTGCTGATGCGTGTGTGGATCAGGGCTCTGACCCTGATGATAAGAACTTTGTTGACGGGGAGTAGTAGACTGCAGAGTTGTCTCCTGTCCAGGTGTAAAATCCTCCGGGATAACAAGTTGGAATCCTGGATAAATCTCCTGCACTGCGGTGTCCCATGCTAGCTGTCCCGAATAGTCGCCGAGCTGAACAAAGGAGAGCGAAATTTTGGAGCAGGACTCCCAGCTCGGGATAATGTTCATCTCCTTGGCATCCAGTAAGATCTCGATGAGTTTCTTGTAGCGAGAGTAGGTCTTCGTGAGTGTTGCCTGTAGGGTAAGTAGAGTCTCGATATCCGTACTACTGAGCATGGCCCTGACGACAGAAAGACCGGACGTCACCTTGAGCTCGCGGTAGCTCCTGAGCGCCCCATCTGCAAAACCAGCTGACGCCAACAACCCATGTCTAGATAATATATTTGATGGACGGTGAGAAGTCAGTTGGTATTCGATAAAGAGAGGCATTGCTGGAACAGGGTTGAGTCCCGCTGTGAATCTAAGCAGGAAAATAATTCTTTCCTTTTCTTACCTGTCGAGTAGTTTAGCAAGCGACAGTGTTTGGAGGAAATCGCTGCTGTGATTGGCAATGTCCTTGGCCAGTGAGGTATAGATGTTTTTTTGGTTGACTGATAGAGAGCGACCTTGGGTATGGTGGCAGTCGACAAGCATAACGAGAGCGCGTTCGGCGTCCTGGGGGTTATTCATATCGAGGAACTGCGCAACGATCCGGGTTGAAAGAGCAGCGTCAGCGTAGACGCCTTGGTGCTGCATCTCTTGCAGGCAAGTGAAAATGGCACGGGCATCCTGGCCATTGATGGCTTCCCAAGCGATCTTGGAGAGTTCGTCGTGCTTTGGCGGTTTGGTAGAGTTGCTGGTTGGGGTATGGGGTTGGCCGTGCTTTGAGTGTTGTTGACTCTGGTGAAATTTGAGGCTTGGGTTGAGAGATGCTTGTATCTTGTGGTGGATGATAGTGTTTTGAGCATTAGTGCCGGTGCCGTTGGTGTTGTAGAAGGGGTGGTTGTTAACGGTGGAGTTGTGGTTGTTGCTGCTGTTCTCTCGGCTGGCCTGGGTGGAAGAGAAGGAGCGAACTGGGTTGGAGGGAGCGTTTGCGGAGACAGGCTGGGTGGAGCGGTGGGTGAGGGAAATGACCTGGTTCTTGGGGCTCGAGAGGGGTAAGAGTTGTTTGGAGACGGACTGGCGGGTCAGGGCTCCAAGGAGCGCACCCGACTTGAGGTTTAACATTGTCGCAAGCAGGTGATGCGATTAATTCACTTTAAGCTGTGTTAGGAAGAGGGACGATGCGCAGACAGGTCCCCATCGGCTGGTTCCTGGCTGACTGGTAGTTCCTTGGTTTTATTTTCGTCCCCTTGTTGGGTTGTTGTGTTGAAGGTATGTGTGTATCTGTGTGTTGTTTCGACGCAGATGAGAGGCTGAGTGGGGAGGAGAGATGATCCTGGCTTGCTGGTGCTGTGAGGAGGGTTTGATGGAGGGGTTGATGAAGATGTTTGTTTGTTGAAACAGAAGAAATAAAAAAAAAAAAAAAAAAAAAAAAGGACCACGTGATTTTTATGTCGTTGGATCTAAGACTCATAGTCGCGCTTGTAGATCTCGTCGAACTTTGCCCGGTACTTTTCTGGGCAAAATCCACGGACCATCTCCGCCTCCATAACGTGCATCCTCCTTCCAATAAGAACCAGCGAGTGCAGGGGCTCGCCAAAGTCCTCCTCCACCAGCTGCTCCATCGTCCCCGACACAAACAACTGCGTCGCCGTCCCCAGACGAACACATCCAATCGCAAGTGTCTCCGGTCCGTACGCGTTCTCACCTCGCTTCTCCTCGATCTCGAGCATCTGTTCCAGGCAGGTGTTGACCGTCATAAACCTTGGAGGTTCATAGATCAAACGACCGCGAGCCATGTTCTCCATCGACTGCTCCTTGACCTTGATGTCAAGCAGACAAAGCGTGTGCAGTCCAATGTCCCTGTTCTCCTTGACCCTAGGGTACCACGAGTCCGGTCTCCATGTGTCTGTGAACCAGACCATTGAGATTGTCTGGCCAAAGTTGTAGAGCTGCAAACCACAAGCGCCGATGGCGTTCATGATGGAGGCGTTGTGGATGGTCTCGACGGGGATATCGAGTTCCTTTGCGCGGATGACGAGGTCGGTGTGGGTGGTAGCGCCAAAGGGATCGCCAACGACGAGGAAGGCGACGTTGACATTTTGGGCGTTTGCGAGGATGGTGTCCGACTCAGACTCGACCATCTCGCGGTCTGCCACTGTGACCGGCTTGCCGTAGAATGCTTCCTAGAATTATAATGGATAAATAATTAGAAGTTCGAGTGAGTGAGGTGTTGTTGTTGTAGCAAAAGAGAGGTAGCGAGTGAGGAAGTGGGAAGAGGAAAGACATACGAGCTTCTCCTTGTCGACCATGAGGATGGAGGTGTATGCCTCGAGGTAGATGCGTTCGCATGACCTGACGGCATCGAGGCCCTTGACGGTGATGTCGCGTTCGTCCGAGAGTCCGAGTCCGATAACGTAGAGCATGTTTGCAGGGTGTCGTGAAAAGGTAGAAGTAAGTAACAGAGCCAACAAGAAAAAAAAAAGAAACAAAATAACGATCATAAGACTGTCACAGTAAGCAACTATGATCGCCTGTACTGTGCACCTTCATGTTGTCTGCTTTGTCTCTTCTCTTCCCTCCCTCTCCTCTCCCTCTGCTCTCCAAAGTCGCTTCTTCCCTCCCTCGACAAACACTCTTCATTACTCATCTAAACATCTCCTACCTGCACCCCACAGTCACCTTCAGCTGAAGTAAAAACAACAATAGCAACAACAATAAACCCACAGGAATCTACAATTCACATCGTCCTAGACGAAGGTACATCCAAATCAACTCTCCTTTGTTTAGTCTCTTGTTTTACCCTTTTTTTTGTGCCGGAGCACAACAGATACCACAAATGAAGCCATGTGTTGTTGCCACCGCATATTAACTCTGCGTCTGTTGCTCTTACCACTACTTGCCCATAGAAGTATTCGCCTCTAACGACAGACTCTCTCGTTCGCTGGACAAGAAATATTCATACGCGACTGAGGAGTGCTTTCCCCAACGCCAATAATCTATTTTTCTGCCAGAACACACTTCATTCTCACCCAACATGGCCTCAACATCTGTAAGTGAATATCAACCTCAACATGGACTTGTACCCGTGTTTAGAAAAAATAACGTCGTTCTCAAAGTATGATGTCTTCTCTTTCTCCGTCCGCTAGACATCTGCAGGAACCAGCTCAACGGGACAGGATGTCGAAAGTGTCACCCATATCCAAATGGCGGGACTGACCGTGCTGATGATTAAAAAAAAGGACCAGGTCATTTACAAACTACCCGACAACATGTCTGTCACCTCATTGACCCAAGATCAGCGGGAACGCCTGTTGGCAGAGATCAACCTCCTTCACCACCAACAAACAACGGCTCAGGCAATAGCAGTGACGAATGCACAGACACATCAGGTTCAACTGGCACAGGCAGCAGCACAGGCAGCAGCACAGGCGCAAGCAGCAGCACAAGGTGGCGTTCGGCCGATTGCTCCAGTCATTCCGCTCGCAGTCAGTCAGGTCCCTGTGACACCCATCGTAACATCTGCATCAAGGCTCTCGGCACTCAGCACACGTTTGAACCAAAACGCAGCATCAGCAGACAATCAACACAAGACAACGAGGCGGTACAACAAGACCGGGAAATACTCCAAAAAGAAACTGGTGCAGCAACAACAGAGTTCAGAGCGGCCTACAGACTTGACTGGAGTTCGGACAGGCGCAGGAGCCAGTGGACAAGTACATACACCGGATCAACTGACGCAGTCCCTCGTTTTCAACAATGCGCATCAACAAGCGTATCAGACAACTGCAGGAGCTGCAGTGGCAGGAGCTCCACAAGCAGCAACCGCTGCGTCGGTAGCAGGGACTCCTTCCTCAATGACCGCAGCATCTCCGTCTGCCACCAGAATCACTTCCGCGGCATTAGGCGGCTCAACAACATCCAAAGCCAAGCCGATACTGCTACAGCCATCATCGTTGGCGACATTATCTCCCACACAAACACCATCCGGCACTCCGCCACTCACGCCCGCTCAGAGGCAGGCCCAGCAATCGCCTTCCTTGGCGCTGGCAACACCGGATCAAATGAAGCAGCTTAGGTTACTCCAGGAGATTCACCTCATTCAGCAACAGGTCGAGGCTCAGCGACTTCGGGCAGATGCATTCCGGGAACATGAGCTTGCGGTTCGCCGCCTTTTGGCGAACCAACGACCGGTGGATGAAAAGACGGTGCAGTTAGCAAAGGAGAAATTGGCGGACGCGGAAGGATCGTTGGAGAGATTCTGGAACCTGCTACGAGAGAAGGAAGCTACTTTTCGCGAGCAATTTCCTGTGGCGAGCCAGCAGCTCTTGCTACTCCAACAGCAGCAGCAACTAGCACGGGCAGCTGCCAACACAGGAGCGACAGGACAATCTACTCCGCCTACACGCGCACCAGCACTCACGACGACGCCATACTTGGGCATTACACCATTGCCGGGAAGTCTAACAAAACGACTACCCGGTGCCCAGGCAGAGGATGAAAAGTTCAAGCAGGAGATGAGGCAATACCATGAAAGCGTCAGCAATGGGATGAGCCGGGAGGTGGAAACAGTACACAACAGTATGAAGAAACCGGACTGGCGAACTCCTTTTACGTCTCTCGAGGATGCCATCGAACGCCTTTTACCCTTTCACGTTTATCAATATCCAACTCGCGACATGGACTCCCACGCTAAAGCATTCACCGATCGATCCGAAGGTATTTTTAACTTGGTCAACGCCATTTTTTTTTTTAATTTCAACCTGTTGTCCTGTTATACGGACACAGATGGTTGTATTTAATATTGAGGATTGCTATTATTTTCTCGTATCGCTGGCATTGTTGAAATGGCTCACTCGTAACTTACCGATAGTATTGTGATTGCACATTGGACAATACGACTTTTTTAGAAGAGCTGAATGCCAGGTCGCTGGGGATTCATCGACGAAAGCATCAGTTGGTTGAAAAGTACAAGGAGCTGGTCAAGACGCATGCAGCAAAACGGACAAGGATAAACCCGTCGTTGGCGCTGGAGATTGTCGCTCTTCGATGTGATGTGGTAGATGAGAAGGAGAGCCACCGGAAGGTGTTTGAGGAAAATGAAGGTGTTCAGGCAGAGGGCAGGGTGTTGAGGGAGGAGCTGGAGCGGAGGCAGGCGAATCTTGTTCAACAGAGAAAGGCGGAAGCGGTGATGATTGAGCAGCAGCAGAGGTTGATGTTGGAGCGTCAGAGGGAGGAGGAGGAGGAGCTTGAGGCGGCAAAGCAAAGGTTGATGGCACAGCAGGGTCAGCGACTGGATGAGACGCAGAGGGAGCAGCAGGTGGGATTATTGCATTTGCAGCAGGCACCAAAGGTTTTGACGGAGGAAGAGAAGGCGCAGAAGAAGAAGGATGCAGACCGGAAGGAGTTTGAGAGACGGCACCAACTTGAACTTGAGCGGCAGATGGGGATTCATCAGGAGCAAGCAGAGCGAGTGTTATCGTCGTTGTCATCCATGTCGTCTCTGTCGGCTCTGTCGTCGTTGGTATCGTCGTCTTCTTTGGCTCAGGACAGTAGCGGTAATGGTCCGAAAGGTGTAGAGAATATTAATAATAATAAGGAGGAGGAGGAGGAGGCGAGGGGAGCCTGAATGAATGAATTTTACTTTCCCACGGGGGTTCAATTTTTGGTTGGGTGTTGGTTTTGGTTGGGTGGCTGGGTGGGTTGAGTTGTGAGAAAAATAGGAAAGGTGAAGAGGAGAGAAGAGAGAAGAAAGAACAGAAAAGGGGATGGCAGGGAAGAGTACCGGTTAGAGTGGAGTACTGTACTTTCTACAGCTACAGTGAAGTGACTGACTGACTGAGGCTCTGCCCCAGCATTTTGAAGCGGGGAGCAAAGAGGGTGGAAAGTAAGTAGCCAAACCAGGTCGCCATTGCATACCAGTTCTCTCATTCTTATCACACTGCTCTTTTCTCTCTCTTCCCTTCTCTTCTTTCTTTCTTTTGTCTTTATCTCCTCTCTTCCCCTCCTTTCTCTTCACATCATCCTTCCTCTACCCTCCTCTCTTCCCCCTCCCCTCTCCACTCCACTCCACCTACTTTTACTACACTCAATCTCTCTCTGATCATAACGAACACAAACATACTCCCTTACTTTCGAATTCACACATCCAGTCCATCTCGATGACCGCAGAAACCCTCAACCAGGGCATGGACCCCAATCCACTCCTCATGTGGCAGCCAACCGATCCCGAAACCACAGAGATGAGCAAGTTCAGGGTCCACGTCAACAACAAGCACTCTCTTGCCCTCCGTAAGCCAACACACTTGTCTACAACAAAATCATTTTTTATTGGCACGCACCCCTTTTTTCATGCCCTAACTTATCTATTATACATCATACATGCCTTTGTTGACTCACTTCTTGTAGAGAACTACAACGATCTCTGGCAGTGGTCCGTCGATGAGATCGAACTCTTCTGGTCCGCCGTCTGGGAGTACACCAACGTCGTTTCTTCCACCCCTCCCTCTGGACCCGTAAGTCAACCTCAACCTGCAGACGTCGATTGGATTCTGGATCGGGATGACTACATACCAACAGACCGGACCAGTTACACAATACAACCAACGTCAAAAAAAGCTGACATTTTTTTTCATTTGCCCCAACCAAAATGAATGGTAGGTGGTTGATGGATCCCTCCCCATGGATCATTTCCCTGCCTGGTTCCCCTCCGCGCGCCTCAACTTTGCCGAAAATGCCCTCTGGTGCAAGGACCCAACCAAGACCGCCATCATCGCCACCGGTGAGCTCCAGTCCAAACCCCAGCGCATCTCTTACGCCGATCTCTACAGCCGTGTCCGTCAGTGCTCCAAGGCCATGCGCAAGGCTGGTGTGGTCAAAGGAGACCGTGTTGCTGGCTACATCGCCAATTGCCCCGAGGCTATTGTCGCTATGCTGGCTGCCTCGTCCATCGGAGCCATCTGGAGCTCCACCTCTCCTGATTTTGGAACTATCGTAAGTGAAGGAAATACATGGAGTGTGTTGTGTGAAAACGATAGGGAGAAAAAGAGCTCCATGCATATATGTCCATTGTTCTCTATCTACCTTTGTCCAGCCAGGTTTTCAGCTTTGCTTCCGTCCTTCTTTCCTTTTGCTCCTCCTCCCATTCCTTCCGGCCATTATCGTCCCTCTCACCCTCAAGTTATTATTACCTTTCTTTTTTTTTTTTTTTTTTAAACCAAGCACGGAATCGTTTTAAAGTTGGGACAGTGGACTGACAAAAATCAGCCCATTCGACATCCCCTTGCGCAAAATTGCCGTGACATATGAAATATGACTAACCGCCCTGGCAACACCATCTTTTGTTTTGTACATAGGGCGTGCTCGACAGATTCTCCCAGATCAGGCCCAAGCTTCTCTTCTCCGTCAATGCCGTCGTCTACAACGGTCGTCCTCACGATCATATCCAAAAGCTCAACAAGGTCCTCGAGGGCCTCGACATGGTCGAGAAAGTCATCCTCATCCCATTCGTTCCTTCCCAACCCTGTGAAGCTGCCTCTGTCAACAAGGGCTCCACCTGGTCCGAATTCCTTGCTACCTCCGGAGAGCCACTCTCTACCACCGCCTCTTCTAACCTTCAACCACAGGACCAGGAACTCATCGACTTTGAACCTCTTCCCTTCAATCACCCCCTCTACATCCTCTTCTCCTCCGGAACAACAGGAAAGCCAAAGTGCATCGTTCACTCTGCAGGAGGCATGCTTCTCCAACACAAAAAGGAACACATCCTTCATGGAAACCTTTCCTCCTCCGACATCCTCTTCCAGTACACTACCACTGGATGGATGATGTGGAACTGGCTCGTCTCTGGCCTTACCCTCGGAGCCACCATCGTCCTCTTTGATGGATCCCCCTTCAAGCCTGGTCCAGCGGCCCTCTGGGACTTGGTCGAGCAGGAGAACGTCACCGCCTTTGGAACCAGCGCCAAATACATCCAGGCCATTCAGGATGCTGATTACAAGCCCAACCAGAACCATAACCTCAAGCACCTTCATTCCATCTACTCGACCGGTTCGCCCCTCAAGCCTGAGAGCTTTGACTTTGTCTACGAGCACATCAAGAAGGACCTTCTTCTGGGTTCCATCACCGGAGGCACGGATATCTGCTCCCTCTTTGCCTCCCATAATGCAGCTCTCCCTGTCTACCGCGGTGAGATTCAGTGCCGATCCCTTGGAATGAAGATTGAAGCCTGGACTGCTCCATTCAAGCCAGTCTTTGGCGACTCTGGCGACTTGGTCTGTTCCCGTCTCTTCCCTTGCATGCCAGTCTACTTTTGGGATGACCCCGAAAACAAAAAATACAAGTCGGCCTACTTTGACAACTACCAGGGAGTCTGGTACCACGGAGACTTTGTCTGGATCAACCCCAACACCGGCGGCATTGTCATGCTCGGACGAAGCGACGGTACCCTGAACCCCAACGGCGTTCGATTCGGTTCTGCCGAAATTTACAACATTGTTGACACCTACCCCGAGGTCGAGGACTCTCTCTGTGTGGGCCAGACGTTCAAGGATGGCACGGATGAGCGCGTTGTTCTTTTCCTTAAGGTCGCAGGAACCGACAAGGCGTCCTTGGCTGCCGCCGCAAAGACCAATGGCGATGAGACAGAAGCTGACAAACAACTGTTGGACGCCCCCTTGGATGCCACTTTGGTGAACCGGATCAAGACCCATATCCGCAACCAGCTCAGTCCACGCCACGTACCTGCCTTTATTCTCAAAACCAAGGATATCCCCTATACAATTAACGGCAAGAAGGTGGAGATCGCCGTGAAAAAGATTATTTCTGGTCAGACGATTGTTCCTTCGGGCACACTTGTCAACCCAGAGTCCTTGGATCTTTATTACAACATCCCTGAGCTCCAACAATAAGCATTTTTTTTTTTTTTACATAGAAACAAACAAGCATTACTCTAATAGAAATAAAACCCCCAACAACGACAATCCCCCCGCATTTTATTATATTATTGCAGCCAACTCTCATGGATCTCGTACAGAACCACCAGACGTGAGGATGCACCATGAAAGTCATACTCGACAATGCTTCGCAACCCAGAGTTGGGCTCAATCGCAATTCTGTCCATGTACGCGCCGTTGGCAACGTGGGAAGATGCATGACCAAACGCCTCTATACCTCCCTTGTCGTGCTCTGGGGTCCAAGGTTGTTGTTGTTGTTGTTGTTGGCTTTGACTCTGGCTCTCCTGGAAAAACGTGTAAATGCACTGTTGGTTATATTGTTGTGACAAATATGTGCTAATAGCATTGTCATTGTCGTGGCCGTCGTTGTTGCTATCATCGTCATCATCACTGTCGCCTTCATCGTCGGACCAGAAGAGGGCGTCTTCTTCCATTTGGTCTTCCACAATGGTTGCAAGAGAAGGCGAGCGCGAGTGCCGGAAGGTGAGATATCTCGGTTGGTCGCGCATCAATGCCTGCATGACCTTGGGGTGACTCACCCTCTGATGTTTCCAGTCCATGCCTAATTTTTTTTGTTGTTGTGTTTGTTTGTTTTGTTTTGTCGAGAAGATAAAATGTAGCCCATTATTAATGCAAAGCAAAAAAAGACGCCATGTCAATGTCCAAGAACAAAAAAAAAAAAGTCGGCATATATTATCATGCATACATACCTGAAAGCATTGACTCAACAGAGCCAGCAGATTCGAGAGGGCCAATAGGACGTTGTACTCCAGCCTCATCAAAGAAACTGGACTCGTCATAGACTGAATCCACGCGGGGACGAACCCGGGGAATAAACCAGTCCGCCTCATCCGTCTTGAAGTCGATCATATGCGAGGCCTTGGATGGTGATAGAGTGACAGAAGATGTTGGAGTGGGTAATTGAATGGCTGCAATGTCGTAGAAGTCATTGTCGCTCCGTGTACTGCCCAAGGTGCGTCCTTCCGAGATGGATGCACATTGGCCGACAAAGTCGACCATATTCCCTATTCTCAGTAGGAGCTCCTGGCTCACTTCACCGTGATACTGCAAAATAAACGGATCCTAATTAAATGTTCCACAAGACAATAAGCAAAAAAAAAGGACGGCAATGTAAGCATGAAAGATACAATGTTACATGCTAAAGTACTTCGTCCACAAGCGCCGAGACCTACCTGCAGCAGATCCTGGACAGTTGGTCGTGCTTCAGGGTCCGGAGTCAGACACTTTCGAATGAACATCCACATCCCCTCTGACATTCCCATGCCTACAGCCTCCGAGGCCTCACTTGGAAGACACCCACCACTCGGCTTGCTTGTGGTTGGCGACATCTCATCGGCTGTCGAGGAAATATTGCCAAGGGCTGTTGTATACCTCCAATCGCCATATGAAACCAAAATAGGTGTCTCTGGTCGAGGAGGGCGTCCTTGCGACATCTCAATGCATGCTACACCTAGGGCCCAGACATCGACCTCTGTGCTGGCACCAGGCATTGCCTGCGACAGTCTATAGTGTTGCACATCATTCATTTCGTCTCCACCAAGCAAAAGCGTCGAATCTGGGTGGGTGTCTGAGGGATGGGTAGGCGTGGGCAAAGTCGAAAGATCTGACTCTGGCGCCATCCAACTGGCTGGGAACTCGGACATTGTCAATGATCGGCGCCGACGCTTCCGTTCTCCAGCGCCTTCCTTGTGTGACATTATAGCACCGGATCCTCCCAATTTGACATGTCCATCCAACGTCAACAAGATATTACTATGAGTTTAGAAGTATGGTAGAAACACGAGATTGTAAGGAAACGTGGGTGGTATTGTTTTCCATTGCGATTTACTCCAGATATGATTTGATGCGTCATTGTATACCTTGCTTTAATGTCACCATGGACATGGTCTTTGCTATGAAGGTACGCAAGCCCAAGGAGAATCTGGCTCATGATCCATCCAATCTCTGATTCCGTCATCGGTCCGTCCGACAGACGAATGAGGTCTGCCACCGAACCTCCGGCACAAAGCTCGAGAGCTATCTGCATGCGGATAGTGTTTCAAAGTAATGCATTAGTGGGGACGAGTTGTGAGTATCCACTACATTAATCTGGTAAAAACGACTGCACAAAACCAAAGGCCGAGTAATAATAGAGGTTGTTTTTTTTTTGCTCACCCATAGTTCAGCATCGTTTCGATGGAATCCTAGACTCTTGACCACTTGATTCAATCCACTTGGATTCTCCTTGGTAAATGATGACCGTCGTTGTTGGACATGCGGATTTTCATTGGGTCCATAATTGACACTTAGGCGGGCGTTGTCGTTGTTGTCGTCGCTGCCGTTGCCGTTGCTGTTGCCGTTGCTGCCGTGGTCGTTGTTATTGAAAGCGATGGTATATTCTTCGTGGATGGGGTTGGCGAACGACGTATTGCGATCTCCATAGTGATCCACAATCCAGCTGACGAAATAGTCGATTTCTTCTTGTGGTACCTCGTTGTCCTTGCTGAGTGAAAAAGAGTCCGTTAAGGCTGTAAGGGGTATTTTCTTAATGGCCACGGCGCGGAAGTTGTCCCAACGATCTATCGCCTTGAATACCGACGAGCCGCTTGAGCTACCATCCAAAGAGGAAGCAGGTAAGCAAAACTTGAAAAAAAAGAGACAAAGTTTTGCAATGCCATCAGGGAAAGGACAGGTCATACTACCTGCCCCTGCCTTTGCAACAGATATGTAACGGAAAGCAGTGGGATACGAACAGTTGGTTGGTCACAGGGCATGCACACGCAAAAGTGAGAAGAGGATGCACGAGTAGGCCGTGTTTCTATCTTTTCTGAGTTGACATATGCATATCATGCATGCGTGTTGGAAGTTGACAAACAAAAGAGAAAAACAACCCCCGCGTGTGGGATGAAAAAGGACGCTGGTATGAAAAAGGAGCTGTAGGAGTCATGAAAAGGCTTACCCATATCCAAGCCGTTCAAGCACCTCAAATCGACCAAAAGGACTATCGATCGCGCATGTTTGTTTGAAGGACGTAGGTGTGGTCGTCGGAGAGGAATTTGTGGTTGAGTCCGAACAATGGTGGCTAAGAATTGCAATGTTGTCGATAAGCGGCCTGGTTCTTTCCTTTGCGCCTCTGTTCTCAAACACGCCGCCGTTTTCCTGTAGGTGTTGCTTGTCGTGATCAAACTCGTCTTCCTGCTCCTCCTCCTTGCAGCGCATGCTCGTCATAATAGTCATGGAGCATTCAAGGTGTTCTCCTTTTGTCTTGCTACTGTTGATGGTTTTATTATCCTCTTTCTGCTTCGCCTTTGGGTGGCCCTGGTTCTGTCGACGAAGAGGTAGGTCCAGGTGACGCGGTCGCAATAATATCCGACGGGAGGAGACGTATGATGGTAGTTGAAGTCGCCACCGTCGGACCTGCCGCTGTTGCCGTCTGGGTGGGTATTGTTGTCTCTGAGAGCACCCGGAGTAAAGGCGATGTTGTGGTTGTAGCAGTTGTTCCTGGATGTCTTCCTCTGGTGTCTGTGGGGCCATTTCTCGTTCCTGATTGAGTGATACCGATATGAGTGGACAGGAAAGGATGACGAGGTTGCAAAGGTGTAGAAGGTTAGACCGGGTCAAGGATGGAGGATGTGAGGGAGCGAGGAAAACGCACCGAGCATATAAAAATAAATTGAGCGGGGAGTGGGAGAGAAAAGAATGCAGAAGCTAACGATTGTGCGCGGCCCTTTTACTCGTTTGAATAACGTTTTTGTGAGGGAGTGGGAGAGAGGCAAGTAGGAGTCTTGAAGTCTTGAGGAGCGGTCGTGCTTAGAGGATGGCAGTGGGGTAAATGGGGAGAGTACATAGAGTGAAGGGAGGGAGACGGGAAGAGGGAGAAGGCAAGGAACAGCGAAAGGAAGGAAGGAAGGAAAGAAAGAAGGAAGGGAGAAAGGGATGAAGGACGAGGGGGAGGGAAAGAACTTCGAAGGAAGGGAGTTGGGGGTTGAGGGATGCGAAGGAAGGAGTGGGTGGGAAGATGAGGAAGAAACAGAGGGAACAGGGTTTAATTCGACAGGGGGCATTTGCGCATGTGGGAGTGTAGGGGTATGTGCGAGGCAAACTAAACAAGCACACACACACAAAAGTGATCCCTTTCTTCTCCTTTTGTCCCGTCTCGTCGCCTCCATGTGGCAAAGGCAAGGGTGTAGGGGTCTCATTTGTTTTAAACCCGGGCCCCAGTGTCCCCCCCTACCCCCTGCCCCCAAACACATGCTTCTGTTACTCAGTTTAATTCAGGGACGCGAGATGGATTGTCTACAACTTCGACGGGTGCTGAGCGAAATGGGGCTCGTCTTGGAACGGCAGGAGGGGTCGTCGACAACGGTTGTGATGATGTCACCTTATCTTCAGTTTCTGCAGGTGCAGGTGCAGGTGCGTGGGTTGTTGACGTTGCAGTCTTGTCCACATCTTCCTCCAGCCTTTCCTGATGGTAGGCAATATTCCGAGAGGAAAACCAGTAACCATGGTCGGGTCGATGCATTTTTACGAAATATGATTCGAGAGATGGGTAGTTTCGATGCCAAGATATCGTTCGCAGAAGGTTGGATGTGCGTGGTGTGCTGTTGGTATTGGTGATGCCACTTAGAGCCGTGTGACGAAAATCCTCGTCCACCTTTGACACACGTAGATCGGACTCTTGGGTGTATTGACTGAACCGAGGCAATGGTGGAAGTGTCGACGTGCGGTGCTGGTGGTAGTGAAGTTGTTGTTGCTGCCGCTGGTGTTGCTGATGAAAGAGTTCGGACTCCAGTCGCTTCATCGATACGGTAAGTGAGCTGGGGGATCCATTGCGGTGACGAGCGACGACCTTGGTCGAATTCCTAGAAGGCAGGTCTCGAGTTTTCTTTTTCTTATTCCAAGTTGCCCCAACTTTCAATCCAAAGACGACCCAACAAGGAATAGGAATGCTTCGTTCATTTTTTGTACACTTGCACAAGAGTTCGTCATCATCCTCTCTTCTTTACCGGCGACATTTTTTCCAAATCACCAGCTCACAACGCATAGGAACAATGATCCGATTGTCAATTCGATGGAAACGATCGCTCACCTTGGCTGTGCTGGCAGCGTGTTTAATATTCGCCCACACAACCGACGCTTTAGGTCAACAGCAACAACAGCAACAACAACAGCAACCACCACCACCACCACCACCACCACCACCACAACAACAAGAACAAGGACAGCAACTGCAGCAGCGGAGACACGAGGTCAACACCACAATAAACGATGTTGAAAAGCGCAAGGAACACAATGACATACCTACTTTTCAAGGGCAAAGTCAGCAACTTTCCCAGATGTGTGTTACCACTTTATCTCGGATCGGGAGAGACACGACATTAAATAAACGACAATCCGAAGGACAGAGATGGCTTTGCAATGATCGCCCCCAAAGCCAGAGCCCCCACTATCGCCACCCAAGTCTCCGCCAACACCAATACCAACGAATCACTGCAGCGAGACAACAGAGGCAGCAACAAACACTTGCACATCAGCCTCCCAATCATTTGAACCGGCACTCAAAGAGGCACTCAACAAAGCCAGAGCACCACAAATGCGCCTCCAACCACGACAAACATAGCACTCATGACAGGCACAGCATTCACAAAGAGCAGAGTAGAAGTGCAAAAGGGCACCGGGAGAGCATTAAAAAAACCGGACGGCGATCGTTCCTAAAGTCGACATTCCACAAAAAAGGCAGGATATATATGTTGGCTCATCAGGATTGGTATACGCAGTACCGTCGGCAGCGTGGACCCGGAGGTGTGATGCGCAAATTAACACTAGATAATACACGGCGGCGGAAAGCAATAATCACCCTCCTGCCGTCGCCTTATTCTGGCGTAAACAGTCGATTGAATAGCGGCAGTGGCGGTGGCAACAACAATAGGCATGATCTCAGCAATGGATATGGTTCAATCGAGGATGGTTCCGGCAGCAATGCGAAGGATATCGGTCCAAAAGGCGACAGAGGTGGAAAAGGAAAAGAGGCGGACGACGATGGCGGCGACATTGATCTGGCAGGAGCAAAGGAGGATTTTCCGGATGGAGCGATGGGGACGATTCAGGCGGTGAAGCGACCAACCTTCGTGGGTATAGCAGAGCCAGTATCGCGTCAACACCGTGGCCTCATTCCCAAAGCGAGGTCGCCGGGCTCTCGGCTGTCGCCTTGGCTGCTGCAGCTGGCCATATCAACAATTGTCACGCCTCTTTTTCTCACATATATGTAGACTCCTATACCCTCAATTATTACCAATCCAGTTGTCTAGTTGTTAAAGTAAAAGTCGCGCCTGTCATGGGTGTGGATCCATCACGAGGGTGTTGTTGTTTGCTGGTCTTGGATTGATAGGGTGAGACTCCAGTCCGAAGTGGAATCCAAGAAAAAATATTCGCCGTCAAAAATGGTGACAAGGACAAAGCCGTGCTAGCCAACGAAGTGTTGGAGGTGTCACAGGTGGGTCTCTTGGCACAGGGCCTTTTGGCCGTTTTACGCCTACTTGCTTGTCTCCTTGTCTCCTTGTCTCCTTTTCTATGTTTTATTCTTTCCTTGTTTCCTATTTTCCTTCTTCGTTTTCAACCCCTTGCATATTTTCCTTCACGACCAACCCTTGCTTTCCACTTTTCACTCTCATCGCACTCAACAAACCGCTGCACAGACAAACGCAACAACGGACCGACGCCCAATAGCATCGTCGTTGCAAGAACAGAGCCAGAGAGATGTCTCAACAGTACCCATTTACGGTTGATGATGAAAAGCTCGATTACATAGAGTCTCAACCTCCAAGCGATGTAGAAGACTTTGCTGAAGAACAGTGCTCGGATGACAACCACAGCGATCTTGCCTATTACAACAACGACGGCAGCAACCATGGCAGCACCAACTCACCCACGAATAAAATCAACGACGAAAAACGCCACAGTAACAGCGCTAACAGCGGATATCATCACAACAGAGATTCGTCCATTGCAGAGTCATATCATGGTCGCTTCCCATTCTATCACCGCAACAAAACGAACTTTCATCACCTGTTGGCTTTTTTGGTCTGTACTGGTCTCTTCATCCCTGCTGTTGTGATCCACAAGGAAGGAAACGTGCTCGTCCTTTCCCTTCTCTATGGCGCTATTGTCTGGTGGCTGTTTGTGCAACACCTACCCAAAGGAACTATTGCAAGACCCGTTGGAGCTGTTTGGAACGCCGGAGCCGATTTGCTGAGCAGGTTGCCTGTCTGGCTAGTACGAGCTGTTGGATATGGCGTTCCTCCCTTGGCCTTGATACTTACAGCCGCCTTGCGTCCTGACGACTCTCACGGAACTCGAGTCCAGCGCTTGATTAGTTGTCTTGGACTCGTCGTCCTTCTCAGCATCACAATCTTGTGCTCCAAGGTATTTTTTAGTCAATGCGTTTTGAGTTTGCATTAACAAGCAACTAATTTTGTTGTTGCACAAAAAAAAGGTAACTAACACCAATAACACAATGCGTTCGCTAGAATCGCAGTGCCATCTCGTGGAAAATTGTGTGGACGGGGATCTTTATGCAGTACATCCTTGGTCTGCTCATTATCCGCTGGTCAGTCGGCTACAATGTCTTCCAGTTTATTTCCCAACAAGCAGAAAACTTTCTCGGATATGCCGGCCAGGGCCGTGAGTTCATCTTTGGCCCCAACTATCTCACCTTTGAAGGCGCACAAATCCCATTTGAGAGCTCCTTTGCGGTCTCGGTCCTGCCAGCCATCATCCTCTTTGCCGCCGTGATCCAGTGCCTTTATTTCTACAACATTGTCCAGTCTGTCGTTGCCGGTATGGCCAAGCTCGTTATTCACATTATCGATATCTCGGGAGTTGAGTGTGTTGCCGCCTGTGCCGCTCCCTTTGTCGGAATGTCGGAGGCTGCGATGCTGGTCGGCCCGTTTGTCTCTCAAATGACTGAGGCCGAGTTGCACCAGGTCTTGACTTCTGGTTTCGCAACCATCTCAGGATCGGTGTTCCTGGGCCTTTTGACGTTTGGTGCCGATGCCACGGCATTATTGACGTGCTGTATGATGTCTGTTCCCTGTGCCATTGTGATATCCAAGATCCGTTTCCCTGAGGAGGAGGTTCCTTTGACAAAGGGAACCGCCGTCGCCCCAGCCTACAAGGATCGCGAGTCGAACGCCATTCACGCCATCTCGAACGGCGCCATCTTTGGTATCAAGTTGTGTATTGTTATTATTGCTGTATTGTTGGCAGTCATCTCGTTGCTGGGTCTTGCCAATGGTTTCCTGGGCTGGATCTTTCACTTTTACGGGGTGGAGATTTCGATCCAAAAGATTGCATCCTGGGTGCTCTATCCCCTGGCTTGGTTGATCGGGATCCCCTCTCAAGATCTGATGGTGTCTGCCGAAGCCATGGGCATCAAGTTCATCCTGAACGAATTTGCAGCTTTTGCATCGTTTACCCAGATTCAGGACACGGTGCACCCTCGAACAAAGCTGCTGACAACCTATGCGATGGCGTCCTTTGCCAACATCGGAAGTATCGGAACCCAGATCTCGTTATTCTTGACCCTGGCCCCAGACCGTGCCGATGCCATCGCCAGATTGTCGTTCTCTGCCTGTATGTCCGGTGCAGTGTCAACTCTTATCTCTGCCTGCATTGCCGGCATTGTCTCTTGAACACTTTATTCAATTTTTTTTTTTTTAATTCCTTTTTGTAAATATCCATTCTGAGTGATAATGAAAGCGATCTTTATTAATTACTTACAGATAAAACTGCACGATAACCGCCAGCCAAAAGATGTTGACAAACGACGCTGCGACAAGATTCCGAAAGAACTTGGGATCGCTTCCACCAAACCCATACCCTAAAAAAAAAAAAAAAAAAAAAAGGAGGATTGTTCGTTTTGTCAGTTTGAACTATTGTTGAAGTAGGAAAATAGCGGGGCCAAAAAAATAAATCATTGGCAGACAGAAAATACTTACAAAATGTGGCAAACCACGCTCCAAATACTCCAGAGAGGATCGTGAAGCGAAGGATATCGCCATCGGCGATTCTAAGAAAGGCAACGGAGCTTTGGCGGCGAGAGCGGATCATGACGAGAAAGGAAGTGAAGAAGTTTATGAGTGCGATCGAGGCAAAGACAACTACGCTCCAGAATCCAACTGCGCCTTAAAAAATGGGAAAAGGGTATAGGTGAGTGACTATAACACGAAGTTCAAATTGTTGCAAAATCTGGAGAAAAAAAATGACGCTAGGTAGAGATGGATGTATACCTTTGGGGTCGCTAGTTTTGGCGACAAAGAGACGCCAAATGAAGATGGCAAGGAGGGCAAGGAGGACGAAAAACATATCCTGGAAGGGTTTGGCGTCCTTGTTTTCCTTGAGGAGTTGCTCTGACTTTTGGAAGACCTCGGAGTTGAGAAAGGAGCTCCCGGGGCCTCGCTTCTGTTTGGGACCTTTGGGGGCCTTTTGTGGTTTCGGGGCCTTGTTCACCATTTTATCCTTATATTTGTAGTGTTGTGTAGTGTTGTGATTGTCTGTTGGTTGTTGGCAAGAAGCGAGACAGAAGAACGGAAGAAAGACAGAAACGGAGATGATGTTGCTTCTTTTCTTTTTGATGATGAAGCAGAAAGAAATGGCAAACCCCGAGAGAAGACGAATAAAAAAAATCCTCCACGTGACACGAAATGAATCGGCAGGCAACCAACCATCCATCGACACCTCACTCACTCTCGCACAGGCAAGAATAAAGAAATATTGAGCACTAGACAAACCCTCTTCGCTATCTTTTGTTTATTTGGTTATTGTCTTTTTTTCATTGAACACTGCTTTGGGCTTCAGGGTAGAAAACACGACATGAAGTTAAGAGAAAACTATGTATGCGTGTGCGTGTGGGGTCTCTTAGATTTGCTGACGGTCCTTCTCGCTCTCAAGACGCGAATACAACAAATAAATGGCCATCTGGTTCGACTCTGGAGTGCCAGTGATAGTGACCAAACGCTCGTCACCGGACTTGTTGGGTTGGTCGGCAATGGAGATCTGTGATCCGGACGTCTTGCGGATTTCGTTAATCTTGGATCCACCCTTGCCGATAACGCTTCCAACCATGTCGTTGGGAATAAAGATCTGCTGAGCTTGTGTGTGCGCGGCAGAACCTGAAGAGGCACCATATTCCTGAGTGTAAGGGGCCATCGGACCTGCGTGAAGGTGTGATCCAAAACCTCCTGAGCCACTGCCACTGTAGAAAGATGAGTGAGCACTGCCGCCACCGTGACGAGATGATCCGTGTCCTCCCATGGCTCCACCAGCTCCGTAGGCGTCGCGGGAGACAGGTTTGTAATGTACAGTGTTTGCGCTGCCGTAGCGATCCCGCTCCGTCTTCTCCTCCAGAATCAGTCCAATATGGTAAACAGCAATGTGGATCGCATCAGGGACTCCGATGACGGAAACAACGCGTTCGGTGGAGTTGGGTAGTAATTCCTCCAAGGCCGTGATTCGAGCTCCCGAAGCCTCCTGCACCTCCTTGATCTTGGATCCGCCCTTGCCAATCACCGATCCCATCTTGTGGTTACCGGCCAAGATGCGTATGGTTGTTGACTCTGACTCTGGTTCTACATCTGCTCCAGCTTGCTCGGCAATTGTTGTTTTAGCAATCAAAGAAAACGCCTAATAAGTTCGATTAAAGACGAGATGACGTTATTACTATCGATATCCAGAAAATGATTGGAGACAAAGTATCAATGTAAAAACAGTAGAGGGAAAGTGAAGTAAAAGGACGAACCTTGGCAACGGCATCCAATGGTCCGACAACAGTCAAGACACGCTCAGTAGCTCCGGGGATCATTTCCGAAATATTAACCCTAGCCCCAGAGAGTTCGCGAATCTCTTTGACATTCTTGCCTGACTTGCCAATAATCACGCCAGCTTCCTTGGTCGACACAAGGGCGCGGATCGTCGTTGCAGGAGGCGTTTCATCATCATCAATTTCGCTCATCTTGACTATGAAAATATGTTGAAATTAGTGTGAGAAGGCAAGGTGAGTTCAGCCATGGATATTAGAGCAAAGAATAGGCAAGTACAAAGGCAAAGAACACAGTGGCACTTACTATCGTCGGATGTCTCGCGACGATGCAGCGGCCTCTGGGGGGCATCAGGATTGGCGTCATTCATGGCGTGGCGTTTGTGCCGGCGACTTTCCAAGTCCAAGTCTTGAGCGTCTGGTTCATCGGAGGACAGAGCGCGCTTTCTCTCTTGTTGAGTGGTACTTTCTGACATTCTTGGTAGGGGCTTCGTTCACGACGAGGTTGGGGTGAGAGGGATAGCTGAAATGGGATGGTTGTGTTTACCAAAGGAGACAAAGGTGTAGTGGGCGATCAATGAAACTGATTGTGGCTGGGAGAGTCAGTAGAGTGCTGGCTGAATCACGGTGGTCAGGGATATTAAGGGGTGAAGAGATAGGCTAAAGAAAACCAAGGGTTTATGATAAAAGGCGAGGAGCCAGTGAGTGAAAGAGCAACGCTCGCCAAGAGCGACAAAAGAAATGGCGTCCTCTTGAAGGTGAATATGGGATAGATCAGGCTGAAGGATGAGTGGGAGGGAGTGGCGATGGAATGAAACAAAGATAGATAGGACAAGGTGGCATTGGGGGGTGAGGATCAAAAACATTGATCGGTCGTGTCACAACGCGTGTTATGATAACATTAGTAAGGGAGAGTGGCGAAGAGAATCATGAAGGGGCAATAGAAGGTAGCTCAGAGAGAGAAAGAGAGAGAGAGAGGCAGGTGGAGCGTTGGGAGCGTTCTTGTACGTCGTGCTCCACTGCGTCCGGTGTCGCTACTGTTGCTGGCGTATTGTGGCGGGGTGGCGAAAGAAAGGGTGCCTATGTCAAGAGCTGGCATCTCATCCATGCGTTTGGTCGGTCGCGACATTCCTGCCTACTGACGGACAAGATCCTTGCTTTGGCTGCAGACCAAAAGATAAAGAGCAAGAGCGTGAAGGATGCTGTGGATAGTCGATCGGACGACGATCGATGTAGATGAAGCCGCGTTCAAGAAAAAGAGGGGGGATCATCGTTTTGGGTGTGTGTCTCTCACTTTCTCATCTCTCTTTTTGCATCTCGGTAAGTATTCGCTCGCTGGTGACATTTCTATCTCTCCTGTTTTCTGCTGACGCCGGATGTTGCGTTTGGCGGATGAGAGACAAAAGGAGACGGTACGTGGATGCATACAATGGCGTTATTTACCGTGGAGGTTGTCTTGTGTGGTAGGTGGAGCGCCGTGAAGAAGGAAGGAGGTGTGTGTGTACGTTGCAATCCCTTCGGTCAAGAAGACAACACTGGCATAATGGTGACTGCATTTTCGTCTACACTTCTTTTTTGCAAATGGCACACATTTCATAGGAAGCAAGATCCGTAAATCCAAGCATGAATAACACCCCTTTATTTCAATTTAGAGCCAAGGGCACAAACATAAAGCAATCTTCATTTCTTTTCTTTTGCCATCCCATTAACGGACTGGTTCCCATTCTAAGAAGGAAGGGCTACCACCCTGTCGCCTTGTACCATTACAGCATCAGGACAGTTGCCACAGGGAGACGTTGGTGGCTGCTTGTTTAACATGCTACAGAGTGATTTGTGACGCCTACTCGAACCACACCCCGGATATGGCCCATTGGGTGCTCGAGAAGAACATTATGCCATTTGGAACAGTGTTGGATATGACGATCTATATCGATGGATTCCAGACAGTGAAGAGCTCGGTGAAGTGGCGCTTTTGACTCGCTGGTCGGTGTTTAAACGAGATTCAAAGGTGTCGAGTACTGTCGATGTGCGCTCAAGAGCCCTCTGTCGTGTTTGGTCGCGAACCGCCGATGTATCGACATCCGTGCCGGTCTTAGGAGAGTCGACTACTATTTGTGCGCTTTGTACGCTACATGGAGTCAAGAGGCTGGACGGTCAAGTTTGTCAAGACTGAGGCTGATGTAGCAGCCATTGCCAAGGACGCTACGCCTCAAGACATGATTATCTCTGCAGACTCCGACATGCTGGGCTACACGACGATCCACGCCCTTTGGCGACCAGTGACTGGTGGTCTCATTCTTGAGTATTCCCTGGCTGTATTTCTTCCAACTCTTGGACTCAGTCGCGCGCAGTTGACAGCTCAGACGGTCGTAAGTTGTAACGACTACAATCGTAATATTGACTCACTCGGCCCGGCAACCAACAGGTCAGTTGTGAAGTTGATTGAGAATGCAGATCATAACCGAAGGGATCATTTTTGGATAGTCTTGGTATCTTTTTCATGTCAAGTTCTGACTGTGCTTATTATCTTGCGTGACGCAATAGATTCACGGGTCATTGTTGGACGGTACTTGTCGGACAAACGAGTCATTTCCAAAAACACAACCAGTGAAGACTTTGCCCTTTCGACCAGAGTCTTTGTAGACATGACGCAGACTAAGACTGGATTCCAAGCAGATTCGCAAGTCGTGTACCAGCAATTACAAATCTGCTTTAAGGAGCTCTGCAGCCGACATGAACGCGGCAAGCGGATCAGGAAGGGGGGGCGGCTGGCTGGGTAAATATTTCTTGTTGGGTTTCTGTGGATGAAGTCGTGTATAGGAGTTGTATCTAACCATGTCTATTATTATTTATTCATGAAATTAATAGGATGCCCTTGTCCGGTTCTGAGTGCCAAAGTTATTTAACCGATATCGCACTGTGGAATATCTTGTACACATCCCCGAGGACACTGGCGCTCCTACTCAGCAAATACCCCAAGCCAGCTACGATGGCACAAGTTCGATCTCCTCGGAATCCAAAGACCCAAGCCACCTTGCGTTGGCGTGTACAAAAATCCCCGTCACCGTCCCCGGCTTTCGTTCAAGCGACGAAATGGCAACATGGATCATACCCCCTCCCACTCAAGGCGAAGCAGTTGCAGTGGAAGCCCCTAAAAGAGCCTGGCCAGCCCACCAACTACCCCTCCGCTAGCATAGCAGAAGCCAGAAGGACACCGCGGCTGAGAGGAGGATGCCCCATTGCCCGACGATCCAGCTAGATCGTATGCGGAGACGGATAAGCGCAGCCTGTCGAGGTCGCTTGGATGGCACCATCCCACGTCGTCGTTGGAGATAGGAATATTGGAGACCAACGTCAAAAGAGTTCTATCGGAGGATCCCTGCATGCAGGAGGTGGTGGTCAAATGTATTAGAGAAGCTTCCGAGATTGCCGTTGACGTCAAGGGGATAGCCCAGCGACTCATTACGAGGTTCTTGGAGGCTGTAATTTCGAATGAGATCAGCGGAGGAATTGAGGCGGCGAGATCTGGCGAGGAACGGAATGGAGATGACGGAGGCTGATCGTCAGAAAGCTCGGCACGACGCCATTACGGAGGATGAGCGTGAGAGTCTGGACTTTCTTTGCGACAGGATTGCGCCCAAGGCAGATGAAATCGATCAAGATGATGGTAGTTGCCATGGCGGTTCGGGCGATGCAGTGCCTCTGGATGCAGAAGACAAAGGGGACAGACATGTTTGATTTTTTCAGTGACTTCTCACCTCCCTTTACCCCAAGAACCTCCCCGACAGGACCTCCAAGTCAGGAAAGTCATTTGAAACTTTCACCCACGTCTTGGTTCGTCTCGAGCTATTTGACATCATCCGGGATCGAAGCGAGGTCAATGAAAGGCATGTCTTTACACCGAGAACAATCTGGCGCGATCGGTCGCTGGTCAGCTTACAGCCGAGCTTTCAAGGAACGAATTGATGCCAAACAAGCGATGCATTGCACTCTCACCTCTTCACAACAGACGTTTGTCGCATTCTCGGAGAAGGAGCTATCCTTTCTCTTTTGGAAAGGGGTGTCTTGGGACAACGACTGGTTGACTTGGCTTAGGCGGATGAAGACAGCACCACGGTCACCTCTACGCCGGACCTCGAGGGATGGATGCGATTAAAGGAACCTGGATTTATCATCAAACACTTTGTCGGCGATATCGACTCTATGAGTATCTCTAACCTGAAGAGACGCAGGGCAGGCCATCGAGGTGCGATCAAGCTGTACTCATTGGACTGGATCAGATGTCATCTTCAATAAGTCGAGGATACCAAACCCAAGGATTACCGGAGCAGTGGCTATATTCCAACAGGATCTGTTGTGACCGATGTTTTCCGAGTCAAAGTGCAAACCTTCGAGTTGAAAGAGAGACAGGATGCGAGGTCCAAAAGGGTTCCGGAGGAGGACATGCCTTTCAGACTGACAACAACCGTCGCTGGAGTGGACTATTATCTTCAAGAAATCCGTCACGTCATCAGGACCAAAGAGGACGTCCACAGACTATGGCCAGGCAAGGATATGGAGAGGATCAAGATCTTGACGATTGATGTTGGACAAGCATGTGTTGTGGGGGCTTTCGCCCATCTTCCTCAAGACCCAGGCGGATCTAACAAGAACAACAGAAGGCTAAGGCAGGATCAGGCACGGAGGACACTATCCTGATAGATCAACTTCCAGCTTCGTCCTTGGTTCTCACTTCGACGCCAACCTTCTTGGTGCCAGCCCCTCGACGCCACCCTCCTCGACGCCAGCTCCCTCGACGCCGGTGTACTACAGTCTAGCTGTGAAGGCTAAGGCTGTATACCAGCCTCAGTTTCGGTTTAGAAGGTGACTTGAGGCAGAGAAGATGTCGAGACCGAAGGCGAGGAGTCGGCTTCGGATATTGAGACTCGCCTTCGGCCTCTACGAGGAGAGTCTGCAAGCGTCATCGACTACATCGACGAATTGAAGCGCGTTGAGGCTCGACTGAAGACCTTCTATACTAGCGATGGGGGTCAGTACCGTCGTCATAAATGGAACATGGAGAGAGCTCGCCAAGAGGAATTCAAGGCTAAAGCTGAGAGACTTTTGAACTTAGTCGGAGGAAGCTAAGGTCGGAGAGTTGATGATGGTCCTGACGCAGACCCGATCCTGATAGGAATTGGTTTGTGCAAGTTTTCTTGCAAGATTGGTCTTTCTTCCTCGGGCTCATGTTCTTAACCTACTTTGTTCGAACGGTAAGCCTCATGCAATTAGAATATTAAACGATGTTGTTGATGCAATCCAACAAACATAAAGCGAACACAGCTATTGATATACAATTTGTAGGCTCGCGCTTTGGGCTATGTGGTGGTCGGGCTAAACGAATATCATAGTCGAAAAAGTGCCCGAGGTGCGAGCAGATCGTAGCCCAGGTGAATTTCCGGAGCCTTCACTGCTTTTACCTTGCAAGCGGAACTATCTCAAGGAAACGGTGACGGTTGAACACATGTCAAGGATCGTCTTGGAGCGTCTGCAGAACCAGGAGAGACCAACATATCTTCAACCCATCAACGAAGACGGCTCACACCCCTGGAAGACAGTATCTGCCGCTTCTCTCAACACGACGGCCAGTACCTGCTCCGCCTCTGCGATGGGCAGTATCAGCTCCACGCGTTTAACCTTGAAGCGAGCCTAGTAGCTTGTTAGACAAGACCCTACTGCTGGATAGGGGATATTGGGTTCGCGATCATATCGCCTCGGTGACGCAATTTGTGCGCCCAATATTGTCCATCCCCCCCCTTTTTTTCTCTCCGATCCAACAGCCCAAAAAAAAAAATTCGCCTAACAGATAGGACAATTGTTTTTCTCTATTCAATATCAATCGGAGCGGATGAAGAAAACCAAAAAAATGAAGGGCAGAGGGATGGGAAGGAGGAAAAAATGGTATGTGATACTCCAGAAGCGAAAAGGAAAGAGAGGGAAGAAAGCCAAGACTACAGCCCCCAGGAATGCAGGCTTATCACAGCCAGAGAAAAATAAAATCCACACATGGGCCCTATGGAAGCAGGCAGGGGGGCGCTGGGAAAGGGGCAAGAGGAGAAGAAAGCGAGGGATTGTAAAGAACCGTGGGTTCGGACCACGGTAGTGTTTCTTGGCAGTTCTGTGGGAAGCAGGAGGAGGAACGATCGTGCCGAAATGAAAGAGTAAAGCATGCGTTGTTCTGTATTCTGGGAGGGAGAGAAAAAGCTAAAGAGATGGATGAAGCAGGCTGTGTTGGTTGGCAAAGGGCGGAACCAAACTGCTTACAGAGAAAAGGCCACCAATGAGAGCGGAATAAATGAAGGGAAGAGCAAAAACAGACAGCATTGGAGCTTCAGATCGGTGCGGACCCTTGTTGGGTCTGAGGGTTATGTTACATGTGGAGCACAGCCCTAGCACTCTACATGCAAAAATTCTATTAGAGGGCTTGAAAAAAAAGGAGGCTGGACGTACTCAACAAGAGCAAAAAGAGCAGAGATGTGGCAGGGACAAGGTCAGGGATTGTGAGAAAGGGATAAAGAAAAAACAACAGCCCATATTCGTGGATTGGAGGGGAATGGTGCTCTTCGTCCCGCGGAACAGTATTGCACTTTATTATACATGAACAATGTACACCATAGCAACAACAAAAAGCCCTGGATGGCAGACACTGATGGCGGGAAGAGGTTAGAGAAGAATATGGAGAGCGGGATATGGAGGACAGTGAGGGGACGGTAGGAAGCATAACGAAAAGTGGTGGCAGAGAAAGGGCGGCATGGATGCGCTGTGGTATATTCAACGCAATAGCCCAGACAACACGACAACACACAGATAAAGGAGAGAATGGACAAAGAACAGGCACACATACTGACACACTGACTGCACTTGGATATTTTTGGTGGGCAATTGAGCACAAACAATGCAGGTTCGATACATTCATTTTTTGCAGACGAAAACCCTACTCTCTTGTTGGTCATTTATGGTACCGATCACCTCCCTGCCATTCCGTTTGCTCACTTTCTATATCCTCGGCGAAATTGTTTGGACTGTCATCGCAGCACTCACTTACTTCTTTCCTTATTTACTTGCTTGCTTAGTTACTTTGTTGCTCGCTTGACCTTCTTCCTTTCCCTCCTACTCCTTGTCTCTTCAGCTAACAATAAAGTTGCTGCACTCCCTCCCGTTCACTTCACTTCACTTCACATCCGTCCAGATCCATCTTGACTTGCTTGCTAGCCCAGCCACAACATTGAAATGCATAAAAGGGTCTTGCTGAACTTGACTGGCAGTATCTCTTTCTCTTATTCTTCACTTTTATTTTCACTCCTCACCTCTACTGCTCCTTGCCATTGGCTTTTGAAAAACGCCTTTGTTCCTAATCATTTTCATCCTTTCATTCTTTCAGTTTCATTCATTCATTCATTCATTCATTCATTTTCTCTTCTTTGTTCAGTATACCTTTACTCAGCGCATACACGCATCATTGTTCCACTATTTCCTTACCTTATTCAATCGACTACCGTTCTCACATCCCGTTTTGATACCATTCAACTAAGCAAGTCAGGGGGCCGCCACACCACATCAGCTCCAGAAACATTCTATTCTTCATAAGTAAGTCTGTCAACTTAGATGCCGATCGTGCTTATCTTTTTGTTTTTGTACAACCATGACAGTGTTGCTAACTCTAATTTGCCTATCCCTTTAGTTTTTTCTCTCTTTCTTGCATATCCACTCAATCGTCAAACGTCAGTTCTCCACATTCAGTGTGTCAATCACTCACTTTCCTGGTGCCTTTTGCTCCACGACTTGTAGTACCTTCCGAGCTTCCTCTTACTCCATTCATCAGCGTAGGGTCTGTTAATACCCGAGCATCTGTTGACATTGCAAAAAAAAACAGCCCAACAGCCCGCCTACAAGTATCAACTCAGCCCCTCAACAAAACATCTCCATTCAACCAACCTTACCTCGACCAGCTGGCTTGTAGATACCTGTTAAGCCCTCTCTCTATTTCCTCCAACAATCTGCTCCTTTTAATATTACCACTGGCCCCATTTATTCGGCAAGCATCTTCCACCTATCCTACTTGTGGCCGAAAATCACACTCAGCAGGATGCATCCTCAGTTTTCCTATGGTGCTGGCAACACCTACACTAACGACATTCAGGCAACCGCAACTCCTTCGATCATTCCACCAATCCCCAACCAAATGGATTCACCAAGAGCTTCGTCAAGTTCTATATCGTCACCACACTCATCCACTACAACCATTCCATCATCGCTTCGGTCCAATACTTCTGTTTCCCATCCACCAAACGGTCTTTCACCCAACCACCTTTTTTTATCGCCAATGAGCTACCAGCCCCACAATCATTATCAACACCAGGGTCTCCAACAACAACCCGATTTACCCCAGTCTGGCTTCCCATCATATCCGATGCCCTTGGAGCAGTCAGCATATCCTCACCAGCTCTCCGCAGCCGAACCTTCCAACAAGGATTTTCTTGGGCATTTCAATCCGGTCTCGTTTGAAACCATTTCTCTGGCCCAGGACCACTCGATGGCATCCTCCTTTGATTCTGAGGAGGTCCCGCAAGGTTGGCTCTGGGATGCCTATCAGCGAGCCGCAATGGACTCGATGCTACTGGATCGAACCCGTCAAGAGCAAGAGCAGCAACATTGCTTGCCCCTGGTCCATACGCCTGGCCTCTCCTCTTCTCACTCAACAGCGCTTCCCTCCGGTCTCTATGCCGGTGATACATTCTGGCATTCCAACGCTCTCGAGCTGGCCTCGCGAGCCGCAGCACTAGCTTCAGCTCCCCTCATGAGTATTGCCTCGGCCGCTCCTGTCTTTTCCACCACCACCCCAGCCTTTCTTACAAACGACATCGCCGAAAGCTCTTCATCTTACCATACAATGGAGTCCTCCAGCTCATCCGTGACAGTGCCCAGCTCCTCAAGCCAGTCAAGCATATCTGCCACTCCTGGGCTTTTACGGCCGAGCCGAAGTGATGGGGTAGGAAGAAAGAGTCGTCGGTCATCCTCTAAAACGTCGAGTTCGCTCACCTCGAGCAGAAGATCTGGCAGATCACGATCGCTGGTTTCTTCCCCAAGATCACCATTTCTCTCGGACCCAAATGAAACGTTTGACCTGAGCCTGTCAAGCACCATTCCATCATATTCACCGCACTCTTTACAGCTGTATCACAACCTTCACCATTGTCTGGCCCACAATTGTCAAGGCGGTAGCAACTTCTCACCATCGTCTTCTCCTTCGCCCTCGACTTCACCACAACCCTCGCCTATATCCTCGTTCGCCCACCCATCTTCGCGCTTGTCAACGGCCGTAGCGGCAAAGCAGGATGCAGGCATCACTGCCCCAACACCGCCAGCGCCAACATTTGTCCGGCTACCTCCGTCCATGTTCCAGTGTCCAATGGAAAAGTGCCCAAAGTCATTCGCAAGGGCCTACAACTTGCACGTTCATCTCAAGACTCAGCACCATCTTGCCTCGAAGGAGCTTGCTGCCGTGTCTCCACTGCGAGCTCCTCCGTCTGCCCCTCCGTTCCAAATCATTACCCCTGAGGAGGTCGCTGCTGGAACGGCAATGTCAGACAAGGAACAGCCATCTGCTGTGCAGTCAGGATCAAAGGCAACAAATACTACCACGTCATTAACGCAGTCGAACCTTCTTTCGACAAGTGCCGACAACACCACCAACAACAATGATGGTGACAATATCAACCACATCAACAACAACAACAACAACAACAACGGTGGCAATGGTATGATCAGCGGCTGTTGTGATGCGAGTAATGGCGATGGCGGCGATAATGGGTCTTTGGATTGCGATTCATCCTGTGCGTCGCCAGCACTAAGCGGAACGGCGGCTTTTGGACAAGGGCGATCGTTTGCATGCCATTTGTGTCCTCGAATCTTTTCGAGGAAGCATGATCTGCATCGTCATATCCGCGTGCACACAGGATCCAAGCCGTATTTGTGCACGAATTGCCACAAGGCCTTTGCGAGAACGGATGCCCTCTGTCGACATTACAAGGTGGAAGACGATTGCCGGCAGGTTCTCATGGAGGTTGAAACTGCATCGACTGTGGCTGTTACTGAGAGCAAAGAGCGGGTAGCGCACTAGCAACTCCTTCAGCACAACCACCTGCAGCGTTAAAAGTAATAAAATTACAGCGACTTTCAGTCATGGAGGGCCTTTCATTTTGATTTTTTTTTCAACTAGCCGTCTCGCGGGTTTTCTCGCCTGGCATGGCCAGGCAAGCAAGAAGGACTGAAGTTGGAAGAGGAAGCGATGGATGATAGATTCCTTCTAATGAATGTTTCGCAAGATTGGCAGTTCATTAAAATGTCGATCACTTCCAGGCACTAACCCTTTACCCTGTGTTTTGGTTTTTGATCCCAGGCACCATCACTGATCACTTTGTCTGTCTCTCTGAGGGATTATATTACACTAGAATGGTGCCTGCGGCTTCGCTCGCGGAGGTGTGGAGCGCGTGTGAGGTGATAAAAAATCGGTGGTGGTTGAATATTACAAAGATATTTGTGTTTGTTAGTTCCTCCTTCTCGCTTTATTTTTGCTCTGCTTTCTCTTTTTGGGGGTTTTTTTATTGACGTCAGATCTCTCACAAATCGTGACGGCGTGCCAGGCCTGACTAATCCAAACCACTGCATACAGGGAAGGAGGTGTCAGCGGCTGACAGCTTCGAAGTAAACTGAGCTGTCAAACGGGCCCCCACGGGGAGCCGAATGCCTATAGTTGCACAAATTGGGTCGCATGAATGCCCTGGAGTGGCCAGCACCGAGCCAGCCCGCCACATCCCCTACGCGACCTATCGAGCCCGATGGGTCCTCTGTTAGTCGAGATCTCGCGTCAAAGGGTTTAGACAGCAGTCTCCTTTCTTTTCCATCAAGCACAACACCGTCTTGCCATGAACGCGCTGTACAACTCTCTCGTCCGCCTCACTCAGACCTTGTTTTGACAAACCGACTCGTCGCCTTGGCGGGCCAAATCCTGTCAGTTTTCCTGTCAGTTTTCCTCCCTTGCTCACACCCGCCTTCTTCTCTCGAGCTGTTATTCCTTGGGTCTTCTCCCATTCGACCGTCGCCTTGCGACATACGTGCCATATCTCCGTCTACTCAAAGTCCTCAATCGCACCCATAAACTGTCCTTTTTTCTTTTTGTGTCACTGCACTTTGTACTGGTACGAAAGGCGTGGAGAGAATTGTATCGCTTCAGGACAGGTCTTGTAACTCAGCAGGCGGAGCTACGAAGGCGGCATTTGAAAGCAACATATACAAACACGTGGATTGGCGACTGTACGTCCGACACGCTCCCGCGTATTCGTACTCAAAGGAAATAGTTAAGTCGGTATCAATGTAAGGAATAGTTGTAGGTGGTACCGTAACTGAGATCATTACCTCTATCCAATGTAAAGCGCCGCAATGAGAGCAGACCAAGTTCATCCGTCCCAAGGCCATGTATTCTGTGTCATCCTGCTACTTAACAGCGGCTATTACATTTCTAAAAACACACGTGGATCAGCAAGGGCTGCAGGAGCAGCAGTGACCGTAGAGGGAGATTCTGCAACGATCATCCAGTGAATGTGGATAGTAACATACCTTGGAGAAGGGCGGCGCCGGTGCCGGCACGTCACTCACTCTGAAACCTGAAACCGAGTCCCGTCCGCCCCATCCAAGAGGTCCAAGACTGCTCCCGCTAGTCAGGGTCCCTCTCCACAAGGCTTCGAATTCGCGTGTTGCAAGCACGATATAAAATTGAACGCAGTAAGTGCATGGAATACATCTGCGGTGACGTAATTTACGCGCCCAATTTCCTCTAGTCACGTGGACAAGCCTTTTCAGGTACCAAATTGGGAAAAAGGCATGATGTTTGTTCGAAATAGTTATAACCACTGGAGTGCCATGGTACCAAATTGGGCACAAACTCTATCAACCACAATGTCTCATCATTCCGTCACCGGCGGCATCGCGCCAATCCCGCCGACGAGCACCACGGCGCTGCTCCTCATCGACAACCAACTCGGGTTTCGCGACGTAGCCGCCTGGGGAACTGGTGCCTCCAACCCGGAGTTTGAGAAAAACGTCACGGCGCTCATCGCAGCTTTCCGCGATGCCTGTGCAGAGAAGCCAGAGGGCCAGAGACCACTAATCATCCATGTGCAGTATCGTCCCGTCTGGACTGACCACCCGTTGCATATCAGCAAGGTTGGCCCATTTGGGGCGAACAGGGAACAGGTACGCGCCATTGACTTCCTCGAATTTGCCGCGCCGAGGGTAATGCGTCCGGAAGGGCCAAAGTTTGTCTATACTCTCGACGAGACACCGCGTCCTGCGCCAGTGGATCCCAAGAAGGACGCCGCGCCACCGCCACCTCCGGATGAAATTATCATGACCTCACATGGGCACAGCGTGTTCATCAACACGCCACTTGAGTCGCTCCTCAATAAGCGTGGCATCAAGACTCTACTCATTGCAGGCATGGCAACGGATCTCGCTGTCAGCACGGCCGTTCGGACAGCCCAGAATCTCGCTTTGACTGGAAAATGGGGTGGACGCGGCAACATGGCCGACGCAGCAGCCTCGGCAAGGTGGACTGACGGAGCGAGTGTGTTTGTCGAGGCGCAAGAGGATGCGCCTGAGGATGAGCGAGGAGAGGACGGACTTGCGGTTGAGATGGCGCGCATCATTCTCATCGGAGATGCTACGAGGGCATTTGGGAAAGCTGGAGTCGATGCAGAGACGGTCCACAGTGTGCATGTCGAGAGTCTGAGAGACTTTGCTGAAGTGAGGAGCACGGCTGAGGTTATCGGCGCCTTTCACTGATGGCATAGCATTAAAGTGGTGGACAAAAATGATTTTTTTCGTACAAGAATGCTCATCCCCCACCATTGCATTCATCCCCCTGATTCCTATTAGTCCTTTATATTAGAACTGTTCTCTTGCTCTTCATCGTCATTGGCATCAGGAAACCTAGCGCGAGAAAAAGCGCTTTGAAACAAGAGGAGAATGGACGCACAATTTACATCACCGAAGTTGTATATGAGTTCCCATACACAGCCAACACACAAACTATGTATAACTACTCTATTTATCCTCTCGAACCGCCTTCCCACGGCGACCTCGACTTGAGCTGGAGGTCGACGCTGCCCTCTTGCGCGATCCCTTTGGTCCGTTGATGGCGGCGGTGGTGTTGCTACTGGAGGTGGTGGAACTTGTAGCGGGTCCAGCACCGGCTTTTGCCATCCATGGGAGAGAGTCGTCAGCGGCTGCGGAGTGTAGATACTCCGGCCGTTCTTGTTTTTCCAGACAACCTCGCTCAATGTTCGCCATATTCTCGGCTCCCATAACTTCGCGATGATGGTACACATGGTACTCGGGGCAGTAGAAGGGGCGGAGGGCGACCTGGGCGACGAAGAGCCCACATCGAGGGCACTTCTTCCTGGTATAATATTCGTTCAAGCCAACAACCAGATACTCCAAGGACTGCACCTAATAAAAAATAAAATAATGTATGAAAAGTTGGCATATGTGTTACAGTGTTGAAAGTGTCCATATCAACAATGACCATAGCACAATACTCACCAGTTTGATGAGATAGGACAAGACGTTTGAATCCAGGGACGAGAGTCCACTCCTAGTCGAGAACTTGGCCAGGCCCACTCCAATCAACACAGGATTCGAAGATTCTCGGGGACGTCCAACGCTTCCGCCGACGATCCCTAGAAGACGATCAGCGATCAACTGGTATTCGTAGTGACGAACTCGCTTCATGTCCCACTTGTGGCACTGTACTGTTAATCACGACCGTCTTAGAATTCCAACAAACGATGTTCGACCTTCTTCAGTTCTGCAACATAGCCGACCACACTCGCGACTTGTCCTTTGAGAGGGAGCAGACGGCCCCCAATTTCCGCGATTGTTTCCTGTTTTCCCTCTTGTGTAGCCTGCTTTTCGTCCTCGAGCCACCGATGGAGCCGGAATGTTGGTTGATACACTGCCTTTGTTTGACTGCCATATTGTGAAACACCGTCCTTGACGACACCATTGGGGAGTTTGTTGATTGTAGATCTGGGATGGAAGCTGTGATGGGGACAGGAAGAGGGGTTGAGGATGTCGAGGATACTGTCGGTTCCACGGAAGTGGTGTGATCCCTTCCATGGTTGGATGTGTCCTGTTAGTCTCCTTGCCATTTCCATTCGCTCGCGAGTCCTCGGGATATCTGCAAAGGCACCAACAATAGATGTTTGCCCTCGATCCAAAGTCAATGTCTTGATCTCCTCCGGTTGAACTCCAGGCCATAGTCTCGCCACATCCTCCTTGCTGGTGATGACATCCCTGATCTCTTGGAGGTAGTAGTCCACCCCTCCAACGGTTGACGTCAATCTTAGTGGCAAGCGGTTGTCGTCCAGCCTTCGGTAACGGACATATTGAAGCTCTCGGAGCTTGAATGCAAGAATCTGAATGCGGAAGCCATCAGTCTTGACAGATCCTCTAAAAACATATCTCTTCTTGGCATGGGTAACGGGGTCGAGCCATTCGTTCTTGGCAACATCCAAGTGATTCCGAATCTGATCCAAAGATAACAGTTTGACGGCGGCTCGGTGTCCTTCTTTCCTCCGTTGACGACTTGTAAGACCTTGAGGGGTAACGTCGGCGATACAGTATTTGAAGAGAAAGTCGGGCTCTTTTCCAGATATCCACTTGTCGAAATCAATGGTAGAGGTGACGGTCATGTTATCCAGAGTAACCAAATGTATCATCCTGTCCTTTAAAGGTCCTCGTTCCCAGAAAAACGCTGCAAGCTCGCGTTCCGAAAATGATACAAAGGGTTGTCGTGAGGATGTGATGGGGACTATTCGACGTCTGTTTCCTGTGAGCTTGTTCAGGTAGAAGAAGTTTTCGACTGCGGAAACATATCGAATCTGAAAGTCGGCGTCGCGTCGCGAAAAATAAAAATAAATACAAATGACATTTTTTCCCTTACGATAAAATCTTGATAGTATATTCCAGTCATCCAAAGACATTTCAGTCCATGCCTTATCTTGTAGATCAAGTCTCCCACGGCCATATATGAGCTTCATCTCCTTTGCCAGCTGATCAGTAACAGAGCGGATCAAATGACCAGGTGTGAACGGCACGGTGACCTTCATGTCCGTGAGACTCCGAACTGAATTGTAAACCTCGCGCTTCACCAACCAGTCGGTAAGGTCGTTGGCGACAGCGCCAGCTTTCGAGGTCGACTTGGGATAGTTCCCTGAGTAAAGATACGTCAAGAAGGAGAGCAAAAAGTGAACCTTCTTTTGCTCGTGTCCTCGAGATCAAAGTTGTTGTCCTCCCTCCTTGTTACCGCCAGCATCGTCTTTGTCCTCTTCGGCATCTTTGGGCTTGGCTTGTTCGCAAAATAATAGTAGGATATTGCGCTCCACTTCCGAAACAGCATTCTTCCAAGCGTGAAGACGGCAGTTCTCCGACATGGTCAGTGGTGGTTTCATCAATTCCAGATTAATCCTTTGATCCTCTTCTGCCCGGTCCATACGATTCTGCAGTGTTTCTGTGAAGCGACCAATGAGTCTCTGCGCCTCGTGTTCCACATGTGCAGCCAGCTGAGGAGCCTCCTGCATTCATTCGATGACCTCCCGTTGCACATCGGCGAGGGCAGCGGTGTCAGCCAGGTTGCTTGGGATCTCTCCGTTCACCACCACACGATTGGCGTATGCACGCACGGTACTGATTTCCAAGGATACTGTTGGGTAATACCAACTCAGTGGTCGCATGAGATCCTTTTTTTCTATGTCTGACAGCGATCTCTTCTAAGTGCCGGACGAAGTCCTGTCGCATTTTGCCTTGGATTTTTTGGCCGAGACACTGTTCGTCTGCGTAGTCTGCACCGAATCCTGGTAAAACTTCAGCTTGAATTGCTTGGCCTTGGGAGGTGGGGCATGAACAACCTTGCGGGTTCTCTCCTTGAACGAGAATCATCCTCGCTTCCGGGGGATCCGTGTCCTTGATAAGGGTGGATAGCCGCCAGTATCTGGCGGAGACGTCACAGAAGAAGACTATTGAAAAGGGCTGGGATCAGAAGTGGTTTGCTGTGAAGGATCACGCGCAGGTTGTGGTGTGGTGACGGTCTTTTGTCTTGGAGGTAGCGGCGGGTGACTCGGCAACGGTAGGGGATCAGCATTTCAAAAAAAGAGTCGAAATCACAGAACGATTGATCATTATTGTCCACCACTTAGATCGTGTGCGACACCGCGTAACAACAATTTGATCGTTTTTGCTCAACCCGCTAACCGCAACCAGATTGAAATAACGAGTTACACATTAACAGGTGAACGAAGGAGGGTTATCATTGTTTTTTCTGTTATTTTGATTAGAAAGAGAAAGAGAGAAGGGAGCTTGATTGAAAATGCCTGGGGTAGAGTAGGGCCAGCGAGCAGAGTAGAGCGTCACCGAGTAGAGTAGCGCGGCGCGCCATTGATTAGTTCCTGTTGCAGCAGCACTTCTTGCCGAACCATCCGCAGCCATTGCCTGTTATATGAAAGAATCCGCGATCACCGCGATAGTTCTCACATAATGCGGACCAATGATCAGTGCTCGGGTGATTACAGGTCTCTTCAATTTGCATGTCACCACCCTTGACAACCTCCGCTTTGGGCGCGGCAAAGGCACTAGTGGCAAGAGCAAGAGCAACGATAAGAACGATGACTGAGGACTTCAAGGTGGATGACTGGGAGTGGGAAGTAGTGAGTGAAAAGGTGGTCTGGTTGACGAATGGAGCGAAGGAAATTGGGGGGTATACAGGCGAAATTCAAAAGGTTCTCGTTCAGCCCGTATAAAAAGAATGAAAAAATGCTTGCATTGGAAAACGCGCCTAACGCCCATGATACAGGAATGGTTATTCAGTGTTGAGTCTCTTTGCACGGTATAATATCCCGGGAAAGGACACGCTGCACCTACACCGCGCGGTGTACATGAAACCAACACACCGTATCTGAATGAGCCCAAGGTGGATAAACGCCGACAAGGCGGCGTGTGATGTGGGCGGGAATGAAAAAAGTCCAACGTCAAACCTGCACCCTGAACTTTGGACGCCCAGCTGTCAAAAATCCATGGGCGCCGCACCTGCGTGCGACTAACATGCCACACTTGCATGAGACCAACACATTGCACTGGCATTAGACCCCATGTAAAATCATACACATAGGTCAAGCACAAAAGACTTGGAGTAAACTTTGGTAGAAGGTCCTATGCGATCCATTTAACTGATGCATGCGGATTCAGGCATTTCAATTCCGACCATGATCCCATGTCGGTCCATGCAAAAAAAGGCAAGTTCTGATGGATGAGGTTACGAATCAAGAGAATGAATGACAGGAATCTGGGAATTATTCGAAACATTGGAGAATGAGCATTTCAAAAAAAAGTCGAAATCGCAATCAGATGAATCATTTATTTGGAGCACTTTATGATGAAGCCTTGGAGAGGGACAGTACGATTGAGCTGGCTGCAACAGTTGCTGTCACAAAAACAAGAAAAGCTATGAACTAATATACTTGAAACAAGAGGAAATAGTAATGTTTGTGCCTGCTGGTGGCTCATGATATCACTTGCGCCTTTCTATTCATCAAACAAATTTACCTGTTGTTGTAGACGAAAGTTACAATTAGTCTTCAGTTGCAGCAAGTTCCCACGCAGCAAAGCAAGGTGATTAAATCTCCCTTTAAACTTGTGTTCGAATCCAACGATGTACTGAAAGCGATAATGAATGCAGCAAACCTTCCAAATGAAATATCTCCGAACTTACCTAGGCTCTGTCTGAGTCCTTCACCGATTTTCTGCTCGGTTTGAGAATCCAGGGCGATGCCTGCCTTTTGGGCGGCAAAGTTGATTCCTTTGTCAACCCAATCGCCACCGCCAGTGCTCCCAGGGTTGCCCTGACCGCTACTAGGACCCGAGTCGGGACCGCCGCCGCCGTAGCTGTTGTCGTTGGTGCTGTCGTACTGGTTATTGCCGCTGCTGCTGTTGTTGTCGTTGGTACTGCCGTACTGGTTATTACCGCTGCTGCCGTTGTTTTCATTGGTGCTGCCGTACTGGTTATTGCCGCTGCTGCTGTTGTTGTCGTTGGTGCTGCCGTACTGATCATTACCGCTGCTGCCGTAGCTGTCGTTGGTGTTGGTGTTGGTGCTGTCGCTTCCCTGGTTGTTGTTATTGTCGTCGTTGCGGTTCGCTGAGCCATACTAGTCAGAGCCGCTGCCGCCGTAGGTGCCATCGTTGGTGGAGCCATAGGTGTCATTGCTGTTGTAGGACATAGTGGCGGCTTTTGGGTTAGGTGTGTGTGTGTGTGAGTGAGTGAGTGTAGTAAGAAACGGGATTCAAAGAGTATTTCGTTTTTACAATTTTCACCTCTATCGCTGTTTGTTTTATGCGTTAGCATCCGTGTTGCAGTGTCGTAGCCTGCACTGACATTGTGGCTACATTCTTCAACGCTTTATTCCCCATTCCTTACTCTCCATTCCTTACCCCTATTCGCATGTACACTACATACATAAATCCGCTAGCCTTCTGTATAATAAACACTATCCGTTTCTGCCTCCTGCTCTTGTCTGTTGCCTTTCTTCTGCTGCTATTACAGTCCAACTGTAGGGGTAGCAATCTATTACTCACTGATTGGTGGGCAATAATCCCGCTGGTGCATGTTCATGCTGTCAAATCTACCCGAATCAGGCCATGTGTACAGCACAGTATCCCTCTTTCTGTTCACGCACAGGGAACATCATGCGTCCCATTTCCCAGCACCTATCAATGCTTATCTCGGCATTGATATTTTCGTTCAAGACCTGCATAGCGCCATCACAAGTCCGAAGCACCCTTTTTTGTTTATGCGTTCCCTATGCTTACATCTTTTTTTTGTACGCACACCCTCACATATTCCCTAGCCCCTATTGCGCTATTCATACTTATTTCTTCTTTTGTCACGCATGCCCTTGCCCTTATTCTTTGTTCATGCGCTATTTCTTTATACCACTCAATAGGAGAAAGAATGGTTAAAAGTCTCACTGCTGTGGACCCAATGGAAGACAAAGAACAACATGGAGGAACGAGTGGCTTGCGGCAACCAAGCATTCATAGCGACGTTGCCTTTTGACCCGTCGATGTTAGCTCTTTCAATTAGAATTTCAGGTCGAGTTGTGATGCTAGCCCTGCTTTCTATTAGTTAAGGGGTATTTCCTTCTTTTATCGCATATGCTGTGTTTGATGTAGCGTTCACGATAGAAAGAAGATATTTCCTTCTTTCTATCGCATGTGCTGCGGTTTGCTCCCATGGTTTAACGCGTCCAAGGCTTCGCATCAGCCACCAATGCTGTAAAGTCGAAGCCCTCCCAGGTTCATTCTCCAATTCCTCTTCTCCTCTCCACTCCTTTCAGCTCTCAGTCATTTCATCCCCACAATGAGCTCATCTTCCCCATCAGCCGATATCTATAAACGCTATGTCGCCTTACTCCGTGCTCCTGAAGTCAACACCTTCAACAGATCCATCATCATAACCATCGCGAACTCAGTCGGGTCAAATCGTCCCATCTCTCGCATGCGATACTAGTCTATTTGACCCAACAATACCATTTCCAGAACAGGAACCGCGCACAGGTCATGTTACATATCGACCAACTGATTTTTCAACACTTCCAAACAAGCACATCACAACTAGCACCCCCAAGCAAAGAGGAGGCCTCCGTATACATCGCAACTATGAAACTCAAAGCAACCAATATTTTGAAGCAGATGTTCCTCAATCATTTCCCTGAACAACAAGCAACAATGCCGACTGAACTTTCTCAAAGCCAACAAAAGCATTGGAGATTCCTCACCTTCATGGGGAGCGGAGAATGGGACACTGCAACGTCGATTTTGACATGCTGGGACCCAGCAGACTTTATGCCTCTCATGAACGCCGGTATCAAAGTGTACACTGCCACCACCAACAACCCCACAGATTCCGACAAGGAAAAACTCGATCAGTTCTCAAGACTGAAGGCAACTATTGGCCAACGTGCCAAGGATGTTTCGACCCGAACACGCGCCGAGTTACAACTATTCCAGTCTAAAATCGCAGACCCTGGTGTAAGATTCAAAGATCATATTATCTCCTGTGAAGAAAACGCCATCTACTTCATCATAGTATCGATGCCAACGTTTCTCATCTTAATCTTTCTCATCCAGTCCATCCTTCGCAATTTCAAGCAAAGCACACGAATGTGGAACAGCGGATACTACGACAAAGGTGAAATCCTGCGAAGAATTTTGATACCCTTTTTCTGCGGCATCCTTGTAATCATCTTCCTTCATAACCTTCATTCTTGCTTTCTTCGTTCTCCTTCTTTCCATTTTCATGATCACTTTCACTACTGTCCTTCCTGCTACTCGATTTCCTCTCTTTTCAATCTGTGTTTTCCTGGAAAGTGAATAAACTCTCATAATCACCAGTCTCCAATTTTCTTTCTCTTAGAATTCCTGAACACTTGGTTTTCTCTTATGAGAGAACCATACATTTCCTCTGATAAACTCTCAATCCAACAAGTTCAAAATGCCTCGAGTCGAACACACCACCAAGCTTACATTGTTTGTTACGAAGACTCACAAATGATACAAAACGTTGTGACTGCCGACAACATTCGACTCCAAAACGAGAGAAATAAGGGTTGGCACTTCGGGACAAAACCAAGAGTGGAGCAAAGTCCTTTGTATTTTATTCAGGTAACTATGCGATACTGTGTTATCGTTTTGACATTTAAAACGCATCCTCCGGAATCTTGACTATTATTCTCTTCACCTCTATCCAGTCACAAAATGGACCCTGCGCAACTGCAACAGTTGAACCTCCGATCAGAGTAGCTTTAGATAAATAGACACACACTACCATAATACATCCACATCTCTTACTTCCACTCCTCCTAAAGTTGCAGCAACGATGTGCCTGGTTAATTTTCTAATTAACCAGTCCCCAAGCACTCACGGCCCAGTTATGAGGCAACTTTATCAAAACACGAGAACCCTAATCAGGAATAAGGTAACCAAAACAGCAAAAAGCAAATATAGAATACAATGTTCTTGCATCAAAACTAACTCTTTCTCTTATCCCATTATCATAGGCTTACCAATCCCTCGTAGAGAGACATACAATCTTGCATGCGTTACATCACCAAGTCCTATGCATGGATGCTTATCGACACACAATCATACGACAGCAGATTGAAGCCGAGGACGAGTTTGACCGAGGAAGCGACTCTATCTCAGAGAAGGAAAACCACTTGGTTGTCATTTTGCCCTACGGAGGACACGTATGGGAAATTGACAGCTATGACACCAAAGGGCCGCTAGATCTAGGCCTATGTGGAGAGAGCTGGACAACGGTTGCTGTAGCTCGATTGCAAATGTGGTATGGTACCACCGCATCCACTCAAGTTCCGGTGGATATCCAAGCCATTTTAAATTCACCATGAACTTATCCCTTCCTCTGTTATCCACCACAGATAGTGGTCGAGTTTTTATACATGAAAATAGCACCGAATTCTCACCTTCACTCCTATTTACAAAAAATCTCATCTTCAACTCTCAACATGAAAACGAGAATTTTCCCCATCTTTTCATCATTCGCATTAAGTGGATGCACAATGAAAAATGTTCCATCAATTTGGACGCCTCCCACTCATTCAAGCATGCGACGTGACAACGTTGTCGGAACCCAGAAAAAAAAAGATGGCAGATCCCTCATTTTTCTGATCCATCTCCAATAAAAAGCATACGACTGAGAAAGAGAGATAAAAAAAAGTAAGAGCAAAACAAACAATCGAAAAAATCATATAAGCAAGCATAGGCTCTCGAAAGGGTGTCTCGCATCCGACAGATCCTAGAAGCGTTATGAGATGTGGAAATGCGTACAGTGTTGAGGAAACTGAGCATATGTTTGCCGAGAGTCGAGTCGGATTCTCCTTCTTTGATGATCTCAAGGGCGCACGTGTCGTAGAACTGGGTCGTGTGTGCCAAATATCCTTGGATTGTTGCCAAATCGTATTCGTATCGCTTGGCTGGGCCTTGGAGGGACATCTCGGAGTGCTGCAAAACCGGGGTAGGTTTGTAATCCATACCTTCGGTGAAGTGACAGCCGTTCCAATTGAAAGCGTCATGGTTCTCTGGAGCTCGGAATCGAAGGACCTGGGCTCACCAGTGGCTGGATAGACGTCGAGGAGTTCTTGGCAGAGCTTGAGAGTGGTAGCTCGAGGCTTGTAGACCACTTTGCAGTCATGCTCCCTGGCAGAAGCTTCCAGTTGTTAGATGATGTTTTGCTGCTGCTGCATGATGACCTGTTGTTGCTACATTTTCTCCTACATAAAGCGAAGATTCGCATGAATGTCGAAATCGACATCGAAGGTCGTAGGATTGGGTGCATAGGACATGGGGGAGGATCGTTCAGAAATTCGGGGAGAGTCTTCCGGTCGTGAAAAAGAAAGGCAGAGATCAAGAGATCGCCTAGAGTCCCTTTTTGCTTGTTTGTTTGTTTGTTTGTTTGTTTGTTTGTTTGTTTGTTTGTTTGTTTGTTTGTTTGTTTGTTTGTTTTCATTCCTTTTCATTTCATTTCTTTATTTTTTTTTTCAGAAGTCAGAAGGAGTCCATGGCAAAGATGAAAAATAACCTAGAAAAAAGTGGCAAGCCACTGAGTTGACTGAGATGACCAGAGAGAAAACAATATGCGTGAAAAAATCCATTTTTTTTTGGCTTGTCTTTGCCGTCCCCTCTATCATGCCTGCCAAACCTTTACCTTTAAAATACGGCCATGCACAGTTAAACTACTGAATCCCGTCCGATTTGCGCAATTAAACAGTAGATGGCATATGACAGTCTCATTGTGTGTATACAACCTTTTCGAGTGTAGACACTGAGTCACAGTTGATTGAAATAGACCAGACTAGGACGCCCTAATGAAATCCATCAAAGCATGAAAATGCGCGGGCGGCGTGTTCGCAAATCGCAAAGGCAATGAAACCAAAATGCACCCTTTCAAAGAGCCTGGCAGAACGAAAGGTACCATTTTCTGAGCATGTGCAGTCGAAGCCATCAAAGTTCCGATAATGAATTGTACAATCGAAGTATGCAATAGGCTGAGTGAGTGCGAGAGGGGTCAAGGAATTGATGAATAAGACAAGGGAAGAGAACATGAAGCAATGAATGCCTTTGTTTGTTACGACTGTGTAAGCTATATAAATACAAGTGTCAATAAAGGGTTTCCAGTCGAGTCATATCCAAGATGGACGAGGAGCGATGGATGGTAACCTAATGTGCGGCAAAGTGGTTCTTTCGACCATGGGGAGTAGACTTCATAAGTGCGACCTATATCTTTCATGCTTCAACTTTTTCTATGTTTGTTCAATGAGAGTCTTGTCTTTGCACTGACACAGTTATAAATTTTAATTGATTTACCAAGAAATGAACACGCGCAATACACTCTGCACTGGTCTCTGCTTAGGTTCTTCCCAGGATGGATTTCTCTGTGTTTGAATTTATTACCGATTCAACGGTTAAAGTAGTTTGGGCACCCATAAGGACCAATCGATGGGACGCCAGACCTTCCCATGGAGACACTGTTGATCCATTGGGCATTGTTCTGAGTCTTGCCCTTTCCAAGCTGAGAATAGTTACCAGTGCAATCGCTGGTCGAGAACAACTTCATGTCGGCTCCATCCCTGTTGATGATCTTGGCAGTTTGTGTATTCTTGAGGCAAAGACACGATCTGTTGTCTTTATCAACTAAAAGCTGGTGGGTTTTGCCACTGTTGTTGATGATATCAGCCCTGGTATATACAACCGGGTTGGCGACTGCGACGGCGGCGCAGAGTGCGAACAAGATGAGTAATTTGACCATTTTGTTGATCCAAGTCTAAGTAGATATAGGCCAAAAGGGTGTAAAGGGGGGTACAGAGGGTTAGCTTGCTATTAGACACAATGTCCGAGGAGTGAAGACCAACAAATTAGAGTGCGTGCATTGTATGGAGACGGGAGTTCAAGCTTACAATATGTGATAGGCAGGAAGATGATGGGCTGTATGATGGTGGTGGGGAGGGGGGAGGGTGGTCTTTTTATATGGAGTTGAATTTAAAGTCAAAGGGCGGCGTGGCGAGTTAAATTAAATTGTGGTTATTGAGTATACCCTATGTTTTGAGCAGGGTCACTTTTTACTTTGGATAGTATTCAGCATTCCATTCATTGTTCCGTCCACACTACAGACAGCAATACTCCACCTTGGTTGACCATCCTTTTCAGATTGAATTGAGCTCCCTATTTGAAAAATAATGTTAACTCTGGTTGATTCCATCACTTTCCATCGCTGGCACACCACCTTCATGTTTGTGAATAGTCAATTGCATTCAAAACTTTTGCCCTCTGCAGCTCGCACTCATAGACATCAACTGTAACAAAAATCAGCTTGCCTATTTTTATTGTGCTGAATGCAACATGAAGCTTTGCTCCTCGTTGCCATTCATTTAAGTTAAACGTTGAAGTAGTTGGGGCAGGTAAGAGGACCCGAAGATGGGATGCCAGACTTGCCAAGAGAAAGACTGTTGACCCACTGCGCGTTGATTTGAGTCTTGTCATTTCCAAGCTGAGAATAGTTTCCGGTGCAATCACTGGTCGAGAACAACTTGAGGTCTCCTCCATCCTTGTTGTAAATCTTGGCGGATTGAGTGTTCTTGAGGCAAATGCAGGTTCTGTAGCCTGGGTCCTCGAACAACGAGATTTTCTTGCCGGCATTGTTCCAGACGTTAATCTCGTAGGCCTGAGCGAAAGGAATGATTGCACAGAGTGCTAGCATGAGAATTGATTTGAGCATTTTGTTGATAAAAGTGGTCTATAGCAGAAGACAAGTCAGACAGTATTAATAGGACTGGTCGATGTAAAGGCTGAATATCATAAAAAGGAGTGTGCGAAAGAGAGAGAACAAACTTACCTTGTGAGATGAGGGAATGAATGTGGTGAATCATTTAGTGGGAGTATCGTTTATTTATATTTGGCTAAGACGGAGAAGACTGCGAAAGGGTGGAGGGTCGGCCCCCTGGCCGTTGAGAGAAGGAAAGATGGGATGGATAGAACCTTTTTCCGCTTGTTTATTTGTTCTTTTGATCACGATTAGGCTAACCCACATATATGCATTTGAGAGCCCCTTTTTTACGAAGAAAAATGCGGCGTGTCGTAGTATCAGTTACACGTCAAGATAGTCCTGTTTGTCTCAATCCATACCATGGAGCGATAGTAGAAAACAACATTAGACTGCGCTTGCGACGCCGTTCAAAAGCCATCTTATTCTTTGCACTAATTAGACCTGGACCCGGACCCAGATCCATGCTCATTTTCCAATGTTGTCTTGATAAGGGCCTGTTTCTCAATATGCTACAACAGCATCCACAAAAGTAATCTACTCAATCAAAATACACTCGATGATTGTGTACCCATTCAATGGTTGTAAGCTTCTCTCTCTCGGTTCTTTTGCAGATAATTAGCCTGATCCCGAGAAATTATATACTGTTATCCTCCAATAAGGCTGTTAACAGGCAATAGACTAAATAATGATCCTTTAGACTATCCTTTGCTTTGAAAAGACACGCTGAGATATATGCTATTTACCGACCATGCATCCATCAAATTTGCAAAGAGCGGTATGTTGGGAATGAGTTCCAGGGTCCTGGTCACGGCTGACAGAATTCTCGACTGAAAATGTGTACAATGAAGGAATTTTGCATTGTTTGCACACGGCGCTCCTCTTGAGTTGAGATGCCGACAGGAGCTCTCAACAAGTTACGTGAACAGAGGTACCTTGGGCCGCCTGTACTTTTTTTTTTTTTTTTTTTTTTTTTGGATTTTTTGGCAAAAATCCCATTAGTTCATTGGTAGTTCTGATCTAATGCTGGCAAGCAAGATGTGTTACTAAAGCAAGGTGTACAACAAAATGAGAATGGATGCAATTGCGGTGGCATTTGCACTTTGCTAAGCACTCACAAGTCAAGAGGGACAGACAGTCGTAACATAGTAGCATAAGAGGAAAAGTGCACTTCCATGTTCGTTTTAATGATCTCAGATATTAAGCGAAGTAGTTGGAGTACGATTTTGGGCCAATGGAGGCGATGTTGGTTTTCCCATGGAAAAGTTCAGTGTTCCTTTGAGTCGAGAATACCAAGGCGAACAAAATTTCCAGTGCAATCGCTGGACGAGAACAACCTCACATCTCCTCCGTCCCTGTTGTAGATTCTAGCTGTTTGGGTGTTCTTCACTCAGAAGCACTCTTACTCGCCATCGAAACGAGCCGAAGTGGCAGATGTACCCTTGTAGTTCCAGAATCCGACCTTGTAAAATGCCTGAGCAAAAGGCATCATGGCACAGAGCGCCAGCAAGACGACGAGAGTTTAAACATTTGTTTTTGTTGAATCAAGTGGTCTATAGTACAGAAGAGAAAGTAATTAGAAAGTGTAAGAGAGAGGAATAAGCAGTGTGATGGATTAACGGGCTTGAAGGGCACATATTCTCAAGAATGAAGGGTCAGAAAAAAACAGAGAGGGTCAGAAAAGGGGAAAGGAGACTTGTATTTAGTTGTTGAGATGAGATTGATGAGCGATATGATGGTGGGAATAACCCCTTTTACATACAAAGTACAGTTGTGTTCAACGCGAATGAAGATGCATCGACTCGCCTAGAGATTGAAGAGTAAAGTCTCTCATAACATTGCGCTCAATCACTATTATCCCACCGAAGGCTTATTTCACTTGCATACTGTGTGGTAACGGTATCGGTGGCCTTATGTCATTTGAAAAGCCTTGGGGAAAAAAAGCACGGCAAGCACACCTTATCTTGGTTGACTTGTCCTGGGTCCAATCCCTCAGTTCAGGAGCGCTCCCAACTCCCACCTGCAGTAAATAAGAGCCTAAATCGTCATCTCATTAAGAAGCGGCGTGTGCTAATCAACCGCTAAAATTCCATTGTTCCACAAGGGCCACCGTGTGCTCGCAACAAAGATAAAAGCGGCGTCTTTATCGGTTCCTTGGAAAACAGAGAAAGCTCTACAGCCATGCCCAAAGCTATCATCCATTGGGTTATGGCTGAACGCCACGAAGTCAAAACCCATGTGCACTGATCAGACAGGACTCGGAAGAATGTGTATTGCTTTTGTTATGTTTTATTATGGAGGAAAAGGAAGAAATAGGAAGAAGAGTGTGCGAAGAAAGGCAGGGGACAGATGGAAGTGAGTTATTGCATACTGGGGAGCAAGATAGGGGAACAAGAGTCTATTTATGCTAAGGGCCGGATGAACAGAAGGGACCAATGCGGCGCTTGGACATTGCAGGGGGTTTTGGACGTTAGACGGGGCTTGGGATTTTAGACGGGGCTTGGAACATGGGCGGGGTTTGGGGCTCAGTTGGTGGCGTAAGTGATGTGACGAGAAGTCCGAAATCCATTGCGCGTTCAATGGAACTAGGTCAAAATATTCTCGCGTAACCAGGACAACCTGGGGCCTGGCAGCCTTGGGGAAAAACGTGGAAGCTATGGATGGCGAGTGTCATTGTAATCCTCATGAACACAAGGCCCATGCCCAAGCGCTTGTTGTGCACAGTAGTGGCGCAAAATGGATACTATCGAGAGAGTTCAAGGTAAACATGCTATTGTTTTTTTGAAGTGCTATGTCTAAGGTAGGGTGGATGAGCAAGTAGGCCTAGCAAGACCATCGGATCAAACAGAATAAGGATGATGAGATGAACAGCTGAAAATAAATAAAGCTAAAGATACATGATGATTATTTTGATTCAAGCATTATCGATTTGAGGAAAGGCGTGTGACTGGGGAGCCAAATGTTCCACAGTTCAACCTGTTCTCACATCAGTCCAGAACCTTTGCTCACAACACCATGTCTTCCTTTATCCAATATGGCTGCCGTCCGACGCGACACCGCAAAATTTGTTGCCTCATTGTCCTCGTCAAACACGAAGCCGGAACTGCTTCCTCAGTATCTATTCCCCGACACCCTTAGCCCAAAAGATCACTGCGCTAGCCGCCCAGCATCTGTCTCTACATACCGTCAACCACTGCTACCGCGTGTACGTCTACGGGTCCGTCATCATGGCACAGCACTTCCCCGAACAACTTGCCTCCTGGCCTGACTTTGCCGTAACGTTTTATCTCACCTGTATGTTGCACGACATTGGCACCGCCGAAGCCTTTCAGCACACGACCAACGTATCCTTTGACTTCAAAGGTGTCTTCATTTACCTCGTCCTGGCCGAGCGAAGCCTCTGCGCCCCAGGATCCTGTTAACGCGGTTACCGAGGCAATTATCCGTCACCAGGACGTTGGCACCACGGGATTCATCGCCCTCCTTGGTGGCATCACCATAGTCACCACGTTGCTGAATAATGTGGGCCAACGCAAAAATTTGGTCGCCAAGGAGATGATGGAGAGTATTACCAAGGCGTACCCTAGGAAATAAGTGGAGCAGGTGCTTTGCGAGTACGGTGAGGAGTGAGATCGAGGGCAAGCCTTGGGCACATAGCACGCATATTGATCAGCTTGCCAAGAAGGTGGAAGGGAATATGTTGATGGAGCCGTATGAAGGTGAAATGCTTCCCTAAAATGACACCAATGATTGGGGTAAATGACGGTTGATATCACCGATACGGATCTAACACCACCAACGATCTGCTCAGTGTAAGCGTCAGAATAAATATTATTCTACCAATCAACCAACCTCAACCGTGTTTCGTTCACCCACAGTTCTTTTAAATACACCGACAGTGCGTTTTGTTCAATGGTGGCCACTCATTTTGCTATGCCCATTTTTGGTCACAAGGACATGTCAGTAGTGCAATGGTGACAAATAAACGGCAGCTGGGTGCTGATCCAAACTATCAAGAATGAACAGGAGCCAATGGATATGGCGATGGGAGTGATAGGATTGGAGTTGCGAGCATGTCGTTTAATCTCCAAAATTTGCAACACTAATGACCTTGTCGGAGTCAATTAAGAGGTGTATGGTTGAACAGGCGATCGTTGCGCTGTAGTTGATATAGGTAGTCGGTTTGTTGCTCTGTCAATAGGCACTAGGTTTGCTCAACGCACATACACACGCACTGAGATGATGGTCAGCTAATCGTTGGTGCATGTGTCCAATAAAGGACAAAGAACACAAGAACCACCGTGCTTCCCAGTTTCTATATACACAGTATCTATATTATTCCAGGACGGGGATGTGGACGTTGGGCGCAAGGAATATGGATTTTGTTAACAGTGCGAGGCTCTTCACGAGCGAGGCACGAAGAAAGTTGTTAACTATTTCGCTTTTTTGGGTACAGGTTCGAACTGAGTATGTAGTAGCCCAGTAGGGCTTCAAATTTTGCAAGATCGTCATAGGCGATTCAAATTAAAAAAGTAAGGGTACCAGCTACCGCAGTAACGCCCTCCTGTACTGAAATAGCGACAAGTAGCACAAAAACGTAGTTTATCCATGCAGTATTGTTCAATGCTGCGCATAAAGGGGGACGGACAAGGGCTAGAATGTTGGAGTGTTTGTCTATGGAAGGGGACAGTGCTTCAACCTGCCAGAAGACTGAAGATTTACAGGCAAATGCACTTGTAACCTGCGATAATTGGGACGCAAAAAGCCCAATTTCGGTGCAAGTCATCCTGACAATGTTTGACGCAATCTTCTTTGTAGCCAGGGCATCCGTAGTCTGCTTGTGCTGGTTGTACGCTTGTGAGCAGGAGGACCAGGGATGCTGCAAGTGTAAGGGCATCATACTTTTTGACGCTTGGGATGAACATCTTGAGACAGGAAAGTTATCAAAGGAAAGG